CCGTATCAGTCCTCCGTATCAGCATCGTCATCCGTATCAGCATCCTCCGTATCAGCAACTCATTGCAGCACTGTAGATAGCAGTAGAGCACCGTACTGGAAGTACATAGTAAGAGGTGCAGGGTGGTACCGGAGTACTATGTGGTGGTACCAAAGTAATTTATAGAGTACCAAAGTACCACTTTCATTTTTGTCCGTTGAGCCTATTTAAATACCTCATTTTTTCATTTAGTTAGGGTCTCCGACACGTGCTCGACCGAGCAAAAATTGGATTACTGTAGTACTTACTGTGCTTCACATGTGCTCGTACGTACGATGTACCGTACGGTAAGAGTTACTACTAGAAAGCTTTAGATGAGGAGGGTAACCTCAGGCCAAAAAACATGGGAATGAGTCGCCCCGCATTTTTTAATTCATTGATCAATGAATGAAAAAAATAAATAAATGACTTCTTTTACGAAGTAGAAGTACAGTACGTACTGCGGAGTTGACCCAACGAGCTTGAGAGATTGCAACTACAAATTGCACATTCCACTCTATCCCCACTCCACGGCATAAAAGTAAATCGGCATTGCAAACGACGGAATAGTACCATGTCCTTCGACAACAACGGGTATGCGGCGAACAGTTATGCAGCAGCAGCAACAGCCGGATATGGATCCTATAGTGGAGGCAGAGGCATCGGCAGTAGTGCGGGTGTAGGCGGCCAGAACGCGGGCGACGTCGACTCGGGACTCCGCCGCCGTGGCAATACGCACCTGAACGGAGGATACAGCAACCATCATTACAACGGCGACTATTACAACGGCGATTATGACGATGAACGCAACAAGGGCAAAAAATCGTCCACGGTGGAAAAACTCGATTTTATGTTTCCCAAGGTCGCGGAGGAATTCACCGTCAAGACGCAAGGCGGCGGCATGGCTACCCTGTTTGCCTATGCACTGATATTAATCCTGGTGACGACAGAGATTTTCACCTGGAGGGAACAAAACCGGCTAGAGACCTCCACAGCGGTCGTTGATACCTCGCTCGGGAAAAAAATGCGGGTGAACATGAATATAACGTTCCCCAGCCTGTGTTGCGATGATTTGCATCTTGATTCCATCGACGTAGCAGGAGACTCGCAAATCAACGTTGAAGATACTCTCGTAAAGAAGAGGTTGCACATGAACGGAAAATTGTTTTCGCAGGAGGAAATTAAAGCTGAATTGAACATGCACCACCAGGAGCAACTCCGAAAGCTCGAAATCCTCAAATCAAAGCTTCCAGCGGATTATTGCGGCCCGTGTTATGGGGCACACGAGCGAGAAGACCAGTGTTGTGATACCTGTGACGATGTCATCGAGGCCTACAAAAACAAAAAGTGGAAGACCGATTTGCTCCAGTACACGTCGGAACAATGTGTCCGAGAGGGGCGCGACAACGCAGAACCCAAAAAGATGACCAAGGGACAGGGATGCAACCTTTCCGGTTACATGACACTGAACCGGGTAGCCGGAAACTTTCACATTGCCATGGGAGAGGGCATCGAACGGGATGGACGACACATCCACACCTACAACCCCGAAGATTCGATCAATTTCAATGCATCCCACATTATTCACCACCTCAGTTTCGGCGTGGAAGACGGACACGAACCCTTGAACGGGGCCACGAAAATTGTCACCACCGATACCGGATCGACCGGCCTCTTTCAGTATTTCATCAAGATTGTCCCAACAACGTACGTGGGGCACGGAGTAAATTTCCCGGAATTCGACCAAAATCTGCCTTCTCTGTTCGAGGAAGCCGAGGAATTCGCCAGTTCCGACCATCGAAAAATCGAAACCAATCGTTATTTCTTCACGGAGCGCTTCCGGCCCTTGATGACCGAGCTCTTGGACGACGAAGACTATATGGACGACGATAGCGGAAAGGCCGCCGCCGACACGGGATACACCGGGGGGCACCACAACAAGAAGCACCATTCGAAACAAAACAGCGTCCTTCCCGGGGTCTTCTTCATTTACGAAATTTATCCCTTTGCTATGGAAATCAAACAAAACGAGGTCCCTTTCACGCACCTATTGATTCGGCTCATGGCCACGATTGGAGGTGTGTTTACCCTGGCGCGGTGGATCGATTCGGTCCTGAGCGAACGAATGAGCGGCAACACTCGTGGTGACATGAGGACGCCGACGAGGTTTAGCGTCAACACGTAGAAGCGATTTTTTCCAGAACATTGTTTAGAAAGAACTGCGTTGAATCCAAGAAATTGCTACTTCATTTGAACAAAGGCTGCTATTGTACCAATTTATACTGTTACTATAATACTAATCATGGTTCGATTTTTCGTATCTATCTAGTAGGATCAAACAGTGAAGTAGACAGTTTTGTGTACTTGTCTTTTAGAAAGAGTAGTCACTATTTGTCACACTGCTGTCGTTGAGATGTCTCTCCTTCAGTGACGATATTTAGCAAATGCGAAGCATCTTCTTTGTTGAGGAAGATCAAAAGCAGTGTTCCCAAGTGCAATATGCTGATGCATCATTTTGCATACAAGAAGCAAGAACATTTTCGGAATATACCACTATACTCCTACTACTACCAGAATTGGAAATCAGTTTACATCTCAGATTGCGTTCCCATGCTACCAAAAACTGAACTTCATTCAAAAATTTATTTCCGCTGCTACTGCTAGTACTAGTACTGGTGGTGGTGGAGGAGGAGGAGTTTGTTGCTGTGTAGACCTTACTAGCTGTTATAAAATTGCTGTGTTCACTTAGGAAACAAAGTAATTGTTCCAAGCACTGGAGATACTACTAGAATCAACGCTCTTTTATTTCTCAGACTCACCTACTATTTTCAGAAATTGATTCTTTTCAGCACTAAAGTACTACTACTAGTAGTGTTGACTTGCTTACTAGAAGTACTTCTTTACAATGGTTTTCCGTCTTCTACCCAATCAATTCATTACAAGTCCACCAGTTTCTGCAGGCCGGGTTCGAACTCGACATGTTTGACTTTCCAGTCACTGTTGTTCCACGATTCACGAGACAACGGGAACCAATCACATCATAGATCGTGTCACCAAAAAATGAAAAATGCTCATGATGCGAATAGTCGTGGTGTGAAAAAAAAATTGTGACTACAGTAAACGTGTAAGTTCGTACGGTACGTATCGATAAAATCGATTTCAATCCATGAAATTTCGGGGAGATTCTCTGAAGAGCATCCAAAACTTCTCGCAACAGTAGATGTTGGTGTCGAATTCCACAAAGAGAATCGTTCACCGTCGATCAATAATCACACAAGCGAAAGAAAAGCGCACAAAAGTAGCTGTTGGGGAAAATTCATGCCGCGACGAACTAGTTCAACCGAGGCACATATAGGTTCTGCATCTCAATATGCATCACATGCCGACAAGAATTCGCTTTCGCAACGTCCTGGTTGGAATAATAGTTATTCTTGGGCTACCATCGGGTCCAGAAGCCTTCAATACTATATCTAGTCATGTTGTGTTATCAAGAATAAGAGTGACTCCAGCCACAACCACAACTTCAAAGACAAAGGGAAAGATCAGTCATGCAAAAATTATAACGGCTGCTTTTGCTGACAAAAACAATAATTGGGAGATGAACCGTCGGAGTGACGACTACAATGTCATCGAGAAAATAGCATTGAGACCGACTCGATTGTCCTTGCTGGCAATCACTTTTTTGCTTGCATTCAGAAAGTTTCTCACAGTTTCTGGCTTCCATGCGCGATTGGGACAATCTCTTGTGACACTCAAAAAAGTGTGGACCCCGGGAATTGCTGTTACTCTTTTCCGACTGGTAAAGCAGTATTCTAGCTCCTTGTCCGCACGATATATGGACTTGTTAGCTTGCTCTCCGCTGTGGACAAAAACCGTGACTACCTCGGTGCTAGCGGTTGCGGGCGATTCGATCGCCCAGTATATTGAGACTCACAAGTTCAGCCCGTCGGTTGTGGAAGGAGACGAAGGCTTCGGCAAAACCAAGGATGTTGCAGTTTCGGCGTTTTCCGTAGGATCCCCATTCTCCTGGTTGAAAGACTATGATAGACGGAGGGGAATTTCGATTCTAGGAGAAAACATGCTGATATCGGGGCCACTTCTGCACTTTTCCTACAACTTCATGGAACAGTTGATTCCCACCAATGGAGGTGGAAAGTCGGCCTTTCTTGCTGCTTTGTCACATTCCCTTATAGACAATTTTATCCTCGACACAATATTCCTGGCCATCATGTTTGTCACCACTGGGATTGCGGAAGGTTACGTTCAAGAAATAATACCACAGTTCAAGAAGGATTTTTTTCCGACGTTACGGACGGGTTGGATAGCGGGAATATGTTTGCTTCCGGTCCAGTTCCTAATATTTCGTTTCCTTCCGCTCAGTCTTCGGGTGTTAGGTGTGAACATTATCGACATGTTTTGGGGTGCATATGTCAGCTACATGGTCCACAGAAGGCGGCAGAAACCACAGCAGTGAGTAAATGAGAGAATTCCAATGCCATCATGAAGGGCCACCGATTTAGATGAGTAGTTTCGTAATCATAATCACACTTCTTTTGGTACTATTCTGTTTTTGCAGCAAACGCAACAGACGGCCAAATATCAACTAATAATCACCAACAAAAAAGGAGAGAGATATCTGTAATTTATTTACGTTTCGACTATGAATCAATCTCTGTTGAGAGGCCGGTTTGGTTCATCGAACATATCCAGCTGCTACGACTTTATATCAATAACCCCGTCAGTATTAGCATCTATTCCCATTTCAATCCTCTCGTTGGATTTCAATTTCCCCCTTTCGAAAGCAACGGATTCATTCGCGTCTCCATTCTTTCCTGCCATTTTATTGCTAGTGTCCACCGTCTGAAAGTCAGAAGAGCTTGAGTCCTCGGCGATCATCTGAGGTGATGGTGTGTCAGAGAAATCTCCCGGTGCTAAAGTAGAATCAAAACCTATTGACACCTCCCCGTGTGATCTCGATCTGTCTCTGCTAACTGAATCGATTGAGACATTTTTCGATCCTGATTTTCTTCTGCGTCGATAGGGGCCTAAATCAGCACTACCGTCCACTCCCGATCTCTTATCATGCACGTTCGGCATCGAAGACCTCATGGACGATCTCATTGCTCTTTTCACTGTTGATGTAGTGTCTTCCCCGATGTAAATTCGGCGCATCTTTGGCATAAAAATCAATGCCAGGACTGAGAAATTCTGAAAGAAAACAGCTGCCCCTCGGATGAAGAAGAAAACATTTACGTTATCGCGGACCATAGCGGAGACAGGGACGGCAAGCACCAGAATTTGAAACATGAACATGACCGAGAGAAAGATATAATTACTCTCGGCAAAATCTGAGGGGATATCCTTCGTCATCCAGCACAAAATTAATGCGAAAAACAAACAGATGACATTCATTCCAACCAAAGCGGCAAAGCACCACCATCCTTTCTGAGATTCACATCTTCCAACGGATTCGATAGCATAGCCGTCTACATCTGAAATGATGGTCCTTTCCCACGTATGGGGAGAAATGACTTGAAATACCACAAGTACTATCAGTTCGGCAGAGAGCATGATAGCAATAATATAGTATACGTCTTTGTAGTCTACCGATTGCCGTTTCATCCGAGCTGCAAGGCTGTAAAGTTTTCGAACCCTCCAAACTTTTGCGAAAAGAGCAGAGTACGTCACAGCGAAACCCTGTTTTTAGATTCAGAACAGAGTGACACAATCCGAGAAAATTGAAAGAGAATGCACGTGTCAGCTTGTGTTGCAATCGATCATTTTGTCCTTTCTAAACTAGACGGTACGTACCATTCCCCACAACCAAGGAATTGCCATGCACGCGGCATCGACGGCCTTTATGTTGTCGGTGTCTTCTCTGTACGAAGCTTCGACACCCATCGGAATGATACTCGAACTAGACAGAATTGATCCAGTGACAATCAACCCCAAGAACAAAGGCTGACTAACTTTGACCAATGTGTTTTCCCGATACCACCAGATCCATGCCAATGCAGATATACAAAATGCCAGCAAAAATCCAACCGAAACCCAACTCAATGTTTTCAAGCTAGCATTGATGTAATTCATTTCTTCCAGGGGGATACAATTGGCTGTAGAACCTGAACCGACTGATTTGAAATTGATCGAATCACCGCATACGCAGATACCTTCGTCGTTGCAAACATTCCCCATCGGGAGGTAATCAGTTATGTTGTCCGCTTGTTGTTCACAGGTACTCAATAAAGTACAATCACGGTGATCCCAGCTAGGCATGGGGTACAAGATGGGACCACTCGCTGTTTCGAGAGGGTAAATGGTGTGAACCAATTGCTCGGCGTCGTATTGAACCATCAACGAGGGGGCCATCGATTGACCGTTTTCGTCGAATGAAAAATTGCCACCCATCGTCTCAAAAGAATTGTTCGAAATGTATTCCGCTAGTTCCGGACCGTTGTCTTGAAAACTCCCAACGGCTTCTACTGCTTGGTATAGGACGCTTATCAAAGCGCCGGCCATGGCCGATTGGTAGGCAACGTCCGCTGTTTCTTCCTCGCCCAGGACAGTTCGGTAGAGCGAAGCAAATTCACTGGGAGTCCATCCGGTTACCGCGTCTTCGATCTGCAGCGAAGCATCCCACGGTGTGACGCCCATGAGATAGGCGGTGTCGGTGCCGATTTCGTTGGAAAATTTTTCCTGTCCGACACAGACCGTAAACACCTGCGCCTTTGGGCTCCACCCGACCTTTCTCATCGCGCGAACCCACGGTGCGCAATCGTAGACACACGTGATGACCACGTCGGGGTTTTCGGCCTGGAGGGTTGCGGCGATGGGTTCCAGCACGGTGACATTCGGAGTATTGACGACTTCCGTCATCGATGTCATGGTCATTCCGTATTGCTCGGCCAGGCCGGGAGCCGCGGCGCAAACCCCCCTGGTGAAACTCGCATCTTCCCACACCGTGGCCATGGTTTTCGCGCCGCTGATCGTCGCCAGCGCTTTCACCGCCTGCAAGAGGTATTTCTGGGTGGGTGGCAGCATCCCAAAGGCCAGCGGTTTGTCCAGAAATACCTTTGTGGAGGCGGCACCGGGCGCCAGGACAAGCTTGTCGCTCTCGTTGTGCGCTATTTCGACGTAGGGCTGGGTCAGCGTGCTCGAGTAGCCGGCCGTCAGGACGTCCACCGAGCTGTCGTTCGCGAGCTTGTAGGCGACCGCGGAGGACCCGTCCGTCGATCCCAGGTCGTCGTAGGTGCGCAGCTCGATCGCGTAGTTGCCGTCCAGCCCGTCCAGCCTGACGCCACACTTGTGGCGGTTGATGTGGTCGATCATGATGTTGAAGGCGGTGCGCTGGCCGCTCCCGAGAGCGAAAAACTTGTCGTCCGGTCCCAGCGAGAAGAAGTTTCCAATCACCATCGTTCCGGCAAAGTCGCAATCGGTTCCCTCTTCGATGGTGCGGTAAAGGGAGACCACCCCGTCCGAATCTTCGAGTGCTGCCGCATCTACCATGCAAACGAAAAGAATGGAAAGGAGTTGGATCGTTGCCTTCACTCCCCACGGCATGCCCCGCCACATCCGCGAAGGGGATCGATGCGATTGCGAAGGCATTGCGAACGTAGGATTGCCTTTGTTATTTGTTATCCACTCCTGCGCAAGGATACACTATTGAAAGAGTCCTTTGGTTTGTGATGATGACGTATAAGCGCGCGGAGGTACTTTTCAGTTGCTAAGCTTCAATAGTGGCTTTTAGTGGTCCGAATTATTGGATGGGGGTGAGAGGGTTGCAGCAGTTTTTCGTCCTTTCACGTGAGTTTTCGTATCGTGCATAAGGGTGTCAATTATTGTTAACAATTACTACGTACCGTATTACCGTGACGTTGACCTCAAGAGTGAAGATCAAACTGTCTTCCCAGAAACGAAGAGCTAAAGCACGATGTATTTAGGCATGACATTTCGATACCAAGTAGAAGCACCGACATCGCATTGAGAGTCACAAAGAAATGTCATTATGAACATTATTATTGCCCGAAAATTGGTCTTAATAAAATTGAGTGTTCTTTACCGGTAAAATTGCACTATGATAACCCTCAAAAAAATAAACATACCACTGAAATTTAGGATTGGTTCTTATTGTTCCGTTGCGACGTCGTTGATTCTACTAGTTGTCTCAGAACAAAAATTGTCCAAAACGAAGTGATGACCTGCGAAATGTATGCATGCTCTTTAGTGTGGTATGAATACGTGTTTACAATAAAGAGTGAGTTGAGTGGTGCTGCTTATTGCTGTCTCTCACTATTCACTCGTCATTTACAACGCGTTACTTGTACTGCCTTACCGTACAATAGAAGCAGTACTTCTACTACTTTTTAATTCCCAAGAACTGCTCGACCTTCCTAACCCTACTACGGTAGTAGTAGTACTACGGTACTAAGCAACCCTGTTACGTAGTATTTTGTTACTAGTAAGCTAAGAAGATTCTGAGGAGAACTACTACTAGTACTACGGTGCTACTACTACAAGTAAGATGAATCCCTGATGGCAATCAAAGAAGTACTACTACTGCTACATCTAGTAGTACCGTACGTAGTTGAAGGATGCAATATCATTTTGGTCTCAGTTTTACAGTCATACTAGTCATTACACCAACAGTACTACAAGAAGTACTAGTGGTAGGTACTACTACAAGAACAAGGAGTAATTGTACCTACTTTAACTACTGCAGTGCTTCTCATTTTTTAATTTCGAGCGCGACCAACGCACACCAATGTAAATCTTGCCCCCGATTCAAAGCACAGTACAGAAGTCCACAACGGTCAACCGAATCGAATCACGCGAACGCTCGACTGTTGTACGGATTAATTCGATCCGGGTGCGTTGCTCCAACGGAAACCGAGTCGTACTCGACTTGATACGTACGTACTCGTACACACCATACTGTACCGGACGCCAAGAAAAACATACACAAAGTACGATACTCGTTCCACGAACACGAGAACGGCGGCTTCTGTTCGGAATCCCCCGGAACCGAAAGCATCACATCACATCACATCACATCGCATCTCATCTCATCGCATCACACCGCACCCATCGAATCGAATGGAACCGAACCGATCGATCATGGAGCGCCGTTCCCTCGCGCTCGGATGCCGATCCGCCCTCCCACCGCTGGTGGCGATGGCGGTGGCCTGGTATGCCTGCTCGCCGTCGCCCGGGGGCGGCGAAAACCAAGCGGCGGCGCTGGCCCGCTGGTCCTTTTGGCTGGCGGCGGAGGCCTCCAAGAGGTACATGGAGGTCCTCGAGGACTGGCCCGTCGCCACCAAGGCCCTGACGACCGGCGTGATACAGCTCATGGGCGACGGAATGGCGCAGTGGTTCGAGCAGAGGGGGGAGCGGGCGGAAACGAAGACAGAGACAAAGACGGAAACCCCGGGCAACCGCAGGCGGTACGACTCCCGGAGGGGCGCCTCGCTCTTCGCAGAGGGCCTCTTGCTCTCGGGCCCGCTGCTGCACTACTGCTATGAGTCCATGGAGGAGGCCTGGCCCACCTCGACCGTGGACGCCGCGCCGAGGCCGCTGGCCACGCTCTGCCACGTCTTTGTCAACGACTACTTCATCGACAGCGCCTACATTGCTTTTTCCATTGCCTTTACCGCGATCGGGGAGGGCCACACCATGGGGGAGGTCGGGGAGATCTTTTCCAAGGACTACTGGGACACCCTCAAGGCGAGCTGGGCGACGAGCGCCTGCCTCCTGCCGTTGGAGATCTACTGCTTCGGCTTTCTGTCCCTGTCGCTCCGGGTGCTGGCCATGAATTTCGTCGACCTGCTGTGGGGGGCCGTGGTGAGCTTTTATTCCCATCGCAGCCGGAGAGAGGCCGCGGGCTAGCGAGCCGATGCGATGGAATTGAAACGAAGCGAAACGAAACGAATCGAATCGAATCGAACACAGGATGAGAAAGGATCGGTGACGGGGGTCCCCGATTACGGTTCCAGAACAAAGGACGCGGGGCGCGGATTTCCACCGTCGGATTGCCGCCGGGGGCGGTCTTTCTCTTTCCCGGCCACCCCAACCCGTTTTCTGCAGGTGGCACGTCCTTTCCATCGGTGCTGCCCGCCGCTGCCGTGCTAAGAGGTGGAATGCGAATGCAAATGCGAGCCCGCACGGAAGGGCAAAGAGGCCCACCCTTTTCGAACCAGCGCTGCGGCGTGGGATTCACTGCGGGATAGGGCCGCTCGCGGAGCCGAGGTCGGCTGATGCGGTGGGCACTGCAACGGAGTGCATCGATCGCCGTGCGATTGCCTCGGCTTGGTTGCGTTTCTCTGGTGTTCGTGTGCGTACCGTGCGAGAAGCCGGTGGCTATGGTATTTTTGTTTCCAGACGATGCCCCTCTTTATCTCGGTGTTTCTTCTTTTTTGCTTCGAATCATCACGTGCTGTGAACCATTCCCTCGAATTTTTGGCATGCGGTAGTGAATACAGCTGAAAACCGTCGCCCTTTGTGATGCCGTGAACACCGCCGATCTCTTCCGGGAAGAGGGCGTGTCGCTGGTGTTTTGGTTCCACCGCAGCCGGCGAGAAGCCACGGCACGAGCCAAACAAAGGGCAGTGCGGACCAATGGAGCAAACGAGGGAACGTTTGTCACCGTGGAAATACAGGAAAACAAACGACGAAAGATTGCATCCCATGCATCGGTCGGTATCAACCAACAAACGAGAATGAAATGTTCGCCATCCAGGCAAACAAAATCAACCAGACCGCATGGCACTGCTATTCATTCCCAAAAATCAGAGAATAATCAGTTATTGATGTGAAGAAACATCAATAAATTTGTGGAGGAGAAGAAGGAATTGAAATTTCATGGCAAATTTAGCATTGGATATGAAAGAAGATGGCCCAAAATTCATGCACTGTGTTAATTGCAAATGCAAATTAAGTGAAGGTCAACTCATTCTAACAGAGATCTTGCAACAAGACAGAATCAGATGTAGCAAATGAGTGACGTCTACCACCAATACACTCACCACTGTTTACTAACAATGCGGCCAAATTTTGAGTGATAGTTTTCTATAAACCGTATATTTTACATCCATTTGTGATAGATAGTGCAACCCAGCAGAAAAAAGCAAAAAGTTGGCCAGAAACCAAGCTTGTTTTACCCGCAAAGGTGTTAATTGGAGTACCTGGTACTGTACTTCGGTACAAAAGAAGCGCGTTTTTTTATTTTATTAACCACCGAAGTAGAGACTGTCCACCGAAGGAATTTTGGTCGCAAGTGCACGTGATCCTCCAGACGGTACAGGCACCGATTAGCACTTTTTCTGGAGGTAGTCGGATACCCAGCTGGCGTCCCTAAGATCGTAAAGGCACGTTTCATCGGATTCTGTTTTCGGATGTGTCGGAACGCAAGATTCGGCCGCCGGAAATGAAAAGGGCTCCTGCGAAAGGTCGTTCTTGTAAAACTGGCCATCCCCAACGTTAAAGTTATGGTTCCCCGGGAACGTGGTGGTAAGCAAGAATTTCGCCCCGGATTTGAAGACGTTGCAAAAGTACTTCACACCTAGATCTAGGTTCATGTGTTGGATCACATCTCTCACATGGACCAAGTCGAAGGTTTCCTCCTCACCGCTAGTTCCATTTAGGAAGCGGGGAACGGCACAATGGGAAGCATCCCAGAAGTAGAATTCCTTGTTCTTGTGGTGGGCAAACCGTTTCTTGTTCACCTCAATCACTGCACTAGTAACATCTAGGCCAACATAAAAGGGCAGTGAATCCGTTTCAAAACTATCGAAGATCCAATTGACATCTCCGCAAGGAATATCCACCATAGATTTGATGTTATATTTTCGTAATATTTCTTTGATTTGTTGGAGAGAGGTTTCGGTATTGTATCCTAGCCAGCTGCCTTTACCAGATGCTGATCTCTGCCGTATTTCCTTCGGAGGCCATTGCGAGTGTCCGTAAAATTCATATGGGGATTATAGTTTTTGGGACCAGCCCCCCACTCGATATTTCTCATCAAAGTCTGATCTGGAAGGGGAGTCGCATTTGTTTGGGATTGCTGTCGTTCGTTGCTTTACTATTGGAGTGGATTGGTGTTGTATTGAATACGGAGCACGCGGAAAATTTGTGATAAGCATTGTAGTTAAAATAGCATATGCGATGACCTGAAAAAGGTTGGTTCGTATGCCCGTCGATCTCGTTTGTCCAATATTCTTGACCATTGTGCCAATCACTATTAGTTCGGTTCCGTGTATCCTTGTTATTCAAAGGTGTGAATGGTCATATGCAACTGCGAGTGCATTCATTGGTCCTCAATTCGGGTGGTGCATGCCAAATAGCCATGGCATTTCCTTCAGAAACCATTTTCAGTACCGGTACATCCGCAATCATTGCCCACAACCCTTGGGAGATCCATATTGCTTATGAGGACAATCCACAATCACGAGTAGATAGTGAATAACCTCATTCTTTATTGTAAACAACGTATTCACGTACACTTGTGAGGATAAATACGTGGAACAACCACAATCACGAGTAGCTAGTGAATAACCTCACTCTTTATTGTAAACACCCGTTTATCGTACAATAAGGAGCATTCAATCATTTCAAAGGTTATGAGCCCAAGACTCGCTCCAGGCTCCCCCTGAGGACCTTAAACAACAACTTGCCAAAGAATATCGAGCAGCACAGGAAGCATCTCGCAAGACAGCTACACCACCATCTCATGGCGACCAACCTGCTACCATGCATTCCATTACCAGGAACTTCAACTGCATCGACAACAAATTACAAGCCCTTAAGGATAGCTTCGATTCATCCAACGACGCACCTAATGATAGCTCCAATAATAGCTCCGATTCACAAGAAGAAGCACTAGACGAAGCACATGAGGATGAAGAAATATCCAACGACCAACATGTCCTTCGCCTGGTGAATAAAGTTATTGCCACAACGGAACAATCCTGGCATAATCAAATGGAACATGCACAAAAGGATTGGAGCAGTCAGCTCACCACTGTTTCCTCCACTCTTGCGGACATGCGTAAAGAGTACAATTCATCCCTTCGCTCCACCACAGAGGAACTAACCGAAGCACTCAATGCGAATCGCAAACTTGAGGAGCTGCTCACTCAACAACGCATCCTCCTCAAAGAGGCTCTAGAACAAAACAAGGTCCTTACACAGGAACTTTCCACAGCGGCATCCACAACCTGGGCACTGGATCAGCGACTGTCCAAAGCAACGACAGTAATCTCATCACTCAAACATGAGACTATTGCCCTAACAAACATCCGTGATGAAGCAAGCAGCATTACAACCAAATCACCAACTGTGGAGGAAGTCTCCAAACAAATCAGAGACCTAGTCAACCACAGTAAAAATGCCCTTGAGGACCTCGGCTCCGAACTTGAACAACGTACTACCACCACGGTCCTCAACCAACTGTCGACATTGGAATCCACTGCTCAGAGTATCATCACCTCAAAGCTTGATTCGCTGCGCACGGAAAAGGATTCTGTCATGCAAAGCCTTAAGGACAAAGTCATTGCTTCAGTTCAGTCGGAGATAACGACCAAACTGGAAACCATCGCAAGTGACTTCCGCACTGACCTCCTCCATACTAAAAACACMATAAAACAAAATACACAACAATATATTAACCAACTGAACATCAAACAACTGGATATTGACAAAGCAATCTCGAAAAATGCCACTGAAGCAACAAGCAACCTCACCATCGCTACCTCTGCTGCCCAATCAAACATCGAATGTGCTGTGTCAGCTCATCTCCAGTCCAGCCCAGTGCATGACGACATACATAACATTATCAATTCCACCGTCACTTCCATACTGTCCTCTGACAAGTTCCACACTGATGTGGACACCAAACTCAACCAGTATATTACTGACTCCACAACCCTGAAGGACCTCCTTATTCTACATGTAAAGAACACTATCCATAATGAACTTCCAATCCCAGAGAAATCACAGAAAAACACACAGAAAAAATACATTACATCCCCCACCCGCAACCCTAATTCATACTCAACTCCACACTATAGATCTCAAGACGTCCGCAACATGCCCCATACACCCACATACACAAACAACGGTCAACAGACCAGCTCTGACCCCGACTGGGACAGTGACGCGGACTGGATCGACACCGAAGACGACCACTACCATACGGCTCCAGGACGCCCGCAACGATCACGAACAACACGACCCAACACACGCAACCGTCACTATCCTGACACTGCACACGAACGGAATCATCGCATTAGTAAGGCCATCAACGCCATGGAACACAAACACATCAACACAAATTTGATACCACGTGAGAACCGGTACCTCACTGCAGCAGAATTCAACACACTTTACAATGACATCCACAGCACAATGACGCTTGAAAGTCTTCCCCTCACTCACCTGGACGACCTCCGCGTTTACCACAGCTGTCTCCCCCCTAATCACAATGAAACCGATGAAAACATTAGAAAGATCGGCACCTATCTTTACCAGCGACTAACTCATCTGATCGAACCTCACCTCATGAAGATTCGGGGTCTCATGGCGCCATATCAGCATAAAATGGAAGGCTATGAAGCTCTATATGCCATAGCTCGAGCATCACTTGACTACCTTCGACCCACAACCACTGGCTGGGGCCCACCGTGGACACCCAACGATGATCCAGGCACCTATGTTGGCAAACTTCTTGAACATGTCCGTGTTAGCAACCTCACTCATCGACAACACTACTCAGAACTGGATCAAAGCTTTGAATTTGCATCCCAGACAATGCAGAATTATAACTTTGCCGCAGGCAACTGCCTCATGTTTGCCCTCGACACATACCGTAGAGATACAGCAGACGCACACAACAAACCAGTTCCCAAACATCTCTCGCTCACGGCCATGATATCATACGTCCTGGACTACCCAGTGTCGAATCCCAAACCGATTACACCAGTCATACATAGGATCGACAACTCACCAAAACGGAAATTCAAATACAGAAATAAGGTCCAGTGCCAATGCTGCCATACGTACGGACACAATATCGGAGATCAAGTCTGTCAATTCGGTGCCCAATTACATCATGCCACTGCATATGCGGCAGCTCACCCGGACGACTTCAAAACGAATGCGGACAAACATAATCGCATGAACATGAAACATGTAGTCAAACTCTTTGACGCCACCACAACACTGGACCCAACAGATGAGGTACAGCACGAACTCCTACGCGAACAGTGGGCGGCTGAATTCGAACCTGAAGAACCTGAAGAATCCCGCACACCACTGCTGGCCACACAACAATCATCGCATCCAGTGGACGAATAGGGAATACGCCGAATCTTTAGCGAGGTTCGGCCTAGATCACACAACCACACACCACGGTACAGATACGAAGTGCTGGATGTATCCATTACCAAAGGTCCGCTCAACGAACGAGGATATCCAACTGCAAACCATCGTCACCCGGATCACGGCATCTTCTGCAGTCCCTGCAGCTCCTCACACTTACCTGACCCTCCCATTAGCAATCATCACTGTACTTCACGTCTAGCAGACAATGAGCAAGCAGTTCAGCACGGCAATCCCTCGCCTGCAGCTTGTAATACTGCAGTTCCCACTGGGAACAGTACGGATATCAGCAACACGACTACTACACGTAGTACTGAACGCACTGCAACAACCAGTACTGAAAGCAATGAAACTGATACAGATAGTACTACTCCTCTCAACACTGCACGCCACGACCCCAGTACACCGATATGTACATCCTACAAGATCCCACAAACAGCTCTATCTAAGAACACTAAACTTAGTGATGACTCCCACATCCGTGAGTCGGTTCCCCCTGCGGAATCGTGCGCCGACCGCTCCCACTCGACTAACCAACGGTCAAGTATCTATCAAATACGGGAACACACGCCACCACAATCCTGTGCCCCTGGTCACACAGCGACTGCCCGTGCTTGCTCCAGCCTCTCATTGGCGTGTCCGGCCTGTGTACGCGATTACTATATCCACAGTTTCAACGCCTCACTACCTAGCGACACCGTACCGCCGACATATACCACGTCAGTTGATAACACATATGGTCTTGCGCCCTTTGACATTCAGAACGACTCACTCGCGTCGGAATACGACACACAACGTACAGGCATCCGTATGGCCCACCATACACACCATACCAATCAACGCACACACCTACGCCTAACTATGGATGGCTCCCCTCAGCCCACCATACGGACTGTACTCTACACAGTATCAGCTCAGTCTATCCCACTCCAACCAGACACCGGCGCTAATATATCTGCCACTGATAATATACTGCTTCTTCATGACTATAAACAATACAATACACCAACCGAAGTGGGTGTATTCTGTACAACGGATGACTCCCTCCAAAATATATTGTCAGCACATGGTGAGGGCTATATCAACCTGATCTCTGACCAAGGCACTACCATGCGCTGGCGTGCACTATACACGCCTAACTCTACTGGAACGGTACTTTCACCTGATCACTACCGATATGAACGTAAACACTACGGATTCCTACAGGAGGGACGTGACACCAGCAAAGGATCAGTACAGTTCATAAACAGCAACAATGATATAGTGGAATCAATCCAAACAACAAGGACTAACAATGGTGAGTGGTATACAACTAACAAGGCTCTTGTTCGCAATCCCCTTGAGAACCAACATATTGCGGACAAGCTACGACGTTACCAAGAGGCCACAAGTCAACGACATACGGTACATGCGATCGCAACGGATCACCGACCAGCCACGAAGACATGGTCAACAGGTCTATCCACTGCACTCAAAAATCTAGAACTCTGGCATCAACGTTACGGACATATATCACCAACTACTCTATCCAAGACCCAGAAAGTTGTAGAAGGTATGCCCAAACTCCCCTCCTCTACCCCTTATTTCCGCTGTCCGTTCTGCGAAAAGAGCAAGATGACCAAATATCATGGCACTCGTAGAAAAGAACCAAAAGAACGATTCATCCCAGGCCAATCCTTCCACATGGATCTTTCCTTTGTCAGTGGCCCCCCGAACATCACTGCTATCCTAAAATCCAATGCCAAGCCACTCCCGACACTCAAGAAAAGCCGTCAGGGTTTCATCGGCTTCCTCACGATAATTGATGCAGCCACACGGGCTCTGTGGACTATACCAATCAAGTCCAAGGAGCCACCAGTTGCTATCATCGACACATTCCTCAAGAAACATGGCATTCGAAAAACAGACCCTCGTAAGGCCGTCACAACAACAAGAKGGGGATACCTCACAAGATCACGCTCCTTTGCCAACACCTTACAAAACAACACCTACCCAGTCACACCACAACCTGAGGACTACTTCCTGGATCTTCTCCCAGACCACCTTGACTGCACCATCATGACGGACGGAGGTGGAGAACTTTCCAACTCCTCTAAATTCACCAACACCGCACACAAGCATGGATACGACGTCCTCAGGACTGCGGCAGATGCCTCATCCCAAAACGGACTAGCGGAACGGCCACACAGGACCCTGAAGGAACGCATACGTTGCTTGCTGTATGCCGATGGCCTTGGTACTGAATACTGGACCAATGCACTTCTCCATGCCACCTGGCTGTACAACAGGACATACCACAGTGCGATAGGCACCACTCCCCTTCAACAATATACCGGACGAATTCCCCTTGTGGACAACCTTATCACTTTCGGTGCGAAAATCACTGCAAAGCGTCCTGGCACACGCCCTACCACAACCCAACCGTGGGCATATGATGGTATATTCCTTGGCTATGGCAAAACCACTGATAACATCAAATACCATGATATACACACGGGTACAGACAAGATTGCAAGACATGACTCTAAAGATGACCTTCAATATGGAGATGAACCATCCAATAGATCCCCTGCTAGTGCTCACCTCCTTGAAACATTCACTGAAGGCAAAAGCAACGATCACACGACTAACCGTGGTCCGGAGCCAGTCAAACTGGATATAAAAGACCCCCGACAGCTTAATCCGCAGACACTGGTAAATGAAATAATCAATGACTCTCCTACGAGTTATGCAGCGGCCGCCGCAGCAAAGATTACCGCTCAAATACACCGAACAAAATTTGAACGGCCCGATATTGCTGCCCTGATCCCTGAACTCGAGTCCCTGGACATCTCCACTAATATGTTTCTCAAAGAAACAACACACACGCTTCCCCTTCAAAACCCTAGCAGCATTCACCCCACCATGGGATTCATTGTTGAATCTCACCCTGATATCTCACAGGCAATGGAACTCATTGCTATTCAGGTTGGATCCATAGCACACTCACGAATACGGTCATGGAAACGACGTCTCCGTGGCACAATACTCACAAAAGTGGATGAACGACTTATAACAACAAGACAGGACATCGTGAATGCTGTCAATCAAGCCAAAAATTTGCATAAGAAAACCATTACATTTACATTCGGATCCCTTGTGGGCTTTGCAATGAATGGAGAGGGTGTCCCAACACTTCAAGCTGATCAGCTTAATGTGATTGCACACCATCTACATGCAATTAACTACAATCAAGATCTTTGGCAGAACAAATCTGACTGGCCCTCCCCAATCGACTCTCCAGAGGTCCTCCACGATCAAATGCAAATTGCTAAGCTCACACAAACAAAACTTCAATCCACGGACAAATGGAATGGATTCCTTCGTTCTGAATGGAAACAACTCAACCGATACCATAAAGTAGGCATGTTTGGTGATCCAGTTAAAGAAACACCAGATATGACAGTTCTCCCCTGGGTCTGGACATATCTTGAGAAAGAAAACCCCCTCACAGGCATTGATGAACCCAAATCCCGGGGCACATGCAACGGAGGCAAGAGATATGGGAAAGCGGTTACCCTAGCTGAAACCTACGCATCCTGCGTAGAACAGCCCATTCACAGACTCACATGGGCCATAGCCGCAGCCCTCAACCTCATCTGTGTTGGCTACGATGTGGGTAATGCTTTTGCGGAAGCTCCTCCTCCAAAGAGCCCATTCTATATGCGTGTAGATGCTCCATTCCAACAATGGTGGACTGAATGTCTCAACAGGGATCCTATCGAAGTCGACCAAGTTATCCCTATTATGAAAGCTCTCCAAGGCCACCCAGAGGCCCCCAGACTGTGGGATAAATATATCTCAAAACTCTTAATCACACAGCTGGGATTTAAACCAACAACACACAAACCATGCCTCTATTATAAACATGACCCAACAGATGGCCTTATTCTAATCCTTCGCCAAGTGGATGACTTCCTCATTGCCAACACGAATGCATCAGTATGCGATAAGATCAGAGACCTCATCCAAGCCCGCATGACAAACCCCCTCAATATCCTTGGTACCATTCGGAAATTCAATGGCATTCATGTCAACCAGACACGACAATACAACCATCTTCACTGCTCACGATACATTGAAAAGATATGCGAGCACCACGAATGGACCGTCGGCCGCACTCGGAAACGGCCAACACCAATGAAAGAGGCCTCTATATACCAAAAACAGATCCAACTTGCACGTGGCCCAACAGACCCCCTTGAAGCCATCCGTTTAGAACAGTCGATGGGCTTCAGTTATAGACAGTGTATTGGAGAACTCATATATGCCCTAACCATATGCTGTATTGATATCTCTATTGCAGTGATCACCTTAAGCCAACACTCACACAATCCAGCTAAGATTCACTATAATGCAATCCGCACTCTTTTCCAATATCTCTTAGCCACCAAAACAGAGGGGCTCACCTACTGGTGACCACGCCAATGAATGGACCTCCCAGATACTCCACACCCCAATCCGCCAGTCACCAACCCAGATACATTAGCTAAATTCCGGACTACCACACTCCCCCTGCAAGTTACAGGCGCCTGCGATACAACCTGGGCCTCAGACAGACTGGAAAGACGATCTATGGGAGGAATCATTATGATGCTAGCTGGAGCTGCAGTATACTACAGAACACGCCTACAACCCACCATTGCCCAAAGCTCCACAGAAGCTGAATTCACTAACATGGCCGATGCTGGCAAGGCAGCTCTATATCTCAGATGGATACTGGAAGAACTACTCATTAACCAACCCCTCCCCACACCAATACTGGCCGATAACCACGGTGCAATTAGGATGGCCAATGCACAACAACCAACTCACCGCACAAGACACGTAGAAATGAAGCACTTTGTTATATTACAATGGACTGATGATGAATTCATAGATTTCATCAAATGCAAATCCGATGAAAACTACAGCGACTCACTGAGCAAACCCACGGGCAGGACAAAATTCTATGAACATACTGATATCTTCATGGGACGCCTCCGCCCACCGTATGTCAATGATGCGGAATCTTCGTTACTCACCACACAACAATCATCTTTTGCTACCGATAACACACACTTCACACCACACAAAGTACACAAAACATCATGCGCCACCAGTACTGCAGACCAGGTGCCCCGCGAAACTTGGACTGCAGCACAGACCCTCTCAATGMACCAATCATTTTGCTCCACTTGCAATCTAAATCCTCTCATTGATCTCCTAGATAACAGTGACTTTGACTCACTCGAGTCTTTAGATTCTGCAAGTGCGGGGTGGTGTGAGGATAAATACGTGGAACAACCACAATCACGAGTAGCTAGTGAATAACCTCACTCTTTATTGTAAACACCCGTTTATTGTACAATAAGGAGCATTCAATCATTTCACAACACTAAGGAGCCTATCAACATTTCACAGGTTATGAAAGCGAACAAAATGGGCACCAATTCTATGATACAGTACGTACGTTGGAACATCCTGTTTTCTTTCTCCCTCTAATAGAACCCACAGTAGCTACATACCTAACGTACCTCATAAAGGTACTTGTACTTACACTACGGCACACGGCACAGAGGTGACAGTTACGTCATCAAAACGCCAATCATCTCCTCACAGTCTTCATTTCCCAGCAGTGCTTTTCGAACTTAGATTCTGTCAAGAGCTTTTTGGCTTTTTGTTCGTCGAAAATCGAGCCCCAAGGCACAACAACAGCATTCTCAATCGCTGTCACCCAGGCATCATCCAACCATTCTGCTCTTCAAAACCTCCCTGATTGTACCGCTCCTCGCCGCTGTCTTCTTCGCCATGTCCCTCAACCCAACGCCCGCCGATGCAGCTGCCAAGCGAGACGCCTTCGCCGCAACGCACACAACAACAACAGGAGAAGCAAAGGAGGGCGACGATTCGTACGGCGCGTCCCACACGTCTTTTTACACGACGGAAGAAAAAAAAGATTCGTACTCTACTCTTTCCAAAACTTTGGAAACAAAGTGCAGCGACAAATTGGTGCGGCAGGTGATCTTGGATATGATGGGCGTCTGTGCGGATATTACAGATGCGCTCCGTGTGAATTTGGTGACAGTAGAAGGAAGTGCCAACACGTTTGGAGATTCTCAATTGAGCGTTGATGTACGTAAAAAAAACTAAAATGTAATGCAATGCATTTTTCTTGGTGAAGGTGCTGGTTTGGCTGAAACATTGCGTTGGTGGTGCGAAGAAGAGACATGCTTTCAGAACCAACGATCTTCAGACGTTGTTACAAAACTTTTATTGCCAAAGACGACAGGACACGACACGATACGACCAATTCTAACACTTTCCAATTTCCCAAATATGTTTAATTGTTTCTCACGAATTATTTTGTCGTGAAATATTGGATATGGCACACAATTCTGTATCTTCTAATTCCGAACGGCCCGGCAGGTTATATCGGACAAGCTGATGTGGGATGCCTGCAAGAAATCGTCTGTCATCAGGGAAGGGGCGTCGGAGGAGGATCCCATCGTCCACAACGTCGATATTGAGGGCGAGAGTGGGGGGGAGTTTACGGTGTGCTGGGATCCGCTGGACGGATCTTCGATCATCGACAACAATTGGGCGGTCGGAACGATGATAGGGATCTGGCCAAAGAAAACCGGACTGATCGGAGCCACCGGGCGGGACCAGGTTACCTCATTGATTGCTCTGTACGGTCCCCGAACGACCGTGCTGGTGGCACTGGACGATGGCGTATACGAGTTTACCTACGGCGCTGACGTCCCCGATGAGGCCACCACCGATGGAGGAGACCCGACCTGGATCTGCACCCGATCGCGGATTCGGCTGAAGGACGACTCGAAAATTTTTTCGCCTGCAAACCTCCGGAGCGCCCAGGACCTACCGGGATACGCCAGGCTTGTCAATCACTTCATGACAAACCGCTATACCCTCCGGTACACGGGTGGGCTCGTCCCCGACGTCTATCAGCAATTCACCAAGAACATGGGGGTCTTTTGCAACCCCACGTCGGAAAAAAGCCCCGCCAAGCTTCGGCTGGCCTTCGAAGCAGCTCCGTTCGGACTGATTGTCGAAAAGGCGGGGGGACTAACGTCAGACGGCGTCACCGGTGGTTCCATCCTGGACGTAAAGATCACCGCCGTGGACCAGCGAACCGCCCTCTGTTGCGGATCGAAGAACGAAGTATTGAGGTGAGTGAATTTTTTGCTGTTGCGCATGGGTTTTGGTTTGACTGGACGTCGTTTCTTCTGCCAAAATCGTTTTGGGATTGTGTTTGCCGCCCACTGACTCAGAACTTTTACATCGTCGGCTACTGTACTTGTACAATGCGTATTTCGTACAATGTGATTCGAATCTTTCCTGTGCATTATTGATCGGCTTGGGCTGAATCAGGTTTAACGAGTTCCTGGAGCTATCAAAATAGGTTAAGAGCATATACGATAGCGACATGAGAAGTTCGACACTCTCAAAGTGTATTATGCCATAATATTAGATTTTGTTCACGGTGCCACGTACTGTAGAAATAGGATATAATCCAGCTGATAATACTTTCGAATACAATCATTAGCATGTGGGATTTCAAAGGATATCAATTTGTTTAGTTCATGATTGATTCAATCTAATCGGTATTCAATAATCATAAAAATTTACATAATCCTATCCTCCTCGTCTTCATCATGATCATCATCATCATTATCATCATCATCATCATCACCTACTTCCATCTGCATCATGTTCACCTTCATTAGCATCCATCTCATCATCGTCCTCCCATCCTCGTCCTCTACACCCTCTTCTGTGAGTCTCTCGTCCCCCAGAAGAGAAAGGATGCCTTGGATCTTTGATTTTCGAAATGTTACGCCCTCGAAGCGCAGGTCGCATTCTCTTTCCCCGAAGTAGACCTCCATCTCTCGCGTGCTTTCGAACCAATCGGTGTCGTTGTCCGGAAGCACCGGTCCGATGCTGCCCCTGATACAGGATACGGGGCGTTGCCGGTCGATGTCCGATACAAACATAGTTCCGTGCACGCCGTGCTGCCCACTGGTACCATCACCCCMCGATCCCTCCAGCAGAGAGAGAAGTACCACGGCAAAGCCGTCCTCTCGAAAGTCCTGCAGCGCCATCCCACCCAGGCGGATCTCCAGCGTCCGGATCGCGCCGGTGGGCACCGGCGGACCGCCGCGTTCGAAGGAAACCTTCCAGAAGCCCCCCCTCACGCTCTTGCCACTCGACAGGGGCGTTTCGAAGTACACGGGGAGGCCCCCGTTCCCCGTGATACGTACCATCAGGCGCTCGTCTCTCTCGGCCCGCAGGGTCCGCACTTCCTCGGCCAGGTCCGCCGTTGTGCGGTCCCTCAGTGCGGCGGCGACAAACGATGCAAGGCACGACATGTTGTGGTTGTTGGCCACCGGTGCTGGCGATTGCATGGACGGTGGCGACGGTGGCGACGGCAGCGGTGGCGCTTGAAAGCAAATGGGTATTGCGGGAGGAGCCCGAATCCGAAGCTGCACACGCGCATTTGTAACGTTCACCACGGAATTTCAAATTTGGCGAAGCAAGACCGGATAGCGAAAAGTAATACAACCTGTAGGAGGATCTCGGATGATTTGGTTCGTTGTAAGAACATGTATAATAATTGCTAGAAATCGATTTGTAAATTATACTAATTTAATTGCCTGTTGATTTATTCTAATTCCATCAACCAAATCGCTCATGTATCATCGTCGTCGTCTACGCCGCTGTCATCGTTACGGCCTTTCAATTCTGGATACATACCATACGGAGATGGAGAAATCATAGCATGTATCTGACGTGTAGAAAAACATGTGCGTAGCAACCAAAATTCGCACTCTAAGCCACTGAAACAAGTTTTCATCGATTCTAACGTATGGAACCCATTTACTGCACCTCCAGAAATTTGTGGTTCAGAGTCGCCATGTATGTAAATCGTGCCAAAGACATGCTTCAGGGGGCACGTTCGAAATGAAAAGAACTTAGCAGTATACAAATTATGCTGCTTCATTTCGTCAGATAATCCTATGAAGGCGCCCAATCCAACCCGTCCAAAGTCCTCTACAACTATCCCACCCATGCGAAACTCTAGTGATCCGATTCTGTCGAAGGGCACTAGACAATTAACTCCTTCTTGTACAATGTAAAGAAGTTTGTCATCCTTTACTAGCTCAGGTTCGTCTAATAGATTCGAACGGTAGTAAAGTGGGGAGCCTCCCGGCCCGGTTATCTCTACCGAATATCGCTCTTCTCTCTCCACTCGCAGATCTTCTTTTACTGTTTGTAGTTCCTTGGCCATCTCTTGTATGGTACGATCCCTCAGCGCGGCAGCAACAAACGGTACCAAGTCAGACATGATGGCGATGGAAATGGAAATGAAAAATGAAAATGAAAATGAAAAATGAAAATGAAAATGGCAACAGAAATGGCAACGGCAACGTCGATGGCGATAAAAGTATTTTACCATGCGCAGTGCTACATTCGAACAGCGTTTGTGGTGGTACTACACCAAACGCGAGACCTGGCTTGTGGCGATCGCTGTTTTGTCGGCTCCGAATTCATTTCGAAAAGTCTTCTTCCTACAACCGCGGCGGTCGTGGTACCGTACGGTTGGAACAAGGCGACGAAGGATTGAAATTTGCTGAGAAGCAAGATCGTTTTGGAGTTTTCGTGAAAACTACAAAAACGACATTGAGTACGAACTCGTATGAGTAGTACGTAGTGCCACTCATACGCGCGTCCTGCTGGCGTCCGTAGCGTAGGGCAGGGGAGGATCTTGGTTGCAGTGTGTGAATGTAACTCGTACTCGTACAAATACAGTAATATTTACGTAGCAGTTACGTACCGTACAACAGAGAATTGGTACCGTTCACAACGAACGTACGAGTTCTCGTACTAGTACCGCTACTCGTACTTTTATCCGGAAACCATCCTTGCGTGATTGAGATTCATTCCCGCCTGTGTGCGACGTGGAGGGACTTGACCTTCGGCTACCAAAAGCTGCTGTCACGGAACAGAAAAGCCATCACCACTGCAAGCCATCGAAAAACGAAACTGCCGAAGAAGCAACGACGCAGAACGGACACTTAGATACCGTTCGGTATGGTACCAACGTACGGTACGCTACAGTATTTCTCTCCGAATCGGTGTCATCCATCGGCTGTCGGCTGTCCATACCAATACATAACGGTACTGCACCGACGGTCTATTGCAACAACGACAAGAATTTCTTTACTAATCGCACACTCAAACACTGTCTATCCTATCCCTCCCGCACCGCGTCAGACAGTCAATCAGCGTGGAAAAAGGAATCACCAACCATCAATTCATTCATTTCGTAGCATTGTTTGAAAGAACAAACGGCAAAAAGGAACGAAATTCGAAAATTGAAGACAATGAGGACGTCGCGGAACGAACAACGGCAGCTCCTGGGGTCCCTCCTCTTCCTGGCGGCAATGCTCAGCGGCGGTGTTTCTGGCTTCCAGGCCCTTTCGCAGCGACAGAAGCCACAGCAGGCACGGCGAACGAGGCTGAAGGCCGTCGATCCCTCGAGCGTCGCCACGATCCTGGCCACCACCGCCCAGCACCAGCACCTGCAGCTGCAGGCCGATCCGGCACTCTCCGCCCTGCTGGCGACGGCGATCGACTTTGGCTCGATCCAATCGATCCACCCGGCGGCCACGAACGCGGCGGCGGCGGCGGCGAAAACCACCACCACCGAAACCATCCAGCAGCTCCTCCCCTCCGCCGGGGAGGCCGTCCAGAGCCAGGCCAAGGAGGCCCTGGAGAACGGATACAAGGTGATGGACGCCTCGGGCTTTACCAGGGGCGGGGGGTCCAGTCTCCCCGGCTTTGCCGAGACCAACAGCCTGCTGGCCCCCCACGTCTCCCCCTATCCGATGTCGGGGACTGTCACCGGGGACTACCCGATGTTCGAGCTGGGGGACCGGCTGGCCCTCTCGTACTGGCTGCTGGAATACGTCCAGAGACTCCCCTACATCGCCTTTGCCTACGTTTTGGTAGAGTTCTTTTTTCTGCGGTCCGACGTCGACCTCTACAAGGAAGACGTGGAGGACGATCCCTCGGGGGTCCTGGCCGAGACCGTCTCCGACACGGGGGTCCGCGTCGGCCTCTTTCTCGTGCTGACCCTCTTCACGTACGTCGTGTTCTGAGTCTTGCGATGCAATGCTGTGCGGTGCGGTGCGCCGGGACGGGAGGGGACGGAGATCCAAACCAAGGAATGCAATGCCGATGCCAATGCTGTAACGAACCAGGGGCTGCGATTCCAACAACAACAACAAAAACAACAACACTACCAAATAGGAACCATTAGCTAGCTAGACATAAGCACATGTAAGCGCAAAAGAAGACCCTGCTAAACTTTCGTAGCACACGCAGCGAAACAGCTGCATCAGCAACGGCACCAAAACAGTCGTCCCGTCGGCCGTGAAGAAACCAGGCTGGCGGCTATCCGCTTGCGAACAAAGATTTTGTTCCTGTGTTCCGATCCGGTCCCACCGTATCGCACGGTATCGTACAGTTGAACCAACCGCTCACCCACCCGCAACCGCGCTGCCCGGTAGGATTCCCAGCGGGAGCAAGAGAAGTTCGGCGACTTGCCTGCCGTGTGTGGGTCGTGGCAGCTGCCTTTTCGATCTGGAGTTACTACGAATCGAGAAAGAAAAGCCACACGGCGACGCTTACAACTAGGGGGGTTCGAAATAGTAAACAGTATATCTAGTATTTTCATGCCATCGCTTTTAAAATGGATTTTGTTAGTAAATATTTCCCGTGCAGCGGTGGAACCCTGACTCTATGGTTATTAGCAGAGGTTTCAGCAGAATCAAAACGACAACTTAGTTGAGCTCGAGGTATTCGTTGAATCGCTTGACTTCCTCGGCGGATCCAATGCACAGAGGAGTGCGTTGATCGACACCGGTAATTTCGACATCCAAGATGGATCCTCCGGTGATACCGTCGGACGTAAGACCTCCGGCCTTTTCGACAAGGAGTCCAAAAGGAGCGGCCTCAAAGGCCAATCGGAGCTTGGCGGGGGACTTCTCGGAGGTAGGGTTGGAGAAGACTCCCTGTCCCTTGGTGAATTGCTGGTAGACATCGGGGACAAGACCTCCAGAGTATCGGAGGGTGTATCGCTCGTCCATGAAGCGGTCGACGTACTTCTTGTATCCGGGAACTTCTTGGGCGGCACGGAGGTTGGCAGGGGAGAAGATCTTGGCGTCCTCGCTGATGGAGACCTTGCTCTTGGAGCAGATCCATGGTTCCCAGGATCCGTCGGGGAGCTGGCATCCCTCGGGGGTGCAGCCGTACGAGAATTCGTAGGTACCGTCGTCGAGGGCGACCAAGACGGTGGTACGGGGGCCGTAAAGGGCAACAAGGGAGGTGACCTGGTCACTTCCCTTGGCTCCCAAAAGACCGGTGCTCTTGGGCCAGATTCCCATGATGGTACCAACGGCCCAGTTGTTGTCAACAATGGAGGATCCATCCAAAGGATCCCAGCAAACGGTGAATTCACCCTCGCCACCCTCGTCGACGTCGCGAACGATAGGGTCTTCCTCGGAGGCACCCTCACGGACGACAGAGGATTTCTTTACGGCTTCCCAGATAAGAGCATCGGCAACCATCTACGCGTTCGTTGGAGGCAATCGATTGATTGGTCGGTTGTCAAGGTTATTTTTGTCAAAGAGTTACAAAAAAGGAAAAATCATACCAAGACAGGTTTTGGTGAGAAAAGAACTCGGTACTCTGTTCTAGGAAGTAAGAAACGCCAACTCAAAGCGACCTACGTCTGGGATGTGTGGCTGTTCAATCCGACGACTAGTGTTTACTCACGTCAACAGAAAGCTGTGTGTCTCCGAATTCGTTGGAGGTGTCCTCGACGGTGACAAGGGCAGTTCGGAGAGCCTCGGTGATGTCGGCGCAGACATCCAACATATCGACAATGCACTGCTTGACCTTCTCGTCCTTGCACTTCTCGGACAAGACATCATCCAAACTGGCATAAGAGTCCTGCTTTTCGGTGGTGGTGTAGAACGAAGTAGAAGAAGCTCCGTATTCTCCGTAAAGCTGGGTGGCTGCACGGGGACTCAGACTGGCAGGGGCAAAGGCCGAAACGGTAGCCGTCAAGAGGGAAAGGCACAAGAATTTCATTTTAATGTTTGATAGTTTTAGATTCTTTGAAATAAAATTATAAGTACTCGTGGGTGTAAAGGGGAGAGAGACAGATAGGGAAACAGACAGATGCTAGCATAGTTGGGGCTACGTCCACTTAGAATCGAAGATACGACACCGTGGGACGATTACGACGTTACAGGATTTCGAATGGGTCTCGTCAATCAATCTCTCATTGTCATAGGAATCGTCGTCGATCACAAAACACGAGTGCGTCGCTAAACACGCACTTTGTGTTCGGCAAACGTCATCCATTATTTTGAATATTGGCGCACCGCACAGCGAAAATGCGCGAATCGTAATCGACTCGTTCGACCCTTGTCAACGGATAAAAATCGATTTTGTGAACCCATTTCACTACAAAATTGAATGGGAGGTACTCAGAGAGGGCACTTGCTGCAATCACAGCTGTCAATTGATCAGTCAAATAAGATGCTACTACGTCACATAGTACTGTCATAAGATACTTGTTGGCTGGCTAATGCAGGCACTTACTACAGTGCAAATACTACTAGTAAGTGAAAAAATTAGTAAGAAGAAGAACAAGAATTTCTTACTACTAATAGTAGTAGAAGTGAATTAACAGAGGAATGACTGTGGCTGTTTGTTATTTCTAGGACTGGAATCCATTGATCTGTTGTCTATGTCAAAATCTGTTGGAAGTGTTGTTTTTTGTGAAGAGAGGTGCCACTGTTCTCATCACAAACAGACGAGCAGCACTGGTGGAAGTTGTAACAACTCTTTGTTCACTAGTAGTACTAGTAGTAACTACTACTACTACTACTACTAGCTAGTAGTACTAGTACTACTAAASCACCACGACATATTTCCAATTATTGCTTCTTCTTGTTTAAGACCAGGTTGAAATCAAGACATTTTCCAAAGATCTTCCCTGCAATTTGTGAACAGTTCTTGTGTTAGTAGTACTAATAGTGGTATTAGTTGGTACTTTAGGTGATTTCAGTAGTGTTCCCCCACCACACTTAGTAGTACTAGTAGTGGTATGGGAACCCACAGTCTCTGATAACTGAAGTGTCAATAATTTGCAGTTCACTGTATGAATCTGTCTGGTGCCTGTAAGCTGAATCTGACCTGAGTCATAGTAGTATCATCTCCATGCTGTCAAAAAATCTGCCCGTACTAGTTTTTCTAATCAAAGTAGGAACTACACTTTCTTCATTAGTTTGAGAATAGTAGTTCCCAGTACCACCCTCAAATTATTATGTAACTTCTTGTTCTACCATCCTTTGGCCTTCCTGCATTGAAGGTGCATAACAATCCTGAGAAATTTTTCTGCACTTTCTGATGTTAGTAGTTCTTCAATTTTCAACTTGTTTGACTTGTCATCATAGTTTTTGCTTAGTCATAGTATGATAAGTAACAGTGCTGAGGAACAAAGAATGATGCTGAGAAACATGCAAGTAATGCTTGTCCTGAATATTGTGACATTTGTTCTTGTAACATCAGTGGTAGTACTAGTAATGTTCTTTGTATCATGAAGTGGAAAAATAATGTCCTCTCTCAGTATTGCTATCTGTTGCCTTGATGGGATATCCTTTTCAAAAAAGATTGGAATGTCATATGCCTCCTCCACACTGTGCTACAGTTCTCAAACAATGGAAGTATCAATTTAATGACTTACTACTATGCTGTCTCTATTTGTCCCACCAGGAAGACAGTATCCGTGTCCTCCACTGATCTCATACCAAGTCCCTGGCAATAGGAGCCTCCTGGTGGATTGAAGTCTTGTTGTGCTACTATGTTGGAGCAATGCAATAAAGATACCCATTGCCACACTGCCTATTTCCCATAAGCAGGCCTTACACCAAGCATGATTTACAAAGAGAGTCAGACACTTTTTTTTCTCCAACTTAAAACCACTCTTTCCCCCCCTGATCTTGAAGCTTTTCCAGCATCCAATGCCACCAACACTTCCTCCTCATGAATACTACTATACCAGAGTTTTAAAAGGTCTACAGGAGCATTCAAGGTGCTGCTACTGCTAATTTCACTAGTACTACTAGTAGTACCTTTGTTATCAATCTGATTGTTCAGTATTTTCTCCCATTGAGTACAAATTGCGTGTAAACAGCCATTTGAGAACGTCACTTGAGATGAGCTGGTCGCTCTTTCCCCACTTCTGTTTTGATGGTTGTATGGCTTGTGACAGCTGGTGAATATCATGTCTTGAGAATGGAATTGATTTTCATCATCTAAAAGTAACCAGTTTAATTTTGAGATTACCAATCATGATGATTACTCCTCGTTGGCATCACAGCAGTGGTAGCCTCCTCCTAGTGCTCTTTAAAATCAAATAAGCTGCTTTTTGTAGTAATTCATTTGCAAAAATTGGATACTGAGGTTTACATGGATTCTACACACCAAAATACAACAAGTTTCTTTTGATTTCTTTGGTAAGTCTAGAGTAGTGAGAATCATAAAGGCTACATGCTCCTGGTGTTCAAAAGTCAAAAGTGGCAGTCCAGTGTGCTATAGCCAATAGTTCTAGTACCACCAGGAGCTCAAGAAACAACAACAAGAAGCTCCTGTGGATGACTCTTGTTCTTGATTCAAGAAATCAAGACAAAAAAGAACAAGATTAACAACAAGATTAACAACAACAACAAGAACAACAAAAAGAAGAAGAATGCACAAGAAGGTCAGCAGAAGCATGTCCTCAACAAGAGAAATATTACACCAGCAAAAATAATCACAGCAAGAAGACAAACCTCATCCTACTGCAATGTCAGGTGGTGCAATGTCCTTCTTGGCAAGCCTCACTGCATCATTTTGGGCTGCACAGCAGTTTTTTGCGGGAGACCCCTCCAAGTGGACATGTTCATACTAGTATTGGTAGGTCTAAAACTATTTGGCTTTCAAAGCAATAAAAGGGATTGTTGCAGATGATCTATACCAATCATGCCATACTGATGAATAGTACTCCTGCTGGTGCCCATGTCACAAAAAGTGTTTGGAACCCCTCATATCCCCTTGGGACCTTTTTGACAAAACATAAATTCCCCCTTTTAAAAATCACACAAACATCCTCATGTGTTTCTGTTGGTTTAGGTCACACTTATGCCAACAGCAATCGTAATTGGCTACATCCATACCTTCATGTTATATTATCACAATGATACAGGGACAGATTGCTCCACATTGGTGTATCACAATTCAAACCAGCAGACAGAAAGTTCATTTGATGGTTAAATGAAGCAAAAATATTCTAGGTCAAGATTTTTTGTTTTTGTCCCATCACCAAGAGGCAAGATGCTTATGCTTCTTACTAGTGGCCAGGATATTGATACTCAATGTCCAGTCATTAAATTTTTGATAATCTAAATTAGCATTGCTGGTAGCACACGATATGTCAATTCTTCAGCACTATTTCTTTGCCATTCTGGCATCCATTCCACCTCACAAAATCCTCACAACATGGAAGCAATGAGTGTAATTCCAGCACATGAGGCAAAAGAGGTAGCCCTATCCAATGTACTACTACTACTAGTATGTGATGAACTAAAACATTTGTTCAGCCAGGGACTGGTGGTTTTTGCACTAATTTGGCCATTCTGGCACACAAAACATTTTAAGTCAACCATGCACCAGCCCTGTCCAACAAATATCATGAACTAAAACATTTGGTCAGAATGCCAAGGAATCATTCCAAATATGGTGGGTCAGGACTGGCTTTTTGCATTATTTTGGACATTCTGGTACTCAATACATCCTGAGCCAAGAATCCAGAAATCATCATGATATTAGTGTGATTCCAGGAGTACATGAATTTGTAGCCCATGCACCCCCTTTCCAATATATAATGACAACCAACAAACAATAGTTTGAATGACTGGAGAACCTTACCAGAAAGTATGTATGTGAGACATTTTTGCACCATTTTGGCCATAATGACAAACATTCCATCTTGCAGAATGACCCTCCAAACATGGACTTAGCTAGTATGATTGTACCACACGAATCTGTGGCCTATGCACCCCTTCCAATATCATAACCTACAAACAATTGGTCAAATGGGTCCTAACAGGACTTGTTCTTACTATGATTTTTGTTTCTATTACTATGATTTAAATTACAGATATGCTGCTGTATTTTACAAGTGATATTCAATCCATTTTAGAACAAAATGCACTTTATCACAGCAGTAGGAGTAATCTCTGTATGATTACTACTACTATTACTCAACAAGTGGACAAACATTTCAACAATGTTCTCCACCAAAGAGACACCAAATGGTGCTCTTGAATTATGGAAGATATCTGATCTTATGAAGTATCAGTTGAAGAGATCTTCTGTCATACTCAAAATGCTGGTCATGGTCATCACAATTCAAATACTTGTACTAATGTGAACATGAATAAATAAGATTCAATTGCTGAAGGTGCTGAGTGTCATGATGACAAAAGGTTCTTTTTAATCCATCCCACTTTTCCTCCTCCCGTTAGTAGCTCATTGGTATGCAGCCAAAATTCAGATATTTCTTGCACCTGGAGAGTACTATGAACATCTTGTTGATCCTACTAGTAGTACTAGCTGTTGAAGAAGGCAATGCAGGGATCATTGAACCATGTATTAGTAAGAAACACAGAAACCAGTAAAACAAAACAACAAAGAATGTGTCCCCTTCTGAACTGTTTCCTCTCAATACAGTACTTTTTCTTTCCATTACTCCTTCTTAGGTTCTGGGTTTAGTTCTTTACTCATCATGGTATCCAGGTAGTGCTTTTCTCTCCTGTTCAATTGCTCCACGTATCATGATTCTCTTCTGCTACTATCCTAGCTGCATCATAAAGAAAAGAAAGTGAAGGAGGTGGGCATTCTTTTGCAAAGATTTCCTGCCTGGAGCATCGGGTTGTGATGAAGATACCTCAGAGAAAATCATATTTTGCATTTTCCGATGGAATTGATTTGGGCTTTTCAGTTCTCATCGACGTTGTTTTAGTGGATGAAACCTCTTCTGATCTTTCCAATATCTTGTCACAGCAAATATGGTGCTACTTTGGGTCCGTTTCGTCTTCTTCACGGAATAGCAAACGAATGATAGCTTTCTAGGGCGATGTACATGTTAGCTGAGAAACGCTGTGGAGTCATTTACGTGATACAGCAGTCGAAAATGGACTGGTTTCAAAGTACAAAGTAATAATATTATAAATTGAATTATTAATGTAAGTTCCCATAGATCTGTTGCTGCGTGTATGGACGCTTTCCTAGAGTAAGCAAAATAAAATCTTCATTCACTCATAAATCGCCATTCTCATTCCACCCAATCCTTTCAGGTCGCCAGAATAGCAATCAAACCATTTGCTCATCGTCAAGTTTCGTTTCGCGCCAGATCTTTCAATCTCTGATTTACAAATCATCGTCGTCATCGTCATAGATGTTGGGGTCATAGATACCCTGGAAGAAAGTTGCCGACTTTTCGGCAACTGCCTTGACAATTGCCGAGCGATGGGAGCTGATGCCACGATTCTTGAGCCAGTGCCAGAATTTTTCCATGTGTTCAATGGAGTCGATTTCGATTTCGTCTTCGCTGTGTCCGGGGCCCTTGAGCATCAAAAACTTTCCAAATAATTGGTACGTGTTGGTAATTCGGTCCTCGACGATTTCAGCCTCTCGAAGCTTCTTGATGGTGGCTGGCCCAATCCCCGGAACCGAGTTCAGGTCAGCGACAGTGGGAGTGGTTCTCCACGTCTCCATGGTGTCATCCGACACCTTGGATTTCTTTGGATCATATCCGTCAGCCTAGTATAAAAACACGCCAAACGCCCAATAGTCGATGGTGAGGAAATCGTTTTTCAACTTTTTCATTTTGATTGATTCGTGACGATACATTCATTCGTAGCCGTAAGAAACACGACCAATTCAGGTTTGTTCGTCCGTTGTGTTCTGCGTGAAGAATGACAAAATTCCTTCATTTCAAATTTAATTCAGATAACAATCAAAACTTACCATTGTTCTATTATGAAGTAGTACGATTTAGTTGGCAGTGATGGACTTTTGGGGTTATTGGGGTCTTTGGTTTTAAGTCGAAGCTAACTGGTTCTGCAGCTGTGAGCCCTGGGTTTGGAAAAGAAGAGCCAGGAAAAAACAGAGGACCGTTGTTTCAATTGTCTGCGCGTGGTTTTTTGAAATTTGAAATCCAGATTTTAGATTTTGATATGCTCTTATGTATCATATGTGAGTTACATATCTACGATATACCTGTGCATTGCTCATACCGCATACCTTATTTACAGAATTATTTACAGAATTGTTAATTGTTAATTGTTAAAAAATCCGTGATTTCAAATTTCGAATGTAGTAGAAAGTGGAACAAAAATTACGTCAATTGGATTTGAGAACATATAATGTCCATTGAACATCCATGGATAGGTTTGTTCCTCGCCCGACCAAAACCTTGATATCGGCACCGGTAATGCTACCACACCGCTGACTTCTCATTGATTTGCTAGCATGAAAGTTTTCGAAAATCACCACCGACGACTTTCTTCGATCCTCCTCCTCCTTTGGATTCTGCGATCCTTCGCACTGTCCACAGCATCCGATAACGAGGATATTGCTCCCTCGCTGTCCCCGATTTTTCTAACAAAGATCAACTATGACCGCTTGACAGCAGGAAAAACGGTCTTTATCAAATGGGCGGCACCGTGGTGTGGTCACAGCCAGGAACTCGCACCAGCATGGGATCGATTGGTAGAGAGGGCGAATGATAGCAGGAACAGTTTCCACCCCGTTTTGATTGCCGAGGTGGATTGCTCCCAAGAACAGGAATGGTGCATCGAAATGGGATACACTGCTTATCCGACTCTCACATACGGGGATGGAAGTGTTGGAGGAATATTCTTGAAGAGATATACCAGCGTCAACAAGGAATTTGAAGATTTGTACCAATTCTACGAGGACAAACTCTTGGGAAAGTCCTTCTGTACGCCCGGTAATCTAGCTGCCTGTGGTGACAGCGAGAATCAGGACCGTATCAGACAATACTCGAAACTATCAATCGACGAGCTTGAAGACTTGGTAGCTTCTGAGGAAAGAAGAATTCACGAAGCAGAGAAGGATTTCGAACTACGGAAAACGGAACTACAAGCAGAATATGACAATATATCGAAGGATCACGAACTTGAAACGGCAAACATCAAACGCCAACTGAGAGTGCTTACGAACCTGCTAAAGAAAGCGCAAAAAAAGCCCACTAGTGATGCATAACTTGCAATGCGATGTTCGAAGGTATGCAGACGAAGTTAACGGTGGCGACGCAATGTCATCCTTTCCTTTTCAGTTGAAAAGATTTTCGTGGCAATTCAATCGGATCTTTCCGATGACTCACGTGACGCGATGCAGCTAATCAACTTCCAGTTGGCCGAGTTCAATATGAAGCGGTGGAAAATCGAGGAATCAACTGCGCACTTTGATCATCAAGTTTTGTATTATTCTTCATCTATTTTATGGTTTTCTCCGAGAAAGTATGATGGAATATCATACTGTGAAACTTACAATAGCTTTGTTCACTTATGGTTACTACAGACCATTCAGTTTGGAGTATTCATTTGTTGGCTGTTGGCTGTCGTTGTTGGTTGGGATGTGGGAAATGCAACAGTCAAACTGAAAAATGCGCCAAACTTTCTTGCTTATTTGAACCTTAACCTTAGTGATTTCTAGAAGAACGTACGTGTTGATCACGCGTAAAACTTCAGTTGTCGCTAGGTCAGAGCTGAGCACGATTGCAACGATACGTCGGGAAAGACGATTTGTGTTCTGTCAACGTTTGTTTCACAGGAGCAATACTTTAGAGCATCGAAACATAGCAGCAAGTTATAACAACAACCTCAAGTTTTAACACCGTCTAAAATTGCGATGCATTTGAAGTTGAACGCCGGAATTGCCTTGTTGCTGTTAGCAAATTCTAAATTTGCTTCCGCTTTCGTCAACGGCGGTGGAAGATCGATCAGACCCGCGCATTTCCTGCAAGCAACGACAGAATCCAAAGCCTCTTCAGCTGCCGCTGTCGAAGAAAAGAATGAGGGGATTGCACAAAACGGCGATCACTCGTTCGACGACATTCTCCGATCAAGGCGAACTGTGAATAGCTTCGTTCCAATTCTTCCCAAAGACTGGGAAGAGGCCCTTGAGAACGCCATTCAGTCGGCAATTTATGCCCCTAATCACAAACGAACCGAACCATGGGGCTTCCATTTGCTGGGTCCCGAGACCATTCGAAAAGTATGCGAACTCAATGCATCCATCGTGACGAAAAAGAAGGGAGAAAAAGCAGGACAAGCGAAACTCGAACGATGGCTCGAGATGCCGGGTTGGCTGGTAGTCACTTGCAAAACAGAAGGTGGCACCGGCGATATGACAGATCCATCCGGTATCGACAGAGAAGATTACGCCGCGGTCTGCTGCGCCGTTCAGAACCTGTGCCTGTCCTTGCACAATGCGGGTATGGGTACTAAATGGACCACGGGCCCGGTGAATTTTGATACGAAATTTAACGAGATTGTTGGGTTGGAACAAGATGAATACGTCGTAGGTACAATATGGTTCGGAACGGCCGAGACAGATCCGAAAGCTCCAGCGAAGAAGAAGACAATCGATGATGTGCTCAGGAAAACAAATTGACGTGTTTGTCAAAGGATGCCTTTGTTTCGCTGATGATTGACTACACCCTAGGTTCAATATCCTTCGTCGAACCCTGATACGTACCTTGATATGTAGCATGGCGATTTTCTAATAATATGTTTCAACAAAATGAATCTATCGTTTCCTATCAACGTTTATAATTTGAAAATTCCGAAGTTGTTTATTTCACAATGGTAAGCAGAGAATGACGAAATAGTTTTGTTCTATCAAATATATTATAAGGATGATTGCGTGTATGCGTGGTTGGTGGGGATAAGAGAGAAAAAATAGATGTTGCCGCGAAAGGAAAATGATTAGCCCGCATGGGGGAACGGGAAGCTGACTCCCGCTCCTCCGCTTCCAGGATCACCGTTCATGTCCCTGGCACGCATAATGTCGCGCTGGCGGCGTCCGCGGAAGATCCACCGAATGGGCGTCGCTTCAAACCCATCGAGGGATTCTCGGAACTTGCGGTCGAGGTATCGTCGGTAGTTGTCGTTGACGAGCTTGGGGTCGTTGCAAAAGACGACAATGGTGGGTGGACGGGTGCTGACCTGGTTGCAGTAATAGATCTTGGCCTGGGCACCGTTGCGCCTGGCCGGAGGCGGCTGCCACAAAATGGCATCGCGGAGAACCTCGTTGAGAACCGAGGTCGACACCCGTTTGCGGTGCGCTCCGATGGCTTCGTCGACCACGTTGTATATCTTTCCGACACGTTGGCCAGTTTCGGCACTGATGAAGAGGATCGGAGCCCATCGGATCTGGGGCATCTCGGCACGAATGTACTTGATGGATTTGTCGTAGGTCGAGGAATCCTTGTCGACAACAGCGTCCCACTTGTTGCAAATAATGGCGCACGCACGTCCATCGTCGGCAATCTTCTGTGCAAGGATTCGATCTTGTTCCGTGACACCGGCGGTTGCGTCCATGACCAGCAGGGCAACATCGGCACGACGGATCGCTCTCAGGGCTCGATTGACCATGAAGAACTCCGGTCCGAACTCGACCTTACCCTTCCGTCTGATACCGGCAGTGTCGACAAATCGGTAGATTGTGGGAAGATCGCCTTCCTCATCGGGGGGCCGCTCCATGATGGCGTCAATGGAGTCACGCGTGGTACCAGCCATGTCGCTAACAATGGCTCTCTGGTCTCCGAAAATAGCGTTCAGCAAACTCGATTTTCCAACATTGGGGCGCCCGACAATGGCCACGTTGATTTCCTCTGGTCTCTCCATTTCGTCCAGAGCCGCGAGTGCGGCCTCGTACTCGCTCTCGATCTTTTGGGCAACGTCACCGATGTTGTACTTGCGCATCTTGAAATCGATCTCGTCTTCCCCCGGCAGTTGCTTCTTGGAATTCTTGCGCATCTTGGCCTGCTTGAGCCGTTCCACCTTGGTTCCGAACTCCGGCAGGGCCGCCGACTGCTGTTTCTGGATTCCCTCAAAGAGCTGTTCCAATACCTCGGCAGTCCCGACACCGTGCAGGGCCGAGACGGGGATTGGTTCCCCCAGTCCGAGGTTCCAGAACTCGGCCGCATTGAGGGCACCGATTTTTTCCGACTCGCACTTGTTCACCGCCAGGATGACCGGCAGGTTTCGGCTGAGAACCTCCTTTCTCAGGAATTCCGCAATCTGTTGGTCCATGCCGGTCATTCCGACCTGCCCGTCGACGACGAGAATCACTCCGCTGGACTCATCGATGGCCACCATCGCCTGCTCGCGGATTTCCTTGGCAAAGAGGGTTTTTTCGTTGTCGTCAAAGACCAGCCCACCGGTATCGACGACTTGGAAGTTTTCGCCCAAAAAGTTGGCGTTTCGGTATGTTCTGTCCCGTGTGATTCCTTCCTCGTCGGCGACAATGGCACCCCCGCTCTGGGTGCCACAGATGCGATTGACAAAGGCGGATTTACCTACGTTGGGACGACCCAAGATGGCCACCAGCGGTTCCTTTTTCAGTGATTTGTACCGACGGATGGGTTGCGAACTGATCTTGGGCAGCGTGGATTCGGGCGTTTCCATGGTTCCGTCTTCGTCGTACGCATCGTAGTCTACCATTTCTTCACCGTAATCGTCGTCGTCGTCCTCTACAAACGCGGAGGAAGACGGCGGCGGACTGACCGATACCATCGACCGTATTGTCAGACTGTTTGTTCGAGGTGCACTGGGAACAAACCCATCGACCGCCAAGAACAGAAGCGACGTACACGCAATTAAATCTAATTTTGAAAGCCCCATTTTGTTCGTTGTTGTGTGAAAAAGTCAGATTCCCTTACAACTTTTAGTCTGTTCTGATTTTGTTGTCTTTGACTCCTCGTAATATACTTTCAGTAGTTAAAAGGCAACCGTTTAGCAATTTTTATTCAGAGCCTTGTGTCTTCGAAGTGTTGCACGTTAGTGATGACGATGGGGTGAAAAAACGATACGGTGTTCTACCTTATTCCTACCGATATGCTTCGGTGATTGTACTGTCTCACAGAGAATGCTGGTGATGATGTGTGCGCTGATGATGTTTTTGTTCCTCGCAATTTTTTGTATTTCCAATTTTTTTCTTTTTTACGTTTTGCTAGGTGTGCTAGCGGCTTTACGTCAGTCCGTTATACGTTTCAAGACGACATGGCCAGACGGTCGAGTGATTCATTTGAGGGGAAAATACAATGTCTTCCCCTCTAACAGTTGTTGACACCGGCAAAGGACCCCCTATTTTGCTTTCGGCATCCTTCGATGCAGATCTTCGATTTTGGTTCCCTTTTTCCCTTAGTGTTAGGAATCGATACTCGTCCAGGCTAAGTTTTCCAGGCCTCAACCCAATGATGTATTTTGAATTTCCACAACCTTGGGCAACTGTCAAGATCATCCTTTGGTGCTTGCTATTGAAAAACACCACACCACTCTATACTCGTTAAAGGCAACAATTAACAACCCTATTACACAATGAGTAGCAACGACTTGGAGGGAGATGACATTTGGGGAGACTCCTCCGGTGGAGCCGAGGAATCCAAAGAAGAGTCGAAGCAAGCCGATGCTTCCGATTCCGCCGCCGCGGCGGCCCAGCCGGAACCGGATCCGGAAGACGATGAGACACGAACCATGAGCAACAGCGAACTGAGACAGCGCATCCATTTGCTGGGCAACGACATCAGAGTTATGAAGTCGGACGTCCAGCGCATCACCCACGAGTCCCGGGGGCAACGCGATCGCATTCGCGAAAACCAAGAGAAGGTCAAGCTAAACAAGCAGTTGCCGTACCTAGTGGCGAACGTTGTAGAGATATTGGAGCCCGATGCCGAAGACGGTAAGTTCTATTCGTTTTGTATTTGCAGTTTTGGAACAGATGAGTATCGAGTTTGATCCTCGTATGATGTTTATTGAGTTCACCGATGGACAGGAAATTAGTGCCTCATGCGTCCTACATCTATGAAATGATCTTATCTCACGAATCCTTACCGCAATCCTCTGGAAATGGATGCAATCTCCCAAAACCAAAATAGGTCTCGAAGAGGAAGAGAAAGAATCCGGCGATGCTCTCGACGAGGACGCCAACCGCAAAACCCGCAGCGCGGTTGTACGTACTTCCACGCGACAAACAATCTTCTTGCCAATCCCTGGTTTGGTAGATTCTGACGAGTTAAAACCCAGTGACCTGGTTGGAACCAACAAGGACTCTTATTTGATCTTGGAAAAGCTTCCGGCGGAATTTGATTCGAGAGTGCAAGCCATGGAAGTCGACGAACGACCCACGGAAGAATATTCCGACATCGGAGGAGCCGACCAACAGATCCAAGAGCTTATCGAGGCCGTTGTGTTGCCCATGACCCACAGGGACATGTTTCAAACAATTGGGATTCGTCCCCCAAAGGGTGTCTTGCTGCACGGTCCACCGGGAACAGGTAAGACGCTTTTGGCACGAGCGTGCGCCAACCAAACCAACGCCATCTTTTTGAAATTGGCGGGACCACAACTGGTCCAAATGTTCATCGGAGACGGTGCGAAACTTATTCGGGATGCTTTTGAACTGGCAAAAGCAAAGATTGAGAAGGGAGTCAGTGCAGGTGCCATTCTATTCATTGACGAGATCGATGCCATTGGAACGAAGCGATTCGGTGGCGACCAATCGGGGGATCGAGAAGTCCAGCGAACGATGCTCGAACTTTTGAGTCAGCTCGATGGATTTTCTTCGAACGAAATGATCAAGGTCATTGCGGCCACAAATCGTCCCGACGTCCTCGATCCTGCTCTGCTGAGATCGGGACGTCTGGATCGCAAGATCGAGCTGCCCCATCCCAACGAGGAGGCCCGGGCCAGGATCCTCAAGATTCATTCGCGCAAGATGCAGGTCAACGCGGACGTTGTCTTTGAGGAAATTGCACGCTCTTGCGAAGATTTCAACGGGGCACAAATAAAGGCCGTCTGTGTCGAAGCGGGTATGCTGGCCCTCCGACGAGAATCAGTGGAAATCATGCACGAGGACTTTGTCGAGGCCACCACGGTCGTTGCGGCAAAAAAGAAGGGAAGCCTGGATTATTTTGCATAGGAATTGCATAACAAGAAGAATAGCAAGGGCGTCGAAATGGAAGAATCGCTTTGGTTTCTCGTCCAATTCGTGAGTCGGAACGATCCCCATCCCCATATCTATGAATGGCACCAACAAATCAATAGCAATACAAGTTAGATCCTGAATTCGATGCCAATTTTCCTAGCATTTATAGTTTCTATCCGGTATCAAATCACTTTGTTTTATGGCGTTCGAAGTGTGTTCACAAAAGCAGGCTTCCGGTTGCGTCAAGCAAAAGCCACACGCTGGCGGTCGTTTGTGCCACCAATGTATTTTATGACTATTCTACACACGTTATTTGTCTCGTTTCGGCGCTTCGTTTTAGCCCTGTGCAGCTGGGTATTGCGTTGCGTTGCGTTGTATCGTGTCGGTTGGTTCGAAAAAAATATCGTGTTCGGTATGTTCAGGGGCGTAAAAATTTCACAAAAAGACACAAGCCTCTCCGTTTCTCCGCGACGATGCTCTTTCTGGTGGTCGGTCTCGAACGCACCTTTGGACGCGGTGCGAGTTCTTCTTGATCTTGCAGTGCCGGGGGCCTTTGGTTCGTGCCGATCGCCCGGAACGAACCATCCGGGTGTCGCTGCCGCGCCGCCCTGCGCTGCCTTCCGCTCCGCTACATCCCCGGCGGGGGCAGGCCCGCCGTGTACATCTCGGGCGCCACGTCCTGGAAGGGGTTCCTGGGCCCGATAAAGGAGATGAGGTCGAGGACGGTGATGAAGAGGACCATGTCGAACCAGAACTTTGGGTCGGTGGCGATCTCCGAGAACCGTTCGGCGGAGCCGTCGGGATCGATCGAGTCCAGGAGCTGGTTGGGGATGACGGTGTTCGAAAAGGTGTCGTAGGATTCGTCGTTCTCGAGGTCGTCGTCCTCGTAGTATTCGTCGTCGTCGTCCATCTCGTCGAAGATCCCGTCCTCCTCCAGCCGGTCGGCGGCGTAGCCGATGCTGTCGTCTCCCCCCCGGCGTCCCCCGGGTTCGTATCGATCGTCGTCGTATTCCTCGTCGTCGTCGTAGGCCCGGCCCCGCCGTCTCCGGACCCTGGCGGGGACGCGTTCCCGATCGTCGTCGTCGTCCTCCCCGTCGAAACCAGACGCGCTTGCACCCAGCCGGCTCCGGGCTGCCCCCGCGGGCATCGGCACCGGCAGCAAGCGGCCGCGGGACGGCGGCGAGGGAGCGAGAGAGAAGCCGGCCGCGGTCGTTCCGAGCAGGGTCACCGCGGCGATGGACAGCACCAGGACCCGCGGCAAGGAATTCCGGGGCGCGGGAGACACCACCCGGCACCGCGGCGATTGGTTCTCTGTCGTCGTTCCCGCGGTTTCGATCGATTTGGTCATGGTGGCTGTGGTATTGGTGGTGGTGTTATTTCTTGAGTGACAGAACGATTGTTGTGGATTCAAAAGTTTTCTGTGAAGAAGCTTGTTGCTGCTACCTTGAAGTGAATCGTCTCGACTTATTCCACCGTTTTGGCGTTGGGGTATCTCTCGCAATATTTTTGTTGATGTGGTAATTATTCTCTCCCATCAATCCGTGTCACTCTATTTGAGATTGAGATTGATCGGATGGCGGTTGACAACCACTACACGTGGAAGAAATATGTTGTGGATGCCGTAGTCACGACGGACTATCAAATCGACTCGAGTTAATCAAAAATTTACAAATTTACAAACTATGCACAGAAGGAATCATCGTTTCCTCATGTCCTTTCTCACAAGTAAGGGTATAACTTCTACTACCTTACATTCTGTAACAATGCCGTTGGCAAGACCCTTCGTACTCGTTGTTGAGAACCGACCCTTGACACTTAGGGATAATGTTTACCGTATACCAAATACTACAAACCACGCAGTACCGAATAGAGGACAATGAGATCTTCTGAACACGTACGAAAGCCCATATTCTTTAATTTATCTATTAGTGAATTATCTTGTTAATGCATCTAATCTCTGGTTGAGTGATTGTTCAATCATCCCGGAAGGGTAGAACAGTTGTGGACTAGAGGGTTCAACATAAATTAAAGAATAATATGAATGACGACGATAAAGAGGTAAAGATTGTTGAGGCAGAGGCTGTCTCCTCGATGAGCGGGGGGAATAAGAACAACCGTAGACCAGGAAACAACAACAAACGCTTCAACAAGAAGACGCAGTACCATGGGAACACCAAGAAGAACTCAACATATACCGCAAAGACAGAAGAACTGAAATACGACACATTCACCCTTGGACCCAATATGGGAAAGAAATGGATGACAAGTCGAGAGGCGTTTATTAACTACGCCGGAAGAACATACGGAGGGAGTGTGAAAGCATCGCTCCACAAATTAGAAAATACCATACTCCACGTGAATAAACCCAAAGAACATACTGCCGAGGAATATGCTAAGCTAAACCAAATGCAGGTCGACATGTGGAAGATGGACTACAAAGAATACAAGGAAGAAACGTCGAGGATACTGAAGAACCTCGTAAAACTATACGACGTACTGTGGGATCAATGTGAACCGGCGCTAAAGAATAAGCTTAAAGCACAGCCGGAATACAATAAACTCATGGAAGAATCGAATGTAATTGACCTACTGAAGCTAATTGACTATGTCTGCAGTGCAAACGATGGAGCCAAATACTATCACTTACAAAGCTTCTACGCATTAAGGAAACTGATCAACTTCAGACAAAGGGACGACCAAGACGTAGCAGACTATTTCAAGGAATTTGAGATGCTCCTACGAGTAGCAGAGCAAGCAGGAGTCAACTTTGTGACAGCAGCAAGACGAGACGTAGTAGCAATGGAGGGCTACAGACACAAGTATGCAACACTGAGCAAAACACAGCAAGAAAAAGTCGATGAACAGACTAGAGAACAGTTTATTGCAACAGTGTTCATGATGAATTCAAGTAAAGCCAAATACGGCAAATATAAGGAAGAATGCCACAACAGCTATGCACAAAAGGATGACCGATACCCAAAGACCCTTGTTGATGCACTGACTGTACTGGAACAGTATCGATTCACACCAGCGCTGTATCGTGGACAAGAAAAGGGTACGAAACAAAACAATGAAACATACCAAGCCTCACACAGCTTCTTTCAAGACGAAGACAAGAACAGTGAGGACAGTACCACTAGCAACAATAAAACAAATAATAGCGGAAACTCTATCACTTGTTATAACTGTGGTAGAAAGGGACACATATCAGTGCATTGTACATACACACACAAAGAGAACGGCGATGAAACACCACGAGAATACCGACAGCGTAAAGCAGCTGCAGACAGCAAGAAGGATGAAGCCAGGAAACAAAACGGCAAAGCAATAGCAACTGGAACAACATGTGTGGTCACGGATGAAATGATCGATGACTGTTGGTCCGATGAACTAGACGCTGATGACTATGGACTGTGCTTCCTCGTCACCAGCCCAAGCAATATAACACCGAAAGAGATCGTAGTCGAAGACTTAAGGGATAACCACAAGGCAGCATTGAACCAGGTGGAAGGAAGACTCAATCCCTTCTGGGTTCTACTCGATAACCAGTCAACTGTACACGTGTTCTTTAACACCATGTTCCTCCGGAATGTACGGACAACACGAAAAGAGCTTCACCTATTCACCAACACCGGGAAATCTATAATCAATGAGATTGGAGAGCTACCAGGACTTGGGACTGTTTGGGTGCACCGCAAAGGAATCGCTAATATCTTGTCCTTCCATGGGGTTCATAAGACCAAAGGATACAGAATAACATACGATAGTGACAAGACTGATGCATTTCAAGTGTATTGTCCGAATGGCTCCTATCGCGAATTCATCCCATCAAAAAAAGGTCTGTACTACTCTGACTTTTCGGAAATATTCAAGAAGAACCGACAACAAATAAGCGGAACAGTACTCCAAAATGACAGCATCGAAACAATCGATGGAAATAAAGCAAAGTACTCAAAGCAGGATGTACTGCGAGCGGAAACAGCAAGAACTTTTCAGCACATCGCAGGGCATATGAGTGAACAACAACTGCTCCGGATAGCATCGCAAAACCAACTACAGAATTGCCCAATCACACCGCGAGATGTCCGCTTAATGAAAGCCATCCTTGGGCCAAGTATACCAGGCCTCAAGGGCAAAACAACACGTAAATCCAAGCCAGGGGTATCAACGGAACTGGTACCAATTCCAGCACATATCAAGGAATACTACCAAGAGGTTACCATTGCAATGGACATTATGCACATCAATGGGATACCATTTTTGACTACAACATCACGACACATTCACTACCATACGGCAAGTGCACTGGCCAAAATGCAGACAAAGACCATCCTTGAAGCTGTATCCGCACTCCACCAATTCTACCAAAAGAGGCATTTCCGGATAACGCATATACTCGCGGACAATCAATTCCAATCGTGTGCCCACAGTCTCGCTACTCTTCAAATAGACTTAAACTGTGTATCACGCGATGAGCACGTTCCGGAAGCCGAACGTCTTAACAGGACCATCAAGGAAAGATGCAGGTGCAATGTACACATGGTCCCCTTTACGAAGCTACCCAAGCGGGTCATCATCGGACTGGTAAAGAATGTTGTCTTCTACCTCAATGCTTTCCCACATCCCAATGGGGTCTCAGCAACACTGTCCCCTTACACCATTGTGAATGGACGCATGCTGGACTATAACTTGCACTTTGCTGTAAGCTTTGGTGCATACGCACAGACGCGTGAGCCTACTGATAACACGATGAAAACTCGAACGGTTGGGGCTATTGCTCTTGGACCAAGCGCGAACTTACAAGGTGGAGTTTCGTTTTTCAGCTTACTTACTGGGCGGGAACTACATCGGTCCCGTAACGACTACACCTTAGCCCCCATGCCTGCAGACGCTATCAAACGTATCGAGAATATGGCCTCCAATTCGCCAACCGGACTCGTATTTACTGACAGGCACAACAACCCTATACACGATACACTCGATAATTTAACTCCCGCGCCTCCCCCATATGCCCACGACGATACGCACGGAGATAACACAGTACCACAGCAACCACAACTCCCTGTTACACTAACTAATCCCCCCATTCCTTTACACCATGGAGGGATTACAGGAGTGGACCCACCAACCAACGCCACAGACAATGATGACAACAACGTCGCTGACAACAACACCGATGAGACACAGGACGCCAAAGACGTCGATGATGAAGACGCCACTAACACCGATACCCAATCCGGTGACCAGGATAATGACAATGAGAACAATGACGAGCTCACAGGAGTGGGGGAATCAACAAACAATGATGACAATGACGATGATGACGACACCCCCATCCTCCGACGCTCAACCCGAACACGGAACACAGGACAATACTCTCGCCCACTAAACGAACACTATGAATTTCAACACTACCAAGGAACATTGGTAATAGATGAAGATGATGAAGCAATCCAAACTATATCGTCACACAACGAATACAACAACTACATCAATGCACTAGAATACATTTCTAGAACCACACAAAGGGACCAACAAATAAATGACATGGTCCTTACACAATACAGCCTACGCGCCGGACTAAAGAAATTCGGCGAAGATGGCCGACAAGCCACCATCAAGGAACTCAAACAAATGTTAACACGAAAGGTGTTCAGTGAGGTCACCTACGAGGACTTATCTGATGAAGATAGAAAGCTTGCCCTCCCCATCCTACTATTCCTAACACTAAAAAGAGATGGACAGACAGTAAAGGGACGGGCATGCGCAGACGGTAGAAATCAGAAACTATGGACACCAAAACATGAATCAGCATCACCAACGATAGCGATTGAGGCACTGTTCTTCACTCTAATTGTCGATGCACAAGAGCAACGGGACGTAGCAACATGTGATCTACCCGGACACTTMCTACAGACTGACATGGAAGGGGAGCTCATCCTACGACTGGATGGGGCACTTGCACTACTACTTGGGAAGATTGATCGAAAGCGCTGGAAGAAGCATCTCCGGATGGAAAAGAACCGACCCGTGATATATGTGCGATGCGACAAAGCCATATATGGAACAGTAACAGCTGCATTACTATCATATAAGAAACTAATTGGACACCTCTGTGATTGGGGATTCTCCATGAACCCATATGAGCCATGCTGTTGGAATAAGACAATAAACGGCAGCCAAATGACAGTAGTGTTCCACGTAGATGATCTCAAAATTAGTCATAAGCATCCGCAAGAAGTATCGAAAGTGATTAAGTTACTGGAATCAATATATGCAAAGGAAGATCCAATGACTATAACAAGAGGGAGAACACATCATTACCTTGGGATGACGATTGACTTCCGACATGAAGGAGAAGTACAGATTACAATGTATGACTATATACAACGAATGATTAATGAACTACCCGCAGACATGATAGGAAACAAAGGAACAGCGGCTCCAGTACATCTATTCAAGACAGACGATGAGGATGGAGATAAACTCGATTCAGAGCTCACTGACACATTCCACTCAATCACCGCACAGACCCTGTGGCTCAGCCGCCGAGGAAGACCAGATCTCCAGCTGAGTACGGCATTCCTATGTACGAGGGTAAAGGAACCGAATGAACATGATTATAAGAAGCTTAAGCACCTTATGATGTACATGCAGCAAACAGCATATTTACCCCTGATACTACGAGCTGATGGAAAGGGAACATCCTTATATATAGATGGAGCACATGCAGTGCATGCTGACATGAAAGGGCACGGCGGAATGTATGCAACAATGGGAAGTGGGGCACTGTATGCATCATCAACTAAGAGCAAAATTAACACATTGAGCTCAACTGAAACAGAACTAATATCAGTGGGTGAAAAGCTGCCAAAACACCTGTGGTTACGGCAATTTGCTGTGGAACAGACAGGAGACAAATCACAGATACATGTATTGTATCAAGACAACAAGAGCACCATATTGCTCGAAAACAATGGAAGACTATCCTGTCGCAAAGGATCCAAACATATACACATCCGGTACTTCTTTATCACAGACCGGATTAAGAACAAGGAAGTGGAGGTTAGATACTGTCCGACAGAGAACATGATAGCAGACTTCTTCACTAAACCGTTACAAGGAAAGGCCTTTGAATGATTCAGGGATATGATACTTGGAATTGCAGAAAAAGACATAAAGCCGTACTACGAGCAGTATATCAGGACAATTAACAAGTTCGGACTTAATAACAACAAGGACAGATTGCCACCAAGTCCGCAGGAGTGTGTTGAGAACCGACCCTTGACACTTAGGGATAAGGTTTACCGTATACCAAATACTACAAACCACGCAGTACCGAATAGAGGACAATGAGATCTTCTGAACACGTACGAAAGCCCATATTCTTTAATTTATCTATTAGTGAATTATCTTGTTAATGCATCTAATCTCTGGTTGAGTGATTGTTCAATCATCCCGGAAGGGTAGAACAGTTGTGGACTAGAGGGTTCAACACTCGTAATCATACCTAGTGGCGCATCCCAACAACGGATGATATCTGTTTCCAATCTACTACTACTCTATTTCTAGACTTTTGATTGAGACGGAACACCGCGATTTTTCTTGAGCATATCAGAAACAAGGCGAATCATTCCTACAATGACATCGTTGCCTACTTTTCAAAAACATGTGAAGAAATGAAACCAACTGTCGGCACGGGGAGTTATAGTTCCCGGCTTAGGTAACATCCATCTAGAAAAGCACATATCAGATGCCTTTATCGTAGCAAAAAACCTATGCACTCTAATGCCGTTTCAAGGCTACAGGTTTAATTTGGAATGGATTGGTTCCAGGCCAGTGTTTTACCAGCTACAGTACAAAGCTTACAAGCTGCTAGGTTCATAGATGGATTCGCTCCCATAATTGTTCTTTTCCTTGTACCAGGTTCGCCGACACAGCAGCTGCAGCACGGGTCGATAGGGAGGCCGAAAGTACCCCGCAATGAACGGCGGCGGCAACGGGGTGCTTTCGCCGCCGCCGTTGGCTTTGGCGACCAGCGCGTCGCTTTTGTTTGGCATGCCCCGGTGGAGCAGCCGATAGTCGTAGCAAACGGGGTCTCCCGCTGGGACGATCCTGTCCCAGGTCGCCCCCGCGACCTCCGCAAAGGGCCCAAAGCCCACCAGGGCCCGGTGCCTGTGGGACCCCGGCCAGAACTGGGTAAAGCCCACCGTGTGATCGAGGTCGACCAGCGGGACGAACCAGCACAATGCGTAGGGGGCCGCCAGGGACAGCGCAAAGGCGTCCCCCGTGCTTCCGTTGCTGCTTCCGGGCTCGCATTCGGACGACCACCCGGCATCGGGTGCGCCGTCCGCGTGGGCACCGTCGGCGTGCCACCCCTGGTGGTTGGCTCCGGGCTTGGAATACACCACCGAAAGATCCATGTCCCAATCGGCTGCTGCCGCCGACCCCTCCGAAGCGCCAGCCTCGTCTCGATCCAGGAACAGCCGCTGGAGCAATTCGCTCGCGAAAGCATTGCGAGAACCAATGCCGCCACCCGCTTCGGCCATCTCCCCTTCGCTTCCAAAGACCCGTTCCCGCACGAGCTTGTACAGTTCTGTATCTCTTGGAACCAGCAGGTCGAAACGCTGCTTGGACCGCGAGGCCATTTCCCGAAACAAAAAGGAGTCCTCGCCGAGGAGGATCTGCGGGTGGTTCTTGGCAATGGCGGCTTCGGCGGTTTGGATATGCCAGTGGACCAGAGACTGGACCCTCTCCAAGACCGACGAATCGTGGTCGTCGTCATCGTTGGTGGTCTCACTACACGACAAGACCCCGGGCAACACGCACAGCCCCTTGGTTCGAAACTCGGATCGGAGTACCCGCAGAGAACGATGTTTTGGGTGGTTGCTAGTCTTGTCGGCAGCAATGCTGTCTCCACCAACTTTCGTCAAGGGCAACGGAGCCGGTGCAGAGGCCCAGACCTCGCACCTGTATTCCACGTTGACATTTGTTGCATTCTTGCTACGGTACTCGTTGAAGGCGTCTTGCAAAAAGGCCGCAAATTGTTCTGGAGAAAACCGGGCTTCTTCGTGTTCGGTTCCAAGAAACGCCGAAAGCAACATGGTCGGGACGCCCCCGGCATCTTCGTGGTGACGATCCAGGGCGATTGCTGCATTGTGTCCCGGGCCCATCGAATGACGTTCCGATGCAATGTGCCCCCTGCCTCCTCGCGCCCGGGCGATTCATCGTGGACGGCGAAGGACTTCACGGACTGCCGCAGCCGCTCCATCCTCTGGGGATCTTCCACCGGCGGAACCACTCCGATGACCACGCATATCGTCATCTGATATTTACTAGCGTGCTTGTCTGTGCGCGTGCTCAGATATGGGTGTTGGCTGCGCTTACGCAGTGCCGTTCCTGTACATTTCTTCGTTCGTTGCGTTTGAGATAATCTTGCGGTTTTGGAATGAATGGGGGTGAACAGTGACCGGGTGACTGTACTTTACCGTATCGTACGGTACGGTAAAGAACGTTTTGGGGTTTTGAGAGTGTACCTGGTGTTGATTCGACGTATCTTACGGTATGTAATTCCTCGTCAATCACTTCTTTTGTCTCCCCCTCCTCGTTTGTTTCAATCGTTGTCCACTCCTCCGGAGAGGGACCGAAGGGAGCGTTTTTTTAATATTTTTGCGCGAGACGCGCGCTTTTAACGGTATTTATGTAAAAATAACGGTTTATTTTTTAATCTATTGTTCTTCAATTAGGGGGTTATTCAAATTACTATTTTCGGGGAACACAACCGTTAATTAAATTATTGTCAAATGAAAAACAATTAAATTTAATTAACGAAACAATTAAATTTAATTAACCGCTTAATTAAAAATTAATTAAATTTTAATTAATGATTTAGTTAAATTTTTATAAATCATTTAATTAAATTTTTATTAATCATTTAATTAAATAAGCCAGCATGACACGCCGGCATGCAATCACAGCATTGCTCCCTATGTACGAGGGACTGAATCCAAACAGCTGAGCAAACTGGAGACCAAAAATACTGATTTATGCAGCTTCGTGGTACAAAACGCTCGTAGAAATCCTGTAGAAAATTCAAAATCAAGGGGGTATACTGTCCATTTTGCTCAAAATGGAAGGGTTTTGATTCCACGTTCAAAATCATACTGTGTCTTACTGTCTTTACCTGAACTTCCCTCCAGCACGCTGACAGCAGGGGAGCAAACTGGAGACCAAACTCTCGTATAGGTTGTTGTTGGTGCTACAAATTGAGTTTTGTGCTTGCTTGCGCTTTTAGCAAGCTTTTCCTCCAGCAAGCAGGATGGGGAGATCGCCGCTGCTTGAATTTAATTAAGTCATTAATTAAATTTTTATTAAGTCATTAATTAAATTTTTATTAAATCATTAATTAAATTTTAATTAATTGAATAATTAAATTTAATTATTCGATTAATTAAATTTAATTATTCAATCAATAACACTGACGTCACGAATAATAAAATCCTATTCTGGAGAACCACCCCTTAATTGGATTATTTGAATCCCCAAAGTGGCGAACATTATATATATGATAGCCGTTAAATTAATGTCAAAAACGTTAAATGCGCGAGGATCGTGCAAAAATATTAAAAAAATGGTCCCTTCGGTCCCTCTCCGGGGGTTGGCTTTGTGGGTGCAAAGTCTGCTCTTTTGAATCGCTTGAGGGTTTCAATTGATACACCAACTTTTGGTATGTACTTGGAGCCTCCGACGGTTTGGAGTCGTTCTAGCAATTCAGTGAATTGAGTGATGTTTCCATCTTCGGTGAGGACTATTCCCTCTACTAACTCTGCTTTGTCGTGACCAGAGAACTTCTTTCCGGGGTCATTTTCTTTCTTTGCCGTCCCTGACTTGTTTGAGTTGTTATTGTTTCGGCCTTGGCGTTGCTTGTTGCCGACCTTTGTCCACAAGTCCTCACTTTGAGTACTCATTGTTGTATTCAATGAATGTTGATGTTTGCTTCCTTGGAGGCGATTTGATTATGATCCTTGGATCAAATTACAGTTGTGGTGTTACTCCTTGGACTAACACTGTTACTGGCGATAGACTAAATTGGCTATCAACTTGTTTATCCTTTATTAATTTATGTTGATTCGACGTATCTTACGGTATGTAATGTACGCGAAGTCTTAAAGAGAAATGATTTGGAACATTAACCCTATTGACTAGATAAATTAATAAAGAATGAGATCACTGATGATTCTGAATATTCTCGGTCTTGTATTCAGGGATTCCATTCAGGACTCATTGACAAATATTCCACAAATATGTTTATGATGGCCAATTTAATCATTCTCCATCATGTCGCGCGACGTCTGTTCGTCAACACCTGGTGCTGAATCCACGCGTTAGCCCAATCAAGGCGTAAAAGCAACAAGTTTTAAAGTGACATCATGTACACTGTTAAGAACTGAATAAACTAAAAAGAATGAGAGTTCTCTTAAACTATTTTTTATTTTTGGATCCTTTGGGCTCACCCCCAGACCACTTTCTCGATGTCAGTTGCTTTTTCTCATTCCATCCCTATTTACCATATTTTGGTGATGCCACGTCACCGTTCATTTAGGGGGATTTGGTTTGCTGATGTCCGCTGGCTGGGCGGTGCTGTCCTTTGCGGTTTGCCTCATGATATCTGGGTTCCAACAGTACCGCTGTCCAACATTTCTGTTTCCTTTGCCTAGTCTGGAGATCTCTTACTACATGGGTATCTGTAATAAATGATACAATAATAAATACACAGTACAAAGTCCATAGAATCCTACACACATGCAAATCATCGCCAACTCCCTGAAATAGTAAGTATTTGTAAGATAGAGCCTTACTACTGGAGGGAAAATTAAAAAAAAACTTAGTAAAAATTGAGGTACACGAGTACACACCACCTTAAACTGTGAAGTCCTTGTAAGAGTGCCAACTACTTGAAAATTAAGGTGTAACAAAACAGTAAGAATACTGCTTACTACTGGAAATAAACACCTCCACGGGAACTCATTACTACTACTGATTCCTACAATCACCTCAGGCCCGATACTACTGGTACTGTAGGTGGTGTTGCTAACAGTGTTAATAGGAGGAATAATGCTTACTATTTCTTAATAGCTATCCAACATTGGTATTTTATCAGGGGATTTGTACTATCAGCAACTCATGTCAGCATCCTCCATATCAGCAGCTCGTCTTTCCATACTAGTATTCCTCCCCTATCTTATCATCCTCCGTATCAGCGAGCCTCCGTAACGACAGCAGCGAGCCTCCATATCAGCAAGCCTCTGCATCAGCATCCTATGTATCACCAGCATCCTACTATGTATCAGCATCCTACTACTTATCAGCATCCTACGTATCAGCAAGCCCCCATATCAGCATCCTCTGTATCAGCATCCTCTGTATCAGCGGCTCGTATCAGCATCCTCCGTATCAGCATCCTCCATATCAGCATCTCCGTATCAGCATCTGTATCAGCAACCTCTGTATCAGCGTCCGTATCAGCATCCTCTGTATCAGCAACCTCCGTATCAGTAGCGAGCCTCCGTATCAGCGACTCACATCAGCGACTCATATCAGCAACCTCCATATCAGCGTCTGTATCAGCAACCTCTGTATCAGCGACTCATATCAGCAACCTCCATATCAACAACCTCTGTATCAGTGAGCCTCCATATCAGATGGTGTTTGATGGATCTGCACCAATGATACTATTGGAGTTATCGTAGATTGCTGGTGCGGTTGTATTGGATTGAAGATGGTTCAATACTAAAAGAATAATGAATGGATTGTGGGCCGATGAGCTGCATTGGTGCAAATGTATCATTTTTTGTATCTCTTACTTAGCCGCTATGCATTGGGAAATGCTACATCATATTAAGAGATCACAGTAGTAAATAAAATAATACACGTACACCTGCCAGGAGCTTCTTGGTATGAAAGTACATGAAAAATTTTACGTACCACTGAATAGTACCGGGGGTACTATGGAAATAGGTGCGTTAAAAAATACACGGAAAACTATGGTAGAAAATACATTTGTATCATTTTGCAGATATTACTTCTTCAGTACAGTTGGAACGAACGGGTTCGGTTGGGGCCTCAGGCCTCAATGGATACTTTACTCCCAAACAGCTCGTGAATAACTCACTGGTGGTACTAAATAGACCCCTCAGATGTTTTGTTCAACAATAATTTGTTTTTTTTCATTCTCCTGTCTCCATTTCCCCTGTCCCCCCAACCCCTCCAAATGCAAAAACTTGTCCCAAAATATTTCTATTAGTGGTCCTTACTGCTGGAGAGGTAAATTCATTGCTTACAACTTCAGAATAACTAGTACTACTAGTAGTGCTTACTACTGGAAATTCTACTAGTGGGGATATTATAGTAATCAGCACTGCCAACTGCTGTGTTAGTAGGGGGACAGCAGCATGTGTGTGTCATGACAAGAGGAGGAAGATCGCAAATACATGACTCATAAGAACCTAGTGAAAAATTCAGCCATATGGTGAGAACCAAACCTCATAAATATGGTATGGTACTGTACAGTGCCGTAATGTTCTGTAACTTAAAAAAGTGAAAAGTACTGTTGTAATGAAGGAGAAGATGCTCCTGCCTCTGAGCCATCACAGGTGTTCAAAACACATGGTGAAAAGGGGATTTTCTTTGATTTTTCTTGGCGTTTTCTTGGAGTTACGGAAAATACAGAACAATCTGATTGGCTGATTAGACAGATCAAAATTATTGAAAATAGATCCTATGGAGGATTTGCACTACATTCAAAATCATTCACTATCTACTTGTGATTGTGGATTGTCCTCACACAAGGAAATATAATTTTTAGGGACTGCAAATTTTTATCTCTCCAATCAGCCAATCAGATTGCTTGATTCCTACAAAATATTAGTATTATCCCCAACTCTAAGAAAACGCCAAAAATCAGATAAAATCCGCCCATGAACACCTGTGCTACGGTATGATGCCCAATAGGATGTCAAAATAAATGAGTCCTACCGGTACTATAAATATTACTAGTACTTCCTTAAATCTCAACGAATTATTACGATCCTGTTGAAATCCAGCGTGTGCAATAAATAAAAAAGGTCAGCGTCTAAACTCACAAAACAAAAAGAGCCATCGAAGAAGAATCCAAAAGTTACTACGGACCCTACCGTGAACCGCCGTGAACACCGTACGTATCGTACGGTACAAACCAAAAACTCGTTCTGTGACGTTGTACCGTACTACGGTAGGGGTAGGTACCACTACTGATTATTCTCAATAAATTGCTACCGTACGTTATCCACTACGAAAATAAACGTGTGCAGTAAATTAAAAAAGGTCAATGGGTCATTCCCGTTAATCTAGACGATCAAAAAGTCAAAACAGTCTACTTTAGATTTTTTAGTTTAATCACGGGAATCATTAAAAACAGGGTTCCAAGAGACATTTTTTGGTGTTCTTCTCGTCAGAAGGGAACTTGGAATCTCACTATTGAAAAAGGGCACCGTACGTATCGTACGGTACAAACCATAAACTCGTACTGTATCCTTATTTTGAGAAGTCGCAACCACTTGCAGTCATGTTTTGCAGATGGTCGAAGCGGTTCTTTAAATGATAAGAGAAAGCGACATTACAAATCAGCGAAGGTATGGTAAGGGAAAGAAGTTTTAGTACATTAATTGTACGTGATAGTATCGTTCACATGACCATTGGAGTACCTATTTGGAACAGTTCTTCTCAAAAGACGTGTTGTAAACTGACTGAGGAACAACTCAATCCCTCAATAAAGAAGAATAGAGCCTTTAATACAATTGTGTGAAGAATAGAGAATACTCAGGAGAAGAATGACAAGCTGAATGACAGGCTGGTGAATTGTTTTCGACGTTCTCTAAATTACTTCCGTTGTGAAGAACATGAATTAGTCAGGTCGTAAGAATTAGTCTAATTTTCGCAGTACATTAATGTACGTTAGACCAATGTAAGATTACCATTGATCAATTCGAAAGGACAAAGCCTAAGAGGCTTAAAAAAGAACAGATCAATTTACAATAGCCTTCCATAAATAAGTCGAGATTATTAAATGTCCTCACAAAGTAACTTCGAATAAACCAATTCTGGATCTGTAAGTATTTTTTAAAAGTGCATTGACGGATTTGATTCATGTCTTTTCTACGGTTGTATCATGTATCATGTATATTCAGTAAATATGCAGATCTGTCTTTTCTACGGTTGTATCATGTATATTCAGTACATAGGCAGATTTCGCTCGGTGTTCCACCATCGACTGATACACGCATACATCACTGTAACACGAACACCATAAACGTAAACACAATCAACACGAGTATCGATCAATTCGTCACCCTCCCGACAAAAATACCGTAGTGGCGCATTCTTTTTTTCAGCCCTCCTGCTCATAATATTTACTCGAAGAAGAACCATCGAATGTGAACATCCCACGCTTTCAGCTTCTACTCTCAACTTCGTTATCATGTCAAACCAAGTCGCACCTCAAGTTTCAACAAGCATCATATCAAGGCATCAAAGATACGGTCAAGAGAAGATGACATTGGAAAATCGTCTATCGGTGGCTGTTTCCCTTTCTTTGGGCGAAAAATTCCTCTGCAATGGACAGTTCGATCAAGCTACCGATGCCTTCGATTCGGCGCAACGGCTGCTAACTTCTGCCCCCCTGCCAATCGAAACTCATGACTGTCCCATCAAGTGCAACACCTTTTCAAGCCTAGTCTGCTCGTCAGAACGACCAATGCCTGCCACTCACATTGATACATACCAAGAAGACGAATGTGATGTCGGTGCGAGACAATTCGCTGCGGCAATTGTTCCCGACGATGTCGTTGGCCTAGATGATAATGTATTACAGCTCATCATCGCTTACAACAAAGCTGTTGTCTACCAAGCAAGCAAGAATTATCAATACGCATGCATCCTCTACAAGCTAATTGTCGACACAGTCCGATCATGTCTTTCTTCTGGAAACACCGACGCGACATTGATGCACCTTGCAATGCGTTCCCACAACAATATGGGTCAGATCGAATACTGTACCGGGCATTCCGAAGAACGAGCCTGCGTTGAATTTGAAAGTGCTCTTGTTTATGCTAGGCATCACTACAACCACTCTCGAATGCACCACAATGAGATCGATTTGCTGCCATCCAATACCGCAACCATTCAAATCAACGCAGTGACTACTCCTCCAGAGTACCAATTGGAAATCGCCACTGTTTTGTCCAACTGGTGCCGAACTCGATGGATGATGGGACACCATGACGGGACCATGTTCGCCGCCCTAGAAGATGTCATTCGCATCCGTACCGCTAACCTTGAATCCGACCATCTCGATGTCGCCGCGGCTCATTTCAATATCGGAAGAGCTTTGTTCTCCCGTGGTTGCAACCAAAAGGCTTTGAAGCATTTGCTGTGCTACATGCGAACCGCGTATACGCGATTTGAAGAACAAAACATTAGCATCAACAAATCGAGTGCCGTCGAGAACAACAAATCCACCGCCGCCGACTTGGATCCAACGCTGGGTCTGATTTATGTTCTTCAGATCCAAAATCAAGAAAAGAACGATTCGATTTCGCGAGACCTTGTGTGGGGCCTCCTCAGCCTCCAAGACAAGCTAAAAAAGCTAGGCCCCATCCATACAGATGTGGCTTCGGTCCTCAATTATATTGGAACGCTTTTGTTCCGTCGACGAGAATTGAATTACGCACTTTGCTTTTTTGCACAAGAATTATGCGTCGAAGAACAACTTAAGGCGCAGTCAGACAGCGAGCCATTTTCTAATAACGAAGACAATGTCAGCATCATCGTTACATGCAACAATATTGGTCGCATTCTTCAAGAGTTGGAGCGATACCAAGAGGCAAAATATTATTACCAACGATCACTTGGTGACGATGAGAATTTGTTGACTTGGAGCTGCTGCGGTGAACAAAAAGGCAAATGCAGGAACGCGAAGAAGGCATGCGACCGTGATATCCTTGAAGACGACGATGCTTTGGATATTCCTGCACCTGCCATGAACCTTTACTCAACAGTGTGGTACAATCTAGGTCTCATCCACGATAAAATGGGAGCCTTCAACGAAGCCATCCAAGCATTCCGCATGTCCCTCAAGCTTCGACGAGCTATGCTTGGTCACGAACATTCGGATGTTTCTTGCCTGTTTTACAACATCGGTGTCTTGCAAATGGAACAGAACCTCCTCAGCGAAGCCACCGAATCGTTCCGCGAAGCTCTTGCTCACCGACACGTTTCGGGAAAGGGGCAGCTGAATGATGCTCACGTCATTAGAACTCTCCGAAAACTTGCATCCATGCACAAATCCAAAGGCAACATTAAGGGCGCCATTGCCGCGTACGAAGACGTAATCGCTGTACTCAATTCCTCGAATGATTTTGAGACTGTCGTTCGCAACCAAAAAATCGGCATTGCTATGTGCGATATTGCAGAATTGCACCAAGCACAAGGAAGTCTTAAAGTTGCTTTGGAATATGCAATGGGGAGTGCCGACACACTTCTCGCTATGCGAAATTCTGTTTTGGAAAACGAGACCACTATGGGCGTTGATGACGTCAACGAGGACCTACAGTCCTACGTCGAAGTTGAAACAAGGGCTCTTCTATTGGTCGGCAGCCTTCAACACGAATTATGTGAACCGTTGAATGCGCAACATGCCTTCTCCAAAACGGCTTGTGTGTTGCACTCGCATTTGAGCACATCCATGACAAACTCTGCAGCTGCCCAAAAAACGAAATCTACTCTCTTCCCACTTTTGGAAGTCAGCATGATGCTATCTAACTTAAGCTGCGCACCCGAAGCGTAAAGCGACCAATCCACGAATTCAATACCGTTTTGCACAAGCTAGCTACTTCCCAAATTTTTGATAATAAATTTTGAGACCATCGTTCATCCAGCCCCCACGCATTACAACTAAGGCAATGTACGGGCAAGTCACAACGATAAGGTCTATGTCTGCACATAAACTACATAAAACATTTTTGAAACAACATTACGGAGTCGAACATTTTTAGTCATAGTGAATTGCATCGTTGTTCTAGTTCTACAGCTATATAAGCCAGTTGCTGTGCAGTGACTCAATATGGAACGCCAGCAAATATTATGGTTGTTTGTACCTCTGTTCGGAAACTGCATCAAAATGCCACGGATATAACAATTTCGAATAAATACAATGTAATGCATCGCAGAATATTGTACTTTGATTGAAATACTGCAACAAACTGCTAGTACAGACAAGGAAATGTTTTTTACAAGCAATTGTAGTAACTGCAATAATGCAATTTAGACGGCTGCATTCTACACTATTGATTCTTTACTCCTTGGTCTTACATTTCCTACCATGATTCCGCCCTCTATCTGGATTTCCAAATGGATGTGTAGTTACCCCTACTCTGTGGGAATTGAAGATAGACACGATAGGTACGAATGCCACAAACATCAAGTCAACAACACGCTTCAGATCAGGTAAAAAACCAAGAGGCAAAACTTGCATTTCTTGTGTGTCATTCCATCTGTACCTTCTGCTTTGATCAGCGGCGAAAAGACACGGTACCCGGACGCCTGCATGCTATCTTCTCATGTCCTTCGCACGTAAGCTACCTATCTTTCCAAGAGAACTGTGTTCGGGAAAAAAAGAAACGTTTCTTAATACAATTAGTATATTATCTATAATCTGCAATTCGTTGATTCTCGTCGGTTTTGTTTGTTTATTCCGCGTTCTTGTAGGCCTCGATGACTTCTTCGACATCATTCTTGGATCCCATGACCATAGGAACCCGTTGGTGGACGTAATCGGGCTTGATGTCCATGACACGCTCCTTTCCAGTGGTGGAAACACCTCCCGCTTGTTCCATGATGAAGGACATAGGGGCTCCCTCATACAACAATCGGAGCTTTCCGTTGGGGTTCTTGGCATCACCGGGGTATCCAAAGACACCTCCGTAAAGAAGGGTGCGGTGGACGTCACCAACCATGGATCCGACATAGCGGCTGGAGAAGGTCTTTCCAGACTTGCCGGTTCCGTTCTTCCATCCGTCGACGACCTTTTGGAGGGGTTCGTCCCACATGTGCGTGTTGGCCTCGTTGAAGGACATGATCGAGGAGGTTTCAGGAATCTTCATGTTGGGGTGGCTCAGAACAAATTCTCCGAGGTTTTCATCGAGGGTGAATCCATAGGTACCGGCACCGATGGTCAAAACGAAAAAGGTGGAGGAAGAGTACAGGCAGTAGGCGGCAGCAACTAGGCTGGTTCCGGGTTGGAGGGTGTTGGTGAGGCAGTTGAGCTCCTGGGCGGTGCAGTCCTCTCCGATGCAGGATTCATCCATAGAGCAGTTCTCATCGTGCTCGTAGATTCCAATGATGGTTCCGGTGGGGATTCCGGCGTCGACGTTGGAGGATCCGTCCAAAGGATCGAAGACGGCAACGTACTTGTTGGTTTCGGTGAATACGGCGTCCTTATCGGTGTTGACAAGATCGACCTGGTGTGCGACGGACGAAAAGAATTGGGATATGAGAGGAATCGGTTTGGAAAACGAAAGGCACGCGCACGCGTTTGTGCAATGGCCAGAGGCAGGGAAGGTATGTCCCGCTACACGAAATTCTACTTTTCATCAGAGTTGCCTCTGCTGGCTTTCCCAACTTCGGTAGCGGAACGGATCCCTATTTCCACGACTCCACTATGGAGACAGCGTAGACAACAAACGCGTCGCACGTTCACTGTGTGTTTACTAGTTCTATACTTACTGGCACGTCTTCTTCCTCCGAAGCCAAAACTCCCATGCGTCCGGTAAATCGAAGGGCGCGCTTGAGGACATCATTGGTGATGACATCGAGCTTCTTCTGGTCTTCTCCCTGGACGTTGACCTCTCCCTGGTATCCGAGGGTCTCACTGGAGGGCAACTGGGATCGCTTGACCATGTTGGTGATGGCCTTGCAGGCGGTGTCGATTGCTCCAAAGAGAGTGGTGAGCTCGGTCAATTCAGGGTTGAGCATAGCGACCTCGTTCATGTATCGCTTGAGGGTGACACCGGTGGTCTCGCATACTTCGTCGAGAACAGGGACCTTGACGGTGGGTGGTTCGGTGGCAACGTTCAGCTTGGTGGGAACGGAGACCTTTTGCGATCGGGCGACGAAGGCGTCGGAGACACCTGCCAGGGAAACAAGTACGAGGGCCGAGATCGAGAATTTCATGGTGGAATCTGCTGTTGAAAGAAAATGGAGGGATCAGGTGTTGGAGAGAACGGAGGAAGACGGGTATCAGAGGTCTGCCGCGGCCTTGTTGCAATTTCTAGGGGCAGGGAAAGACATGAAGGCAGCACCTCTTTTTCGATGAAGCCTAGAGGATTCTCTCCGTGTCGACAGACTAGAAAAATCCTGTTTCAGGAGGTGTTCGTATGACCACGTCTTGGTACGAAGCAACAAAGAAAAACCTAACAATGCGCGCTCCCAAGTGCGTCATCGTACCGCGCGATCGAACGGAATCCGAAGCGTACAACATCAACAGTACGAGTAGGAGTACGTCCAGTACTCGTACGTACTGGCGCAAGTGCAGGGTTCGAAAGGGTACGTTACGTACGAGTACTGGTAGAACAGTACTGGTTGGAGTTTTTGACAGCGCGCTACATTGGTTTCCTGGTTAGTGGGAGCAAACGTTCGTGTCTCGTATGAGAACTGACCACGTACTCGAAAGGCTCTCCGCTTTCACGCTAAGATTTTTGGCTGTCGCCGACGACACCGCGATAAAAACTAGGGAATTGGTATGTACTACTGCGGCAATCGCTTTCCTGGGAAGAACCCGCCTAACAGATGCATGTGTATGGAAAGAACTGTCCTCCGAAACGCAGACGAGAGCTGACCAGACGACACCACACCGACCGACACCTCTCGACAGGTTTCTCTCCTAGTTCACCCCCACCCCCTCACACACATAACTCCTCGTCCGACCAGAAGTCAACCCAAAATGAAATTCTCCCTTCTCGCCGTTTTCTTCGCGGCATCGTCCATCGATGCTTTCAGCCCCAAAACCGCTGGAAGCCGGGGTGCCAGCGCCCTCCGTTCCTCGACCACCGATGCTCCTCCCATGGCACGATCGCAGACTAAGGTCCCCGTCTTTGACGAGGTTTGCGACACCACCGGAGTCACCCTGACCCGTTTCATGAACGAGGTCGCCATGCTCAACCCCGAGCTCAGCGAATTGACCACCTTGTTTGGTGCCATCGACACCGCCTGCAAGGCCATGACCAACCTCGTCAAGCGATCGCAGCTCCCCTCCAGTGAGACCCTCGGATACCAGGGAGAGGTCAATGTCCAGGGAGAAGACCAGAAGAAGCTCGATGTTATCACCAACGACCTCTTGAAGCGCGCCCTTCGATTCACCGGACGCCTCGGTGTTTTGGCTTCCGAGGAGGAAGATGTCCCCGTGAGTAATATATATACATAATTCGTGGCAGCGGCAGTTGCGTGAAATGAGATCCGCGATCCGAAATTCCTAGATTTTCCGAAGCGGTATCTTTCCAATGCTCCGTTGATCATCGTAGGTGCAACCAATGGTAACAGTAGATTCATCAAAAATCGGTCGAAAGTTCTCATCTCACTAATTATTTCTTTTCTTCCATTGTTCGAAACCCAAACGAAACACGTTTTCAKGTCGATTTGATCGGAGATACTGCCTCTGACTCCCAGGAAATCGTCATCGAAGAGGGAGAGAAGTATGTTGCCGTCTTTGATCCCCTCGACGGATCCTCCAACGTCGATGCCGGCATCCCCACCGGAACCATCATTGGAATCTATGAACACAGCGAAAACTGTGATGTCGATCCCGAGTGCATCGGAGACGAGTGCACCGAGCAAGAAGCCCAGTGCCTCGCCAACACCCTCCAGCCGGGAACCAACCTCGTTGCCGCTGCCTACTGCTTGTACTCCTCCTCCACCTTCCTTTCCCTCACCCTTGGAAACGGTGTCTACATCTTCACCCTCGACGAGACGATCGGAGAATTCGTTCTTTCCAAGCCCGATGTCAAGATCCCCGAGGACTGCAGCATCTACTCTATGAACGAGGCCAACTTTGACAAGTGGGACAAGCCACTCAGGGACGTTGTCACCGGATGGCGCGAGGGAACCGGAGCCAGCGGAAAGCGTTTCTCCAGCCGATACATCGGATCCATGGTCGGTGATGTCCACCGTACCCTCCTCTACGGAGGTGTCTTTGGATACCCCGGCGACACGAAAAACCCCAACGGAAAGCTTCGATTGTTGTACGAGGGAGCCCCCATGTCCTTCATCATGGAACAAGCCGGAGGAATCTCTTCCACCGGAAAGGAGCGTGTCATGGAGATCACCCCCGAATACGTCCACCAACGCATCCCCGTCGTCATGGGATCCAAAAACGCCGTGCAAGAGGTTCTCGACGCCTACGCCGCTGAAGAGTAAACATAGACTATATACCACGATTCGAAAACAAAATATCTGACCACGATAGTGTAGTGTAACATCGCGTTAATTCTTTGACTTTTTATGCTGAGTTCCTTCCCGCATGTTGTTTCGGAGTTAATCGTTGACTGTTTTGAGAATGAACATGGCGATCGGTAGGCATGCCGTATTCCCACTTGAGAGTTCAAGGTACGCACCCGCGATTGAACTGCTGTTGTTGGAGATTCCTTTGTTTGTTTGTCCTTGATTGTATTTTTGGACAAGATGTTCATGCCTCTGTGCCGCGTTGAGGAGTCGCGAATAGCTACAAACTAATCACTACAGACAATGTTCACGCGCTTCTCGAATTTAAAAATATTATTCTAGTTTCCATTTCCTTTTAACACTACCTGTAGACGAGCAAAGAGTGTGCTGATACCGGCTGTGGGGAAATTTCTATTTTTCTTGGAATGCTTTCTCGCCATTGATTTTTTTGAGTTGACAGCCGGTGGAAGTCAGTTCTGCGACGTTGGCTTCCTCCTCCTTCGACAAGGATGACGATTCAATCATCGATTTTTTGTATACTTGGTGTATATTTGGTTTGGCGAGAGCTCAAACGAAACGGTATTGTCGGCGGTTTCGCTTTGTTTAGTTTGAAAGACGTGTTGGATTGTGCAGTCATTTTGTTCGGTTCGTTTTCTTCACGTTCCAGATGTTTTTGCGTCTCCAATGGTTGTCATTTACATTGTTGAATAACTTTGTCAAGGGAGAAACATCGCTAGTCTTCTCTCCTCCATGGCAGCGATCGATTTTTCGTCGATGAACTGTCCCACTTTTGTGGGCACCTTCGCACTCACAGATCCTGCGCCCGAGCAGACCTGGATCTTGGTGGCGGTATCCGGATCCAGGTAGGCTTTGGTTTTGTTAAGGAAACGAATGCAACAAAAAATACAAAAACACAGGTTAGCAGTGTACGGCATGTGTAGTGGAAAACGACGTTCGACGACGGAGTGTCCGCGCAAGCAAACCCGAGCGAATGGCGACCAAACGAAACCAGTCCCGCTTACCCTTGGCCTTGTTGAAGAGCACCGTCGCGGTCATCGGCAGCGGGAACAGTATGCACCTCGACAGCCGCTCCGGAAAGTACGAATTGAGCGAGCCCACCACCAGCTTGATAAAGGGAACGAGGGAGACGCTGGAGGGGTTGGGCCACCCCTTTCCCGACCGGATGTCGATGACGACGGTGACCTTTTCGGTGTGCTTCCGGTCGAGCTTCCGGTCCAGGTACATGGCCAGCGCCAGCGCGTAGGTGGTCGACGGGGCGATGGTCGTGTCGAGCTGCGACGGCAGGACGTGGACGATGCGGGCCCCGTTCTTGCACAGGACGAGACCGTCGTCGCCGCCAAAGACGCTGACGATCCGGGGGAGCAGCGATCGCTGGCCGTTGGCCGCGAGAGACGGGCCCTTGGTGTTGTTGGCGATTTCCATGGCCCCCCGGGCCGCCAGCGCCCAGTCCTCGTCGTCCGTTGTAAAGGTCGAGGGGAAAAACTCGTCGATCTTGTTGGCCGAGCGCCACTGCAGGTAGGAGCCAAGCTGGGCCGATGCCGCCTTTATGACCCCCTTTCGTGCCTTGAGAAAGCGGCGGCGCTCGGCCAGTGTAGATTCCGGCTGGAGGTCCAGGAGGGCCTGCAGGTCAACCTCGCTGTAGTGGACGTCGGGCAGCCATTCAAGGGTGATGCTGGTTTCGGGCCGGAGCCGCTTTTCCATTTCGTCGACGAGGGCTTCCTCGCGTTTCTGGATCCGCGCGTTGTTGCTGTCCTCGTCATCGGAGGCACAGGCCCCATCGGTGTCGGCATTGGTCCGGTCCTTCACCATGGAGGAATCGATGGCCGTCAGGTTCTGGGGATTTTTCTTTTCCATGGCGCAGAAAAACGACACCGCCGTGTTGAATATAAATACCGCGTTGCTTATTTTAGTATAGGAGGGCTCCGAGGACAGGGTGACATAGAGCAGCAAAAAGTTGGCCAGGGCTATCGTTGCAAACAAGCTCTGGTTTCTCAAAATCCAGGGTGGCCTCATCATTTTCTCCACCATGGTGCGTATTTGCGAATTGTCGCTTTTCGTGGTTGTTTCCTTTATCGCCCCACCAGCAGCACCGCCTTTTGTTGGCGGTTCCCTGCCCGGTGTGAGTTTCATCCCGTGTTTCTGCAGTTGTTGTGACTGCTGCGTTCGTATGCTGCCGGTCGTTCTGGATTTTCTTCGTCGTTCGTTGGGATCTGACAAGACGTTCGCAACGGCCATGCGAATGTCCTCGGCTTTCATGGGTCCGTTCTTGGTTTCCGTTCCCAGCGCTGCCACCGCCAGTGCCATTTCACGGGCACGCTGGACCTCTAGATCGGAAAAATTCAGTTCTCGGTCCTGGGATTGGTTCGCATTGGCACTGGCACTGGCATTGACATTCGTCGCCGTCGCCTCGCTGCTGCGGCGCTGGCGGGCAAGGGAGGAACGCTTGTGGCTGCTGCCGCTGCCATTCAGCGATGCGCTCAGCCGTTTCTGGGTTTTCGACACCATCTTCTTTGCCGCTGCGGCACGCAAGTTGGGAGCGGAGGCCACCGCAAGGGCCATTGTCTCGGCCATGCGGACCTCCTCGTCGATGGTCCTGTCAGACATCATCCTGGAATTGTCGTGTCGTCTTTGTATAAGTGTCTGCCTGTCTGTCTTTCGGTTGAAAGGATTTGCACTCCTCGGATGGAGGAAGTGGAATTTGAATTGGTCGGTGTGTGGTTCTCCCCCCGTGTGATGCATCAACAGGAGTTGTCGAAGGGTTGGGTATCCGTCGATTGATTCGATTGCTACGCTACTACCATGCGACTGGTACGAGTAGTTTCGCGCTGCGATGTTTTGTCTTTCGTCTTTTCTCTACCGGTACGACAGGAATCAGGCAGGTGTTCCTGAATTTTGGACTGTTTTCGGTTGTCGTCGTCATTCTCCAGAGGCTTTGGGAATGCCGATGGACTCAAATCTCAGCGATCGCCAGAAATTGCGCACATGCATGACTCGATGCAAGCCCCCGCAAGAACGGCCCAACGCGCGTCGGTGCATTTCATACTGCATTATTGTACCCTATGAATATACTCTGAATATCAATGAAATGTATTACTCCAGTTGTCAAGGGATCTTTCTGCCCGTCATTCGTGATTGAAGCCGGGCCGACGGAATGACGTCATGCCAAAGGCGGCGGACGGTCTCGAATCCGGGATACACGTATCGAGTCGAAGTTGACACCTTCCGGTTCGTTTTGCTAAACAAACCGCAGTGCCACTTGGTGTGTCGTGTCGCAGCGTGTCATCCTGTTCTACCGACCACCCGAGAGCCGAGGTATTTTCGTCGGTGTCAAAAAATTTACCGAAGTTTTCTGGGAATTTTTTTTTCATCGGAGGCATGCATGCCGGCACCTCGTTGAACAGACAGGGCCCCCACCTCGTACAAGCGTGCACTAGGAGTACACACTAAAATACGAGTACGAGTACGACCGATCTAACGCATACGCGTTTTCAATATTTTTTCATAAAGGGATCATTATTTATTTCTCCCGTTCGTTGGTTCTTCTCCCTTCCCGCCACAACCGAACGTTTTGCGATAGCCACCAACTACGAAATACCACCACCACCAACAACAACAACAACAAACCACGCTTGCACAAACCTTGCCTTTTCCGTGCTAACGACACCAAACCAATTCCTGCCACCATGGATTCGTCTCCTTCTTCCGCATCCCCTCACACAGAAACCGGCCCCGCCGACGCTCCCGACAGAAGGTCGAGCGAACCACGGGAAACGATTTCGGCGCGAGACACCGTCCTGGAGAGCAGCGACGAGCTCCGCCGGGCGAGTGCCACTGCCGCTGCGCCCCCACCGGAAAACGACAACAGCGCCTCCGCATCCTCGCCATCGAATTGCGGGAACAATTCTTCCTCGTCGCACCGGCGGAGACGGAGGAGAGAGCAAGAAAACCGAGGGCGGCTGCTGCAGTCGCAGTTCCGGCAGCAGCAGCAACAGCAACAAGAGCAGCAGGAGCAAGAGGAACAGCACGACGCACTTCAGCCCCCACAACAGCCCGACGAGCCGGCTTCTCCCGCGCCGGCTCCCAAAAAGTCCCTCTTTTTCCTCCGCCCCGTTCACAGGTATGCCGACCTGGTGTGCATCGCCCTCTCGGTCTTTGCCTACCTCCTGGAGACCACCCTGAACGCCGCCTTGGCGATCTTTGGCATTGGCGTCGGCGTCGGCCTGGTCCTGGGCGATTCCTTCCGGGCGGCCCTCCCCCTGCTCCCGTCGGTGCAGTCGGTGCAGGGCGCCGGCGCGGCGGCACCGGCGGCACCCCAGGGCGCCGGCCAAGGGGATTCCCAGGTGTTTCGTCCGAGGGACGTTTCCGACCTTCTCCCGGCCCAGTAAGAAAGGGAAGGAAGGAAGGAACGGATCCGAAACGGAGCTGTTCTTCGCCAGAGAAATATGTGCGCCTACGGAAAAGCAGAACGATGCACATGCCCAATCCATGCCTTGGTTGAGGAGGAACGAACGCAGCTCCCGTTGCTACGGTAAGAGTTGACCAGGACCGATGTCACCGCTGCTTCATCCGAGGCCTTTGGATGGGCAACAGGGATGGCGGCCTGCCTTTTCGATAAAACCCTGATACCGGGACTAACGGAGAAACTGGCACGATGAAATCGTGATGTGCTGGGCTGTAAAATACAGTACCAAAAGATGCACATTGCATCGTTCCAAAGGTTGTTGTTCCATTCGTCCTTTGTCACGCAAAACACAACAAATACATTGCAGGGCCATTGGGATCGAAAGCATCGGGTAGTACATTCTTTGAACAATTCGCACCAGAACTGTAACACGTAACATGTAATCTACGTACGCTATAAGTGTGTTAGACAAGAATCAATTGAAACCTGCCTAAATACCACGCCACAAATGATACTATCGATATTTTGCCATTTCATCACACACGTTTCGGAGGTTTTGAAACTGACCTAAAGACATGGTGCTACAACACAAATGGATTACGGGATATATCGTGTGGACTGCTTGGGGGTTATGATTCGTGTATGTACTATGTATGAGTTTCTTTAAAAAAATCTTGCAGTGTTCCGCAAGCTCTATTTTTCTTTCGTCCCCCGCCATTGCATCGTTTGGTTTTCGACGACGCTGTCAATCGTTTTTGGTGTTCGAGTGATCGGGCAGGACGCTATAAATCACCTCGGCGGTTTCCTTCTTGAGGGTCTCGACGTCCTTGCCCTTGGACGTGATTGATTCGTGGACGGTCAGCACCACCGGATCTGCCTTGGCAAAGGGGTACATGGAATTCCAGGCGGTTAGGGGGATCTCGATGCTCACGGGCACCAGGACGCTGTCGTTGTTGGTCGCCACCTTGAAGGCACCGTCCTTGAAGGGTAGCCGCTCCCCCATCCGCCGGGTTCCCTGCGGAAAGAAGAACATGGGGACGCCCTCCCGGATGGAGGCGTCCGATTTCGCATAGAGATTCCGGGCCCCCGTAATCGAATCCCCGCTGCCGCCGCTTTCTTTTCTTCTCTTGGTGTTGCGGTCGATCCAGATGTGGTCGCCCAGGTAGGTGATCTGGCCGACCCCGGGGAGGTACATGATCGAGGACTTCATGATCCAACGCCAGTGGCGCTCCAAGAAGTAGACGGCCGCCGTGTCGATCTGGGAGCAGTGGTTGGCCACAAAGACGGGCGCGGGGGAACCGGGGGAATTGGAAGGGAGGTGCTCGGCCCCCTTCACCACCACGGGGCCGACAAAGAGCGAGCAGACCAGGACAGCGCACTTTCGCTCTACCACCTTGTGGGCTAACTCCCGTGTGTGCTTCAGGTCGAGCCAGTGGCCGGTGGCCGCGGCCTCGATGAGCACCAGGATGGTTCCTACGAAGCAGACCGTCATCCACACCACGTTCAGCAGAAAGACCTTGACCATGCCAAAGGCCGTCAGCGACGGAACCGACGGGTGGAGCCAGATCTTGCGTTCCTGGTAGACMGCAACGATCGCGGTGAGCCAAATGAAGGACTCGAGGAAGAGGAAAGTGCTTGCCAAAAAGGGAAAGAAGAGCAGGCACCCCGCACACACCAGTGCTCCGCGCAGCCACATCGCACTCATTGATTCCGTTCGAGCTGGCTTCCCGTCTATGGATTGGTGTTCGTTTTACGGCACCGTTGTAAAACCGGTGCGTACGATTCTACCGTTTTCTAGCCGGTTTCCAAAGATTTGAACCCACCAGAATGAACTATTGCGTGTTTACTTGTTACAACAAAAGCACAACACAGCAAATGGCTTGGGATCTACGCCGGTCGTTGGCAGTTCGAGAATCGTTCCAATCGATTCGAATCAAGTCTTCTGCCCTTTGCCTCCGCTGCAAAATGACTATAATGGAAACAGGTGATATCAGTTCTTTTGTTTGGTGCCTCTTTCTTTGAATTGATTAGCGATTGCGGTGTTTGTGCAACAAACAGAAGCAAGGTGAGAGAAGGTTTTTTTTGTTTGAAATTACAGGTCAACCACGCCGTAACCTGGTACCGCAAATGGTACGTTAAATTGATGAGTTATTGAATTTTTAAATGCTGGAGGCTGTTTTTTGTTTGGGGAAGAAGTTGGCTTTCCTTATTCTCTAGAGAAATGGCCGCAGATACCGGTACAGAAGATTCTACCTAATCGCCAATACGACACACGTACGGAATTCTAGAAGTAATCACATACTCGTACATGTGGAGGTACGACTGCCAGTAGGATCGACCACGATTGACTTTCAACACTTGCATTAGTACGGTCTCTACCACGGAAGCATAAGTTTGAAATCGATCTGTCGTCAGTCGTGTCTCGTGTCTCCGATTCTCGAAATTCTCCTCGTACCGATACAATTTTTTTTAATTTTCCGCTTCGAAGGTACGAACGAAACGTACGAGTAATTACTGTTGCTTCTGGTGCAATTTGCTGTTCCGGGTTGCAGTAGATCCGGATTTCGGCAACCACCACTCATTCTTTCATTTTATGGCGGATCTATTGTTGGATTGTCCTCGCCCCCACCGCCCATTCCGAAGACAAGAATGCACAAAGAAACAGGCCCCGCAAATGAGACTTCATCACACCAAAATTTTCTTCTGTTAAATTGGCTTGGATATTCCTGCTTGCATACTAATAGTATTGTACCATCATCGTGGATTTTTATGTTTTTAAAGCTACAATTACCGCTTTTTCTTCAAATGGTTGCTTGGCCTATACCAGTGTTTTTCTCCACTGATCTCAGATATTTCGTCAAATGTATGATCCTTTACAATGCAACCTCTGGACCAACCCTTGTTCGAAGTGGTTCCTCTTGGCGTTGCACCCAATGTTTTAAACGACAGATCAAATGCGTGATGCTGTCGTACTCGTGGTCGTCTCCTTTCCACAATCGCGCCACCTGGGTTGTTTTCCGACGTTAGTCTCTTTCGCGTTTTGTACGGCAGGCGTGCCCCATTGTTTCGGTTCTACCGGCCTTTCGGGTGCTCTAGGAACGAATCCACGTTCGGGGCAATGGCCAGGAAATCTGTCCAGAAGCCCATCTTGCAGTCTGTCTCGGAAACCCGGCGCTCCAGTTCCAACCTCAGGTACATGCAGTGGGCGCGGAAATCGTGCAGGGGTCGGTCATTCAGTTTCTTCAGCTGCATCCTCTCCTTTGCCGTAGCTACCTGCTTGGGATGGTAGCCAATGGTGAGGGGATACAGCTTGTAGCCCGCACCATCCAGCAGCTCTAGAATCTCAACGGCCTTGTTGCAAATGCTCGCATCGGATGATCCGCCGACGCTTCCTGCCATCAGGTCCATGGCCTTGGGCCAGAATTCGAACAGAATGTGCTGGAATTTGTGCCTCCGGATCGATTCGCTCATGCCGGCAAAGACCGATGGTTCGAAGCCTTGCGTGTCCACCTTGATGGCGTAGACTTCGTCGATCTTGGGTGCGGACTTGGAGGGTTGGGAAGTGTCTACAACCGAAACCGGCTGGATCTTGTTGCGGTAGCTGCTGCTGTCCAGGACGACGTCGTCGAGCCTGACGGACGGGACGTGCACAATGTCTCCATCGGGGGCATTTGCCTCCATGCTGTACATGTTCGCGTTCCCGACGTGGTCTCCCGTGCTTCCGCCTTTGCTGGTGTGAAATTCCAGCGTCCCTCCCGTAACATTTCCCGCGGCCACGTTGTACAGGTGGAGGTAATCCTTATACTCTTCCAGCTCGCGATCGTTCCGGACCTGGCCGGTGATCCTCTGGAAGGACGCTGGCGACGGCTCGAAGCAGTGGGCGTGGATGTGGCGGATCGCGGCCGCCTTGCACTGCTTGACACTGTGGACGCCAATCTCCATGGCCACCAGCGGCTTGTTCGACCCCTCCCCGGAGACGATGGTCCTTCCGTGCTCGAGGAGATCTATCCACAAATCGTCGGAGCCACGCTCGAGATAGTCCGGGCGCAGGAGGGTTCGATCGGGCGGGCGGGCACCCATCTGCCGCGCAACCTTGGACCCTTCGTTCCTTTTTGCTTCGGGAAGCAAAGGTATCTCTGGGGTGTCGGAATGCGAATTCCGTTGCACAACTATCGCACCCAGTTCTTCCTGCTGCCGCGAGAGGGAGAAAGAATGAGAAACGGCGTACGCCACCCACGTGATCATGCCCAGAGAAGCGACCTTGTGGCAGGCATCCCTGGTGTTTCTCGCCCAAAACCAGGATTGGTTCCTCACCCGCTTGGACGATCCGAATTTCATTGTCGACGTTCTGTTTTCGCGGTCGGTTTTCTGAATATATAGTGTTTCCCTCGTTTGGTTGGAAATTGGTCCTGTTGATTCGATACGATCCTTGTACCAGGGGTCATACCCCTGCCTTGTACGATGTACAGTACGTACTGTACTGAAGGGGTCATAATGACCACTGCTGTACGATGCAATGAGGGGTACGAGTACTCGTACTCGTGACTCAGGCCCACAATGGCCCACAATGCAACTAAAAATGCAAAATACAACAACAGGAAGGAAAACGGAACACGTGTAAAATACCAGGGGTCATAGTTTTAGAGGGGCGTGCAACGTCGAAAAACTCTTATTCATTGTGTTATCCACGTTGTCCACATGGGCCAATATTGGCTCCATGAACTGGAACTTACAGTCACGGGCTGTATCTAGTAGAGGCAATCTCGTCATGATCTCTTGTGCTCATAGTGTCTCGTTCACCCCTGCTGTTCTGTGACTGTGTACATCATCTCGGCAAGGCATCCCTTGGGGAGCCTCATAAATAGCAAATGACTTCTTACATAACATCAGAGGTTCTCCTCCTTCAGCGTCTAGTTGTTCCTCTCTACAGTTGGTTCATGCTGCTGTCTTGCTGCCACACAGTGCATTTGGATGGGATGATCTAGCTGCAACAGGTCCCCACGGAGGCACTCAAATTGATTACCACCACTCAGCTGTGTTACCACAAACCCACCTATGCAATACTGGCCTACTGCTGTATTTTTTGCTTGCTTCTGCCGCTGGCCTTGAAATGGTAAAGTCCCAACACATTGGTCAGTGTTTGAATTTTTGTTTTGCTGCCTTGGTAGCATATGCCGCGTTGTAGCTTGAGTAGCTCAACTGGGCATCTGGTTGAGTTAATTCTCTCCCACATCTCTGAGCTTTTGAGCTTTTCCTTCATTTCATCATCAATTTGCCCTAGTGCTTTTGCATACAGCTTCTCCATATCTGTAGTATATGAGCTGTATTGCTTCACTGACAGTTTGATTTCTTCCTCGTGCATCCTTTTGAGTCTGGACTTGATTGCAGGAATATCTTTCTTAGCGTCTGTCCAGTTGGTTTCAGTGGGCTCCATTGGTATGAAATCGATTCACCCTATTGTGTCTTTGGCAAGTATTTTGATCCTCCTAGCGTTTGTATGCGTTCTTGCAGCTCTGTGAACTGTGTGAGGCTTCCCACTTCAGTGAGTAAAATTCCCTCCAGGTCTCCTCTGTTCACCTTCTTGTTCACATCCCCTGTTTTCTTTCCTGGGGAAGTTGTGTTTGACGTGTTTTGCTTTGGTTTTGGGCGTGCCTTTTGCTCACTCCATGGTCCTTGTTGCTCTCGACCTTCAACAAAGGCTACTGTCTTTGTCTTCTCGGGCGTCTGCTCGACGCTTTTGGTACCCTCCACCAAGCTTGTCCTTGGAAAATCAGTGTGTGGGATTATTCTTGAATCCCTTGCAACAAGATATAGCGTTTCGCTAGTTGGTATTCCTCGGATTAGCTTGTTAATACTGCTTTCTTTTCTATTTCATGTTGAATTAATAACACGTACGCATATGAAAGACATAATACGTTGGCATAATCGCACACCGTAATCGTACACCGACTCCCCCGTATAAGCATCCTCCATATCAGCGACTTGTATCAGCGACCTCCATTTCAGCGACTTGTATCAGCGACTCGTATCAGCATCCTCTGTATCGGCGGCTTGTATCAGCGTCCTCCGTATCAGCGACTCGTGTGCTTGATTGGTACCGTTCGCCTTGTGTCGTACCAAACCAAAAGTCCACAACATCGTCGGGGTGGAGGACTGCGGAGGGAATCGGATGTGACCGAGAATTGGAAGGCGTCGATATAAATTGGACAAAACGGAATTTCACCTGCATGGACAGAGGTCGGCAACGGGCATTCTCGGTACACCCAAGACAAGGAACAACGCACGGGGAACCGAGGAGTGCGTTGGTGTCAAGGTGGACCTGTTGGAACAGAAAAAGATCCGAGACCCGGCAAGCAGACGGAGAGAATCCGAAACGTTCTGGGACGCAACGAGACGAGACGAGACAAGACGTAACGAGACGAGGCATTTGGCGCGTGATTGTCAAGCAGAAATGATTAGTAATTTGATAGGATGTATGTTTGAAAGTTCGAGTGAGACTGGCGTTGGATTGTTGTTCCTGTTTTCGGAGTCCAAGGCATTGCGGTTTGTTCAATCGCTTGGAATAGCGAATGAATGCAATGCTGTACGCTATGGTTGATTGCTATTCCTCCACAGAAGATTCCTTGCCGGGACGGCCCGTCCATAGATGGTCTACCGTGTCACGACATGCCCGACTCGGCAGCAAGTTCGAGTCGAGTTGAACAACGCCTGTTCGTGTTCCTTCTGCCTGGTGGTCGTGGAGTGCGTCACCGTGCGGCACAGTGCGTGCGGTGCCCCGCGTTGCGGTGACCGGGGACCGGTCTACGCGTGCTCCCGCTGGTACAGGTGGACCCCCCCGATCTTCCAGTAGGCCTCCTCGTCGAGGAGCGCCCGGGCCTCGTCGCTCTCCAGGTAGGCATTGCAGGTGGCGACCGAGTCGTTGCGCACGTTGTACCTCTCGTAGAGGGCCGGGCAGTCCCTGGCGAAGCGGTTTCCGGCGACCGCCCCACAAAAGGCCAGGTTGATGACCAGCCGGTGGTGGCGAAAGTGCTCCGAGGGGCAACCGCTGCCCTCGCCAATGGCAAAGTAGGCGTAGGGGGTCGGCCACGACGAGGGGTCGGGCCGGGGGTTTCCGCTGCCGGCCAGTGCCTGCTGCAGGTTGCGGGGAATCTCCCCCCGGCGAAAGACCCAGGACCGGATGTAGCCGCTCGTCGGGTCCCACTCCAGAGCGTAGACCCCGCCGCCGTTTTGGTTCATGGGCTCCCCGATCGTCCCGTTCTTATCGTGGATCGCCACGCAGCCCTGGTTGGCCCACTGGTGGGGGGTCATCGTCCAGCAGTTGTCGGCCTGCACCTCCGTGTCGAAATTGGGTTCCCCCGTAAAGGTGTCGGGCAGACCGGTGGCGGAATCCCAGTGGCCCGTCCAGTTCCACCGCGGCACGTGGGCAAACATGTCGCAGCCCTCCGAGGTGTGCAGGGCCGTCTTGGCAACGACCTGGTTGTTGATGGGCTCGACGATGTCGATCTCCCCGTAGTCCGGCCAGTGGGCCTCGTCGGTGCTCCAAAAGGCCGGCCAGACGCCGCAACCCGTGGGCATTTTCTCGACGTCCAGGAGTATCAGGCCGTGGTCGATGCGGCGCTTGCCCTCCAGGCGGACGGATTCCCGGTAACGGTTGCCGTTCTCGTCAAAGGTGGTCCCGGACCTCGACGAGAGAACGACGTATTCGTCGCTGTCGCTGCCGCTGTCGTTGCCTCCTTGCACCACCCTGGCGAGGCCCAGTTCCCCGGCTCGATGGCGGCCGACGTAGGTATTGTATCCCGCCGATCCGATCGAATCGGGCCCGTCGGCAAAGTCGTAGTGGTCAAAGAAGGATTTCCCGGTGTGGCGCTCGACCAGAGCGTAGGGGCCGGTTCCCTGGTGCAGTGTGTAAGAGCCATCGGCGTTTTCGTCGCTCGAGGGCGCCGTTTTGTTGGCCAGCGCCTCCGCCAGGGTGTGGATTCCCGACCGCAGCCCGTGGTCGGCCCCGGGTGATCCAAAACTTCCGGCAAGTACCAAGACAAACAGGAGGGTTCCCGGGACCAGCAGGAGGCTTTTGGCGGTTCCAAACCAGGCCGGCAGCTGTTTCGCTTGTTCCGTGTCTTCTCCTCGAGCCGGGTCTTCGGGACCGTTGCAACCCCGGCTTGCGATCGACAAGTGGCCGACAAGGGCTGGCTTTTTGTTGTCGTCGTCGTACGGGAGCAGGGAGTCGGATTCTCGGGGAGCCATGGTGGACGTGCAAGTGTGTGTATGTGCGCGTGTGTCTTTCTGGTGGCCTCGGTGTCGGTGTTTTAAACCGGAACTAAAACCAGAATTGGCTGCTGTGACTTTCCTTTCTAGTTTTCTATCCAGGACTGCGGCAGGAATTTTTGGCTGCGTGGACTTCCAATTCAACCATTCACTTGCGGAGAGATTAAATGGGGAAGGGAGGGGAAATCTTGCTAGGCTTTACTATGCGTAAGTTTTTGTGTATCCTATGGACGGATGCAAACTACCCTACTTCTACCGATTAGAATCGAATCAACACGCAAGTCGGATTGCGAACGTAGCAGCGTTGTCATTGGGAGAGACAGATGAGTCGGAATCTATTCCATCTCCGGCGTTTGATCTTCTCGTTTTGTACCTTGTTGCCGTGATCCCCAGAGAAGAAGAACGAAGAATTTGGGAATAATCGATGTAATCACCAGGATCGGCGACGATGATTTTGTACGGTATGGTCGGGTTCTGTTTTTTCAATTATGCCTGTGGAGCGAGTCATCGAATGATGTCGAATGATGCAAGGTATGTAGGACGTACGGTGTACGGTACCTTGGTACCATAGTAACGGTACGTATACCCATGAATCCGACACACGACGAAATGCATGATGCGCGCAACGTCTATTCGTCAACAGTACGAGTACGTTCTCGTATTCTCGTACTCGTACTCGTACGATAGTACGGGAAACAACACCAACAAAACTCCAAACTCTTGATGGCAACGGTACGTACGGTACGGTACGATACATTACCAAGAAGTACACGTGCTGGTTCAGCTCGTTCTTTCCAGCGAGGACTGGTCTGTTTCCATTGATAGCACACAGCTCGAACCGTTCCGAATGGGCCGGTACAACAACAAGAGGACCCAGGCGGCCGCCCAGGCGGCCAAGAACACACCCTCGCGTGCCCGGTTTTCCAAGGGCCCGCCCGGAGGCAACAAGAAAAGGGGAAACGCCCAGAGGAGCAGAAACGACGATCCACCGCCAAAGACCAAGTCGCGGGGGATCGGAGGGGGAAACTACAGCAGCGGCAACAACAAAAACGGAGCCAACGGTCGGCGCGGTAGAAACCCGCAAACCACCGCCCGGGTCATTGACAAGATCCAGAACCGCGTGGGCAGGGGAACCAACCCCGGCTCCAACCAACCGGGGGCGCCGGGCAGCGGAAGCACGGCGGCTGCCGCTGCAAGAAGCAACAGCTCCGGCAACAACCCGATCAACAAATCCACGGAGATTGCGCTAAAGAACCTCGACAAGTCCAAATTGGACGTCGTAGCGGTCTCGAAAGAAACACAAAACCTGATTTCCGACCTCCTGAGGGAGCTGGGAGTCGTTGGTGGAACGAACACCCCCAATAGTAGCAACAACAACAACAACAACAGCAGCAGGATCGCTGGAATGAACCCTAATGCGACGGAATACAGTCCAGATGTCTCCGTCGATCCCCATGCGATCATTGAGGAAGACTCCGAAGCAAACGAATCCGACGACCACGACGACTACTCGGGTTCGTCGTCCGAGGACGACTACCAGGACATGATGGACTTTTTGACGGAGCAATCCGAGGCTAGAACCGTCCATGCCGGTATGGACCCCCAGGGCGATGGCGGTGGGGGCTTGGACGGGGACGAAACCGATGACTACAATCCCGAGATGCAGCGACTCCTAGTGGCAAATCGCCGACGAAAAGAAGAGCAGCAACAGCAAGAGGAGAACCAAGACAAAGACGGAGACACATCCATAGCGGATCGGAGCGACCCGGGGGGCGACGGAAACAACGAGACCACAGAAACGATCAGCAACGGCAACGTTGGAAGCGAGAACCAAACCAACGAAACCAACGAAAGCAACGAAAAGAACAACAACAATCATAGCGAGGAAGAAACCGCTTCCGACTTTGAAAACGATCACACCTATCTCCACCTGACGACAAACTTGTCCTTTCCACACGTCCACGCCGCGAAAGCATGCCGTGCCATCGAGTGCTGGGAGACAAATATTGGCGAGGGCACGACGAGCGAACCAACGAGCAGCAACAACACAGACCAAAAAAACAACGGCGACGATGACAATCGACTCGAACTCGCCATGGATTGGTTGTGCCTGCACCTGTCCGAAGCGGATCTCAACAAGGGTTTTCGTCCGAACCCTAGCGCCAGCACAAATGCTTTCGGGAAGAACCAAAGCCCCAAACCACTATCGGTGACCCCCACTCGAATCAAGGCTGTCTCCCATCCCTCCATCTCGGTCATTTCCAAGCCCATTGCCGAGCAGGCCAAGGAATGGGCAGAGGCCGTGGCACTACAGGAACGCGTCCTCAAGTTCATACGGCTAGGCTTTCACCGCGCCGATGCCCTTGCTGCTTTTGAGCGGGCTCAGATTCGCCACGGCTTTGGTCGAACCCGCAGCGTTGTGGTGACCGAGGACCCGGCTCTCCCACTTTTGCTGTCGCAGCTGCAGGACGGAGCCTTGAGCGGCAGCGGCAGCAGTGAGGAGGTAGACGTGCAAAGCGACGGCAGCAACGACGACAATGCCCTTCTCGAAGAAGCCAAGGAAGAAAGAGAGCAAGAACTCGAAGCTCTCAAGGCTATTTACGACGACCGACTCCGGATCGTCTATCGGGAAGGAAACAGCTGCGCACCAACAAGCGAAATTGGCACCGGGGAATGCGACAGCGACAGCGACAGCGATGCCGACAGCATTCACGATGGCAGGATTCCGGAACGATACATCCTGCAGATTGATCCCGCCACCCCGCTCGGTGATCCTGCGAGGGCCGACGAAATCTTCCTCCACGTGATTCTTCGGGACAGATACCCATCCTCGCAAACGCCCCTGCTGCTGCTGGTCACTCGCCCCACGCTGCCCCCGTCCCTGTCGAGGAACATACTCACCCGCCTGGGAGAAAAAGCCAGAGAAATCATTGGCCTCGACTTCACGAGCGGGGAACGCCAATTGGGCGGAGGCTGCCCGGTCGTCTTCGAAACTGTCTCGTACCTGGAGGACAATCTTCCCGCGCTGCATCGAAGCTTTTGCAACGAGCAGCGGCGGAAAGAATTCGAGGCGCAGCAGGCCCGCCTGCTCAGGCAACGGCAGGTCGAAATGGAAGAGTCCGAGAAGGCTATGGAACTCTTGTACGATGCCGCGGCCAACAAGAGCAGCAGCAACCAAACCAGCGGTGCCAACACCTTATCCATCGGCCGGAGGCAGCGCGCCAAGCTCAGGGCGGCCGAAAAGGCGTACGACCGCCCGGACCAGCAAAAGGCGCTTTACGAAGAATACCGGCGGAAACAAACCGAGCGTGTGAACATCGCTCGGGCCGAGAACCAATCGGCCAACGTGAGGGCAACGCACGCCCAGAAGGCTATTCTGAAGAGGCAGAAGGAGCTCATCGACGAGGAAGCCAACAATGCGTTTCGGAGGGCCATGAACGAGGCATTTCGCAAGGGGCAATCCAGGGAAGAGGCCAGGGCCGCAGCAGAGAAAGCCCGGATCGCCTCGTACCGCGAAAATGGAGTGACCGTCACGGGAGAAAAAGAAACAACCAAAGAAACCTCTCCGCAGGTGAGCGATGCGGGTGCCGATAAGGATACTAATACCGACAAGGAGATGGAAACAAAGGTCTCCAAGCCGACTGAAGCCTCGTCGAAATTCATGGAACGTCTCAGAAACTCGGCCCCCAGGAAAACCGCAACCGAAGACAGCACTCATATCAGCAGCAATGATCAGGCACCGGGATCAAAAAAAGAAATGACCCAGGGCCCCACACCGCACACTTCCGCCTTTATGGATCGTCTCCGAGAAATGTATGATTCGGCAGCTCGTGCAAAACACAAAAAGGAATCCGACGGAAGCTCTAGCAACAATCACAGCAATAGCGACAAGACAGTTTCCCAGTCACATGGCAACAAACTCGACGGCTACCACCTTGATATCCCGAACGACGATGCCAACAGTGGAGAGGAAGATTCGGCAAATGAATCGGGCAGCACCTATCGCCCGCGGCCAGTTGCCGTGCCGGCGGGAGAACTCGTAGGGGTCATGGAAGACATCATCCATCAACAAGAGGACCAGCCCTGGTTGGTCTCCCCGGAAGCCAGGGCACCGACAACGACCTCGGAACGGAAGGAAGTTCCTCCGGCACAGCTAAAACGAGAGAAAGAAATCAGTGCCAAACTACGAACCGAACTCTCTCGGAAACGAAAATTGGCGAGGGAATGGGCCGAAACCCAAGGGGCAGACCAGCCACAATGCCCAAAGGCAAAGCGCGGGAACAAGAAAAAGAAACAGGGCAATGGAACGTTTACCGCGCAGCGATTTCACGAAATGATGACCATGAGACAACGGTACGATGCATGGTGTTTTGTTTGTGTTTGTGGCTGTAGAGTGTTGTTTTGTGGATTTTTGGAAATGGTTGGTCCGGGTTGTTCTCTCACTCATAGCTTGCGGGCATATGCTTCTTTAGTCTACCTGCGTTTCAAATTAGCGAGGAGCTTGTTCAGACCATCGATAGAAACCAAGTTACAGTCATTGCCGGAGCAACCGGCTGCGGCAAGGTATGTGACTAAAAAAATTTTCCGCTTCGAGTCGCATTATTTATCTCATGCATGAACTCGCCTTCTTCTTGACCTTCTGATATAGACAACACAAGTTCCGCAGCTCGTACTCGACGACTTGATTCAGAGAGGACTCGGAGCAGTAACCAACATGATTGTGACACAACCTCGAAGGATCTCGGCAATCGGTGTCTCAGAGCGAATCGCGCAGGAGCGATGCGAAAAAGTCGGTGAAACGTGTGGATATTCCATCAAACTCGAGAAAAAAATGTCAGCTAAGACGCGGCTACTTTTGTGCACCACCGGTGTGTTGCTGAGGAGATTGCAGTGCGATCCAGATCTGGCCTCTGTGTCGCATATTTTTGTTGACGAAGTGCATGAACGCGATTTGAATACCGGTAGGTTTATTTCTCTACAAAGTGTCGCGTTCTTCGTTTTGAATGACTCGAATATTTTTCTACTCACAAAAATATTCCGATTTTGATTCCAGATTTTTTGATTATCATCTTAAAAGACCTTCTAGCAAGGCGAAAAAACTTGAAACTTGTCCTGATGAGTGCAACACTTAATGCAGATTCGTTTTCGTCTTATTTTGGCGGCTGCCCTGTAGTGTCGATTGCTGGTAGAGCCTATCCAGTTCAGGAAAATCGTCTCGAGGATATTCTCGAGCTCACGGGCTACAGCGTAGAAGAAGGTGGTGATTATGCACTTAAAACCGGGCCTAATAGACCGGTAAAGATGTCGAAGTCGGCCCTCCGCCGGTTGTACTACCCAAAGTATAGCAAAGAGACGATTCATTCCTTGTCGATCGTAGACGAAAATGTCATAAATTACGAACTCATTGCTGAACTTCTCGAACATATTTCGCTAAATCAAGGCGAAGGTGCCATTCTCGTGTTTTGTCCAGGATTTGCAGAGATTACAAAAACTATTGAAGAAATGTATAAAAAGGAATACTTTCAAGGGCCAAACGTGGTGATATATCCTTTGCATTCTTCACTGTCAACAGACGAGCAGGTTGCAATTTTTGAAATCCCCCCCGAGGGAGTTCGGAAGATTGTTGTCTCCACGAGTACGTAACAAGAATATCAACATTTGTCACTCGAAGTTATTGCATGTATTACCAGAATATTTCCAGTAAATCTTATTCTTTCCCTCTTTGTCGATGTAAAAAGATATCGCCGAAACTTCCATTACCATCGAAGATGTTGTGTTCGTTGTTGATACGGGAAGAGTAAAAGAAAATAGAAGAGACGAGGTCAACGAAACACCAACCCTCGAGGAGTGTTGGGTGAGGTGAGTTCATACTGTTTCTCGTGGGCTATCGCTACCGGCCTTTTCTTTTCATTCCTAATTTTGATCTCTTCGTTCGCAGTCGCGCTTCTGCTAAACAACGAAGAGGGCGAGCTGGGCGAGTGCGCCCTGGAATCGCCTACCATTTATATTCGAGGTAAGTTGAGAATTTTTAGCAAGAATACGGTTGGTTGATGTATTACCAACCTTAAAGCTTCTGACTCCTGTTATGCTCGTTGCCTAGTCATACGCACGACGATGATATGTTAGAGTATCAGTTGCCAGAAATGTTGAGGGTTGGAATTGAGGACTTGGTTCTTCAGATTCTAATTCTTGATCTTGGCGAGCCCACGTCGTTTTTAAAGAAAGCCTTGGATCCACCCTCAAATCTGGCGCTCTCTAATTCTCTAAAACTACTCGAAGAACTCGGTGCTGTGGACTGCCAATGGAAAAATCGCAAAAGCATGGCGTTTTCAAGTAAGAAAGAGAAAGAAAACGCCGAGGACGATCTCGATGTTTCAAGCGAGCTTACTGCACTCGGCTTTCACTTGGCAACGTTACCTGTTGATCCTCGAGTGGGAAAAATGATGATTTATGGTGCACTATTTGGTTGTGTAGATCCACTTTTGACATTTGCGGCTGCCATGTCGGCAAGGAGTCCTTTTGTATCTCCATTTGATGCACGAGACCAAGCTGATGCAGCACGGAAAACCTTTGCCGTGGCCGGAAGTGATCATTTGACGATATTGAATGCATTCAACCAATGGTCAGAGCTACGTCGAACCGAAGGGAACCGTGTTGTGAACGAGTTTCTGAAAGAAAATTTCCTTGGTCGCCTAACGCTGTTTCAGATGGAAGACCTCCGAAAGCAATTTCATTCTTTGCTCACTGATATTGGATTCTTGCCGAGGAAATTTCGTTTGAAGGATTCGGATCACGCCTGCAACAACAACTCAAGAAATCAAGGTCTAATCAAAGCAGTTCTTTGTGCTGGTTTATATCCAAATATAATTGTGGCTCCACGATCTGTTGTGGCTAAACCAGGCCTGGCCCCGAAAAAGAGCAACAAAAAGGTTGGGGAAAATGCATTTCGCAGTCATAGTAAAGGAGAGGTTTATCTCCACCCCAGCACCATTGCATTTGATGAATCAAAATTGGAGAGTCGGTACTGCTGTTATCATGAACTGATACGGACAAGCAAAACATATGTGCGCGACTGCACAACAGTGAGTCCCTTTGCGTTGCTCTTGTTTGGTGGCACCTTGGAAGTTTTCCAAACACACGGAGTTTGCTCCGTCGATGGTTGGTTGAAATTCAAGATTGATGCCAAGCCTGCAACGTTGATCAAATACCTCCGCGGCAAGATGGAACGCTTGCTTTTCCAAAAGATTGTCTCCCCACACGAGGACGTGATAGAAAGCGAAGAAGGGAAGGCCCTAATTCAATCCATCAGTCGTCTCTTCGAGACGGAAGAACAACAAAGAAAAGTAGAGGCGGCTAAGATTCCGGATCGCCGCGGAGGAGAAATTGTACGACCTTGGACTGGAATCGAAGATGAGAACGAACGTTTAAGAGATATTCAAGAAGAGGCGAACAGGCGCAACAGTGGCAACAGAAATGGCACTCATAATAGTCGTCGTAGCAAGAACACTGAGAGTTGCAATGGTCGTGACAATAACAATCCAAGTCGGGAGGGACGTGGTGGGAGAGGAAGAGGTGGAAAAAAAGGAGGAAGGTCAGGAATGGGACGTGGGTCTCGACGCTAAGATATGTGAGTGGTATCCTTATATTAGTATTGGTACTACATGGGCTATAGATAGATTTAACTAGCTGATAAAAGAGATACTCTTAAAAGAGGGAATCAATGCCATCTTGATCCACAGGACCTAGTCCAGTTATGACACCCGTTACGATCATTCCGGCAAAAATTGCAACCCCTAAGAGTAGAGAACCAATAATGCCTCCATAGGTAACCGGAAGAAACAAATTCGGTGTTTCTTCCAAACCGCTGGAAAGGTTCATTCCAAAAATGCCACTAACACACGTCAAGACTGTCAAACTTAGTGATGCGATAGACATAAGTAAACTCGCTAGCAAGAACTTGTTTCGCGCAGCATCCATTCTCGCATCGATTAAATCGCTTCGGATTAGTCAAGAAAGATGAAAACGAAAAATCAATGACAAAATCTCGAAAGCATTGGAACACATGGGCAAGCAAACAAAGCGCAAAATTTACAACGTACGCACCTCGCAGATTCGACCTGTCCCTGTATCAAATCAAGCGCATTAGACAACGTCAGGGCATTGTTCAGGTTCGACTCCAATACCAATTCGGGTTCGTCTGATTCGATTTCTAGCATTTCCGAGCTCACGGGCTGCACAAAGTTTTCAGGATTTGTGACCAGTCGCGAAACGTTCATCAGTGCCATATCCTCGTCCTCGTTCAAGATGCGGTCGATGGACTGAACGAATCCCTTCACGCGAGCCTGCATGACCTGGACGGCGTTTTTGAGATTGCGGATGACCGCTAGTGAATCCTCCGGTCGCAGCAGCTTGCCATTGCTCCCGTTTCTATTGCCAATGATTCGATTCTGAACGTATTTGAGGCCCTTCTCTTGCAATTCTGCGGTGTCGTCCGCCAGCATTTCAAAGACCGTAGAAAGACACGCGTTCACGCAAAGCAATTCAAAGGTCAAATCCTTTTGTTGGTCCATTTCCATCCTTATCATATCCGACCAATCGTCGGAAGCCACCGTGGGGATATCATCATGGTCGATTGCATTCTCATCGTAAACCTCGTTCTTCTTTGCACTGTTATCTTCGCAAAATCCGCTTTCAACATCGTTCTCGTCATTTGAATCTAGGTCGCTCTCAAAGACAATGCCGGAATCCTCGGTGGTGGTTTTCTCTGCAGATTCGGATTTTGACTCCAATGCTTCCAGATCTCTCGTTTCCTCGGGTTCTTCATCGTAATCATCGTATTCGAAACGGTTCCCAACGATTCGTTCCTCGAGTTTTTTGAGGACCGAATCTGCTCCCATGGGAACCAGCACGAGGAGGCGATCCCTAGTAATAATGGCTCGGAGTGGATCGCAATTGAAGACCATGACGTGCCGTCGCACAATTAACTCGGGTTCATTTGAGGCCGAAAATGGCGTCACAAGCCGGCGCATGTCTCGGGGATGGAGATTCGATCCCAAGAGCTTGGGCGGTGGGATCGGAGCATGCGGTTGACTTCCGTGGTGATACTGATGGCTGTGGTGGCTCGGGTGGGAGTCGTGACTGGTTTGCCGCCGATGATTGTTCCGAGAAACTGCTGGTGTGGAATGTTGACGCCGTTGCGTCGAGGCGGTTCGATTATGCGTGCTGGAGCTCTTGTTACGAGGTACATCGGTATGGACAGAGTCATTGTCGTGAGTGGATGCACCGGACGTTGTCGTGGCGTTCGGCGTTGCAACTGTTGAGCTTTTCAGAGAATGAGGTACGGGATCTGTAGATCGAATCCTGATGGAGCTCACAACGTGTCGATACAATTGTCTCAGTGTCCAATGGTGGTATACGATCGAGTAATCGGAGGAATCATTTATCAGAGTATTATTGTTGTCGTTTTTGTCCTGACGAGGCAGAGACTGCAATTCGAATATTAAAAAGTCGTCCCGTGACAAATTCGCTGTGTAGGATGACCGACTGGCTCTTGCCGTTGCTTTCTTCGAGATGTCGGTGATGTTGTTGTTACTGTTGCTGTTGCTTCCGCTTCCTCCTCTCCCCAAAAACACGTAGCTCTTGCTGTTGCTAAGATTCGCCAGCCGTTCCGAGAGGGTTTGTCCGCTCATATCGGTAGCAATCTCAATCTTTGAATCAGTATCAGTATTATTCCATTGTCTCGTCGTATCATATGATGTTAAAAGCAATAATTTTACTCTATTTTTCGATTGCTTCCCAATTGTCTTCGTGGCCGTGATCTTCTGAAGTAATCGACCAGTCGCTTGGATTTAGCATGTAATCACGCACGCTGGATTACAAAAAGAATATATGAAATCGCGGTATTAAACCCTAGTTATTTTTTACTTAAATCCCGCACCTTTATGGATTACAAACCTGCAAAATGGAGTACATGTAATCCAAAATTGTATTCAGCTCTCTCCTATGACAGAGCCTTATTTTTACTGGATAATGCTAGTAGTTGGGCTGCAACTGAATACAACTCCAAAATCAAAAATTCAGTTGAGTACACAATGTGGACGAGTACTTTTTCAGGTCACACAAACGCACGCACTTGTCTAAGTATTTGCTGATTACTACTACGGACGTACATGCTAAAAATCCAACCAACTGGTCAATTACGTAAATAATCGGCAAGCTGGCTTAAGTACTCTAACTTCAGCCTCAGTCTCAAGCAAAGCTCTTGACCTCATCCTCAGTTAGATTAACAGCATGAGACTGCACATAATTTTCTTGTTGAGGAAGTTTTTTCAGAGTACAGATCAGAATACATTTGGATTACACACATGCCGCCAGCAGGCTGCCGATTATATAACATACTTGTATCAGTGATAAAATTACACATAGCATAAACAATTTTTGGCCACCCACTACTGTAACTTTCTTGGCTGACTAGTTCTAAGCCACTACTAGAGCATCCTTTGGCTTCCCAATGACCAGGTGGTGCAGTGGATCTCTAAGTAATTGTTGTATCAACTTGGTCTGGGCGCTTAGTCTGGTGGTCTAAAGTTGTCTTTTCATAGAGTACTTGCCTATTTTCTAACCAGCAGCCGGTCTGCACTGGTCAAATTTGGCCATACCAGTTGTTTATGGACAACTAGCTCCCCCCTGGCCCTTAATTGTGTGACAATGACACACAGCACTCTTCTTAACACCATGACCAAGCATATCCCCAAAGGGGATCTCATTTGAGCCAGTTCCTTAGCACTTTCAATGGCCTGGTGATAAACACTGTTTGTGGTCAAAAAGTGACCAAAACTCGTAGATCTATGTAGGATCAGTACTAAATAGTACTGGGCTTTGAAATTAACCGTGATTTTACTAGTAATAATATTTCTACCTGGAGTAAAGTTACTTTTTTCCAAGTAGGGTTCAGAAGGTTTTTCACAGTTAACCCATCATACCAAGTTTCATATGATTTTATCTTCCCTAAGTCAACAAGGGTCTCTTCAGATTAAAATTTATATGGTAGACCAAGAAGGAGCAATATCTTTGTTTTTTGTGGTATGGTAGGTACCTACAGTCTTGAACAAGCTCCAAGAATCTTGATCTCCTCTCATGATTTGGTAGTTTTTGCAAGATTCCCCCCATGGCTTCCTACCATCGTCACCTTAAAAAAAGAGGGTTAACTTCAATTGTTCGAAAAGTAATGGTAAAAATAAGTCATGTAGAATTCATACTTTAGGACAACAGTGTACTACTAGGATGTGTTGGAGCATACTAGTAGCATAAAATTGGTGAGCACTGTCCAATCACCAGCTATCCAATGGTGAAGGCAGCAGAACAATTCATAACATGCAACAATGTAGAATCTTATATTTGCTGCACTTCCAGATGGAAGCTGCATGATTCAGTTAGCTGTGCAAATTCAAAATATTAATATGGTTCTCCAAAATCTAATGGCAATAGTCTAAAGGACCAATGCAGATGATATGCATCACCAATGAGGGGGCAAGATGGGTATGACTCAGCTCCAGTCAGCTGGGGGGGGCCACTTATCAGTAACTATCGTGAACCATCTGCTCAAACCAACATGATTAAAAAATATTTATATTGTATTTAACCTCCCAAACTAGAAGAGGCACTATATGGCCAGAACCATAGCTTTCGGTGGAACGGTTGTTCTGCTGGTGGTGCTGTTGGTGCTGGCCGGTGCTGCTGTGAGAGGAGAGCTGCACACCAACAGAACCCCCTTACCCAGCAGTTTGCAGTGTTCACTACTATGATATCTTAACTAGTAAGTAGTAATGGAGATGATCCAGTAATAAGCACTAATGCTCATTCTAAAGTAGTAAGCACTGAATTTATATCCCGAGTAGTAAGGAGCACTACTAATAGAAATATTTCGGTTAATGGAAATATTTTTATTTTCTTCCGTTGGATGCACTACGGGACTTGCCTTTAATAGCTCTGAAACAGACACCAGATACGTTTTGCCTTAACATACCGACTTAAAAAAAATCATCATTGTAATTAAAATAAAGAACAAATACCTGTGATTACTTCGAGAAGTTTAAACATGTGAAGGATTTTAATTGGTTTGTGCTAATGTCAGTTTTCATTTATAGTAGCTCTATTGTATTTGTGTCTGTGTGGGTTGCGAAAACGAATGAAAATAAAGAACTCGAAAAAAAAATTCATCATTGTAATGAAAATAAAGAACAAATACCTGTTGTGACAACGAGAACGTAAAACATGTGGAGGGTTCTAATTGGATTGTGCTAATGTCAATTTTCATTAAATAATAATTGTTTGCGAGTAGCGGCAGGGTTAAACATTTTTTGAAGGAGAGATTTCTTTCGCTCATCCTTACGGTACGGAATGTTCGAGGAGTTAGCTTACTTTACGCGTAATAGAGTGTTCGGCTCACAGCTCACACTCTCCATCCCAACGAGTCTCAAAACCCCAACTACTATATTTCAGAGTACGTACGGTGCAGTGACCATAAAATAAAAGAGAATAGCATTCCACGATATAACAGTAATGTCATCATCATTTAACGCAACAACAAGAAATGGCGAAGCAGCAAAGAGTTATACGTCATCTCAGCAAAATCAAAAGCAAGAACAAACATCGCGCGGAGCAGAATTGATACCGAAAGCAGCTCTTACGAAATATCCACCTGCACCGAGAGACGAATCCGAGGCCGAAGCCTCCTTCCGCCGGCAGGCCATCGACAAGGCCCACGAAAGCTCCGCAATTTCGTGGCTTCAACACATTGAAAATCACGATGCCGATGCTCGCTACTCCAGGAAGCTTCACAGAAGGACTTCCTCAAAGGATTACAGTGCCTCATTTCACAGTATATGTGCCGGTACCACGCTTCAGAAACGACGTTCCTGTAACTCCGTCATATCGACGACACCAAAAAGAATAACGAAAAGAGAAGGAAACAGACCAAGTGCCAGCTTCGTTGTTTCTACCTCAGATAATCGAGGCAGCAACGATGTTGAAATGGTGTCCGATGTTGCTGCTTTTGATGGCTTACCATCGAAACGAGGCAGTGGCAAAACGGATCGAATGCCGAAACACAAACGAGAATGGAATCAAGGAGCTTCTTGGGAAAAATACTGTACACGACATATTCAGTTGCTGGTATCACTGGCATTCTTTAGTTACCTCGGAGAATTCTCTCGGTATTCCATTGACATTTTATTTGGGGGCGGGTGCCACAGTCCGGGAACTATTGGCTGGTATCGGGTGGGATGGCATATTTGTACCACCGATCCCGGCACCACAGAATCGACTGGTGGGGCCTTTTTCGTGGACCTACCGACCAATGTAATTGGGTGCTTTCTGATGGGCCTTTTGGTCAGCGGGGATGGGGAATCCATCGCTGTCAACCTACCTGTGGCTGCGCTGGGCCGGACCTGCTTTTTTCAGAACTGGGTCGTTACCCACGTAGGACTGCGGACGGGATTCTGTGGCTCTCTGACGACCTTTGCATCCTGGAACACCCAAATGGTCAAAATGGTAGTGGGGAATAAAGGTACCGCTCTGGGCTATTCGCAATGGGTGTCAGCCCTCTGGGGATACATCGTCGGACTATATGCAGCCCTGCAATCCTACCAATTCGGTGCCGCGATAGCCTTTGCTCTGAGCCGTTGCTTCAACCCACATCTGGCCAGAGAAGCCGACAAAATAATTGACAAGAAAGCCATTGGTGTCCTGATCAATCGAGATCTTCCGGACTTTGAGCGACGGTTTCTGCACTCGATTTTCTTGGAGGAAAGCGAACGCCATCACCACAACGATACAAATACCTGCGACGAACCACGCGAGAACCTTGCAAAATATGGCAGCAGCGGCTACGAATCTTTTTACGGCGACCACGCCCACCACCTAAGGACATGGAAAGAGACAACGGACTACTATCGCAAAGGTGCTGGAATGCAAGAGGAAAGCTTTGTTGCGGAGCTTCAGGAAATCGAGAAGATGCTGCTGGTGGATCGAATTGAGCCGCGACAGGAATTGCTCAACGTTGCGAGGGATGCCGGATGGGATGTAGGCGCCTTGCGGAACTGGGCCGAGGCGCTGGACGAGGAAGAAGCCAAGCTAGCGATGCGGAATACTGGTCTTGAAGGCAACAACGACGGGGACGACGGCAATTTTGACATTGAAACAAAACTCGAGGATGCCTACTTTCTGGCATCGCATTCGTCTCCAATCGAATTTGCCTTGACTCTTTCTTTGTTTTTGCTCACGACCGGGCTGCTCTTGTTGGGGTTTGTGTATTACAGTAATCCTACAGAGAGCGATTCAGTTTCATGGAGAAGCTACCGAACTCAGTGCTTAGCGGCGCTGCTGTCTCCCTTTGGGACTTACTCCCGTTGGTACCTGAGCCGCCTCAATGGCCGCATTCGACACGAACGATGGGAGTGGCTTCCGATCGGGACCTTTTTGGCCAACGCAATGGCATCCGTGGTGTCAGCGTTGATGGCGGCGTTTCTCGTCGGTTTGAACCCGGAGGCCAATCCATTGGCCGTGGTAGTGTGCAAGGCCATTCAAGGCGGTTTTGCTGGTAGTCTTAGCACTGTCTCAACATTTGCAACGGAAACGGTGGGATTGCTGCAGGCTCTTCCGAGGGCATTTTGGGGATACTACTATAGTTTTGGATCCATGCTATGCGCGTTTGTCCTTGGTGTGGCCAGTTATGCATGGTTCGTGGTATAGGATAGACGTTTTTTTTCAGTTTGCATCAAATCTTGTAGCTAATAACGTAACTAGTAAATTGCAATTTTCGATAACGAACGGGCCAAGGTCAATCGATAACATTATCGTCAAATTGCACAATTGTTCTTGTACAAGTATTATGGCGAATGAGTTTTTTTCTGCGGCTACCAATATATTGTGCTCGATTGTTCCGCCGTCCACGGTGCTCGTCGTTCGTTTTACTTGTATTGGAATTGAATTCAATTAGATACTCATATGTATTTAGTCCTTTGTTCTCGGCGCCCTGTGCCTTGTTTTGAAAAAAACTTGAGTCGGATATTTCCTAGCTTTACAGTTTCCGTGGCGTTCTGAAGATTGTCTCCGATGTTGGAAAACCGTCGGTCTATGTTCTGGTGGCGAGTGGTGTGTCCCAGTGTCTTGGATACGGTCAGAAGCTCTTGGACTTCGGCACCGAGTTCCTCGATCGCCACCTCGATGCAGCGATCGGTGCTCCTTATTTGGTCCAGGGCGTGCAGATCGCTTTCCGTCAATGGGATTGCAGCCGTGTCGCTGTGGTTTTGATCCTTCATAATCATGTCCTTGGAAATGAGTTTGTTCCTGTTGTGTGTGCTGCTGTCACGAAGAAAAGATTCTTGGGGGAGAGCAGGTATCAGCTTCCTAAAATTTTCCTTTTCTGCAGCGACACAGGGACGAGGTTTTCGTCTCTTACATGTTCTTCGTGATTCTTTATTCCGATTCTTCCTAGTCTTATCGATGGATCTGGTAGCTTTTCCTTCGGAGGTTTCATATTTTCTGAGTTCCTTGCGACCTTTTCGACGATTCCCAAACTGAAAACTCAGGAGTGCGAATTTGTTTAAAAGTCGTTCGAGGGCATTCATGGTTTCGTTCAGTTTGACAGAATCCGCTTCGACTTGTTTAACACGCTTTGATTGTGCCCCCAATTTTTCCAGAGTCTGTACACCGATCTGCTTGGTCTCTGTGACTTTTCGACGTGTTTGTGCTAGCGCCTCAAGGGTTTTGTTTTGTAAGTCTTTCGTTTCCGCAAGGAATTCATCGTTGTTGTTGTTCCTGCTATTAGAATTCATGTTTTTGTCTGTAGTGCTTCGCAGTTCTTAGACTGATGCTGAGAGTTGCGACCGGAACCGTTTAGGTCTATGTTTGGGGATTTCCTACTGTTGCATTTTTTGGAAATCGTCACTTTCTGAAATTATGATAGATCTTATCTTCTGACTTCAGATTTCAGTCGTGTTTCATTCACGATCAAGTCAGTCACTGTTAGTACGGTACATCTACTGGCTACTTCTTACTAAAGCCCGCTCCGAACAGATTCACACTTCGGTGCTTCAAGTCGTGATTGAAGTTTTTCCTTCCGAGCAACATAAAAATTTGACACGATCCGCATCAAAAATGGGTCAGAAAGATAACACTATCCAACACTATCCATTGTGAATGTGAATACTTTAAAAATAATTTCAACATGATCCCGAGCTAATTTCAAACCCGCCTTCTCCGTTCGCACTTCACACTGGACGCTTCATACTACTAGCACGTACGAAGTACTTCGTAATACTATTATTTCATAACAACTGCTCCAATCAAAGCAATGCCATGAAGTCAGTAGTACTGCAGGAAAGTGTGAACACAACTTAAGGAACAGGCAGTGTCGCTTGGTTTTCTGCGGCACATATATTTCTTATCGGAAAAAAAATTTGGTACACAATACTAATCATCGTATCCCCAGCACAAATTTGGCACGATCCCAAGCCGATCTGGTACTGCGCTGTCTTCACACTATAGTTCTATATTGAATCCAAAACCTAATTATAATATGGTAATTCGCCTTCCGATGATGTAATGTTGCACTTTTTGATGTCCTCCCTTTCTCCCTGGATCAGATTTTCACTGACTCTTGGATGGCTTCAATCTCGCCAAGTATCTTGCTTTCGGACACCATGAAGCTGGAACGAGATGACACTGCATTGATACGGGGGTTGAGGTGGATGATTCTTTCTCTTATAAAATCAGATTTCACATTCCTGCATATCAACGAATCCTTAGCGTGACAAAAACTATTTGTAAGTTTATTTTGCTAACCATTGTATCAACCCACTTGTTCTAGTGCTCACCATTTCTTACTCGCCATTATTATTTTGCCTTCTTTTCATCTACAACAAAGGTTCAACAACAATGTTCAAACCTTTACCTCCTAGAACCATCCCGAAGATGAACTGGTCTATAGGAGGCGCATCGGTAGTGCAATTTCTCCTACTTGCTTGCGCCTTCTGCATGGCCATAACTCCATCTGTCCTGAAGATGTATGAAACAAGCCATTGGTTTCGGGAGTATGGCAATCCATCCGTTTACGACAAAGCCAAGGATTGGTTCGGAAACCCGAGCTTGCCCTTTCAAAAAGAAATTGAAGATTCGAAAGTGCTGATGCGAATCTATTTCTTCGTTCTCCCATACATTGCCATGATTGCCTGTCTTGTCCTTGCTCACTTGCTAGCAAAACGAATGCAGAATTCAACTCATTCCTTGACCCGCGGTGTCTTCCGTTGTCGGACTTTCCTACGTCTCGTTCCATTGCCTAGGTTCATGGTTTGCTGTGGCGCACCAGAGAGGGTCTCTGCCGGTGAACTCCTGGGCATTGTTGTCTTTTTGATCCTCAACCTCGGTACCGTCGGAGTCCGACTTCGGCGATCGCTTCCCCGTGGTACCCGCAAGAATTTATATTTGGTTGGCGAAGGCGATGCGGGAAAGGAACCCATCCCAATCCTATCCTGGCCGGCAGTTGAAGTATTGGGGAAAACACTAGGTGTCATTTCTATTATCAATCTCGGGTGGTACCTCCTCATGCCTATTGGGCGCAAGTCTGTCTTCCTCGAAGCGCTTGGTTTTTCTTGGGACCGGGCCATCAAATACCACCGATGGGTTGGTTTCTATACCATTGCAATAATGTTTGCTCATGGATTTCTTTACTTTGTGGTTCTAATCTATGGAGACGGTCATCCGATCTATGATCCCCATGGAGATATGATTGAGCATAATTTACTTGCGTGGGGATGTAGCTCTAGTGAAGATGAGAGCGAAAGTGAGGATGAAGCAACCGGATGTGATGAAGACCAGAAACAATTGCTCCGAATGAACACGTATGGCATCATCGCCTTGGTTTTGATTCTAATCATTGCCATTTTTTCTTTGCCGTACTTTCGGCGCTACCATTTCGAATGGTTTTTTTATATTCACCACCTCTTCGTGCTGGTTCTCTTTTTTGTGTGTCTACACTACCCCGGAGCTGTAATTTATTTGATACCAGGCGTTGCTATGTACATGATCGACAAGTTAATGGGAATGCTTGCCTACAAGAACTATGCCCTTGCTAAGGTAGAAATGGTCAGCCCAGACGTCCTTGAGGTGTCCTTCGAGATTAAAGATATCGATTCCATTCGGTACGAGGCCGGGCAGTATGTCTTTGTCAACGTTCCGTTTATTTCTCATCTTCAGTGGCACCCCTATTCGCTTACGTCTAGCCCCAAGGTTGACCCCGGGAAGATCTTCTTTCACATCAAGGAGTCTGGAGCATCTCCCGACAGCTGGACTCGGCAGGTGATTGCAGCTGCGCGTGCTGCGAATGGAAATGGTCTCCCGATGCGGATCGATGGTTTCTATGGTGACTACAGCATAGAGATGCTCAGTCAAAAGAAGGCTATCGCATTGGTCGGTGGTGGAATTGGAGTGACACCCATGATTAGCTTGGGAATGGACTTGGTTGCTACCAATCCCACACTCCCCGTGACCATTTTGTGGGTGTGTCGTACATTACAAGAATTCGAAATATTTGCCACTAAGCTAGCGAAGGCCATGAACAAGTTCCCAAACCTTTCGGTGAAGGTCTGGATTACCATGAGCCACCCCGAATCCAAGATTAGAAGGAAATCATTCATCCAAGAATTGGCTACCGATGAAGAGAAATGTGAGATGATAATTGATCTCCTTTCTCAAACCATAACCGAGGAAAATGATGATGCAAGTTTAGAGGATGGCGAATCTTATGATACAGCAACATTAAACAATTTTCTTTTTACAAAGTCACGACCACGTTCCGCGCCTCTTGGCAACGCTACAGCAATGCTTGTAGCAGTTGTGTTTGCCTTGGTAGGATACAACACCGCGACCAAGGTTTCTCGAAATCAGGAAATCCAGACTGAAAATATTTCGACACTTGTCGATATAGCCTTTGTCACGGGGATGGTTTCAACCTCTTTTATTATTGCTTGGGCAGTACATGTGATATTGGCATTATGGAATCATAGGAACAAACAACGCATAACACCAGCGACTCATCAAACCACTTCGATCCAAAACAATACCGATGAACCCTTGTCTTTCGTCGGTGGATGTCGCGGAATGGAACTCATTGTCACCATGCTCAAAGGGCGCATTGGATGCCGGCCCGACTTTGAAGCTGAATTGGGCAATCTTTCACGTTTTCACTGTCCCCACGTTAACTCTTTTGAGGATGAATTTGAGAAAGCAGCAACTAGAACTTCAACCTCCACTCGATTGGGCGTCTTAGCTTGCGGACCAAAGGCTATGACTGATGCAATCAACGAAGCCGTTCAAAATACCGGCCCCTGGTGGACCTTTTTCAACGCTGGGCGGCTTCGCAATGCAAAGGAGAAAAGCCACGATGTCGCTGCCACATTCGAGTTCATCGAAGAAGATTGGGAATGGTAGTGATATTGTATCGCATCTTATCTCTTCCTCTCTACCATACATGAATTTGATCACTTTTAGTTTGAAATATCGTTATATGTTGCTCCGTAAAAGTGTTACGGCTTCATTTCAGAAATCCAATATTAGCACAGCTCATGGAATCTATGTCTTTAGAAACCATGATTGGAATTTAGTGATTCCACTCACATTGCATGTAAATGCCCATAAAGCTTCTTGCTATTAATTTCCAAGAGAAAGACTATCCATATCGCTATTACTGTTCCCATATTACGGTTACATGATGTGCCTTGCCCTCTAATGTTTCAGTAGGCAGATCGAATCCTAGCAATCCACTGTGCTCATCATGTTGGAAATCGAGCTGTTTGGAGGTCAATCCACTACGAATTAGTAAGTAAGATGGACGTGGCTGGCAAAACGATACAAAATGTCCCGGCCCACGAGTTGTTATATCCGCGTGCAATTGTTTGCGCTGGGCAAATGCATTTCCATTTCCTTCCTGGCATGAATCGGATTCGATAAGACGTCCTGCATTCAATATAGCTCCGCCGGAATTGAGCATTTTCCCTAATCCAATGGGTGCCCATTGTACGTTGAAGTCTTCGTTGAGTTGAATTGGCTGCACGGTGTGTACCTCCCATTCCCTGTGTTGAAGTACTGTTTCGATCGTTGAATCACCGGTCGGCAGAATTACCATTGATTGGGTCCGATGCGACCAGACTGCAAATGGGCCTACAATCTGGCGAAGAATATCGACATCGTGAGGCTTAACGATTGCTGTGACAGCGGGTGGTGAGGCGTCCAAGACTTCATTTTCGTTGTTTTCAAAGTTCCACGATACGCCTTGAACGTTGAATGTTCCGATGACCCCCCCAGAGCCTATGTTCAAACTTTGTTTAGTCGATATTGAAGTTTGTTGTGATCGATTGACATTCCATATTTTGAGAGCGCTAATTCCGTCTCGTCCAACATCGGCAAAGATGCAGTCCCTTGTGGGTCGGCCAGGTTGCTGTGCTCGCAGAACACTCCCATCCGGAAGGACTAGTTTCTTTAGTAGCGGGATATCATGCTTTCCCGGGGCATCCGATACATACACCGCACAGCCTCCAATAGCTCGAGCCGCCGCGTGAAGTTCTGCCGATTCGTGTTTCGAGTGAAACATGTCCCAGTCCGGCAAGCAGATTTCGCCCAGAAACAAGCTGTTATATGCCACATTCACGAGGTGCACAGAATGGGATTCTGGCCTAGCCGGATAGAAATCGTCCGAGGCCCGTGCGACAGACGTTTTCGCGTAGCGGTATAGGTTCTCGGTGGAGTGGCACATGCAGTTGATGCACTCGGTGGCTTCAGAAGAAGTGGTCGATGGAAATCTCATAGCGACCGACTCCTCCATGGCCTGCGTATAAATTTTTGCAAGAGGTGGGCAATCGTCGAAGTTGTCGCCACGCATTCCAGCAGCAGTGATGCCCGATTGGACGTCAACCTTCACACCATCAACACCCGCCGCAACGAGTGGTTCGTGCAAATGCTTGTAAAATTTTGAAAGGTCTCTCTTCTTGGCGATCAGTCCTACTCCAAACAGCGATGGTGGGTCGAACGCCATTTCTGGCTCAATGCGCAGGAGATGATCACTGGGCCTCGTCTTAACCTGTGTAACGTCGATGCCAATCGACTCTCCCAATTCCGATGACACCCCTCTCCAATAACCGTGGATCGAATGCCAGCAATAGACCCGGTTTACTTTCCAATCATTTTTAAGGGTTGCGACTAGCTCTTTCAACGCCATGTTCTTTTTGGTGTTGCCCTCCGATGCTTCGGATTCGTCTCTTGCTGTTGATTCGAGAAATTTCCAGTTCGGATCAAAGTCGTCCAATTGTCTTCCAAAATCCGTTTCCGAATCAAAGAATTTCCACAAGCCATAGTTCAGCGGAGAATGCCTTGCTAGAAAGGTCCACAGTCGCTTTGGGAACGAATTCACTGGGGCATTCTCAACGTATTTCTGGTAGCACTTGGTCACGGAACCCGCGATCATCCCGAAGATCGATCCACCGATATTGGATAGCATCTCGAGCGGATTTTTTAGGATCGAGGACGTTACCGACTTGATGAGAGAAGAAGAGCTGGAAATGTCGGAATGATCGTCGTCTGGCATGATATCGGAACTACCGGAGAGCGACAAGGACGCCGCCAGAGAGGAGGTTTTTTTACCTTCGTCTTCTTCTTGTTGATGAAGATACGGTGGGGAGACTTGTTGCCATCCATCGTCCAAAATGACATTCTTGACAGGTACCCCTGCATCGGTTAGGCACTGGACGCCCTCCAGGATGCCGGTGGGATGGACCTTGGAATAAAAAGCATCCCAGCTACACCATCCAAACGAGTTCAAAAACCCCGTTGGGACTTGTTTTTGGTCGAGTGTTTCGAAACTTTTGCCCAGCAGCTCGGAAACTTGCCGAAATCCCAGCTTGAGAAGTTCGAACGGCTCGTTGTGAACCGCAACGTACAATGCATTCCTCGGGTTTTCACCGCCGGCAGTCCTTTGCGGAGGAAGGATTTCTCCCGACTCGGAGTAGCTGACTAGCGTCATCTTGCGACGATCGTCGCCCGTGCTGCTTGTATTGTCGTCGTTGTCGTTGTCGTCCTTGATGGAATCCGATGTGGATTCCAGGGCAGAGCGGAACCCCCCGTCTACCAGAGGCATCATCAAGGCGTAAAAGGGAGGGGAAGAATCGGCTGGCGATGTTCCCGGCTCGTTTGGTTCGATTTCCACCAGCAGAAATTGTGTGTCCACCGGAATGGTCTCGCCGCTGTTGTCGCCGACTCCCGTTCCGCCGAATTTAGGCCCCATCCAGTATCGGTTCAACCGTGACGCGGCCAGAAATTTGTGTGGGTGTTGCAGCCGTCGTTGCGGAGAGTCGTGGCTATTGTCCGGCGCGGAGGACGGCAAGAAGTTTCCCAGGCACAGCGATTCGATCGCTGTTGATGGAATTCTGGTCTGGAGAGCCAGCGAGGAAAACGAAGACGGCAGGGGAGCCGACGACGATCCTTCGTCCGGCCTTGCCGCCGTCCAGGTTTCCGGAGACAAACCATCGAAAAGCAAAATGGGATTCTGACGGCCGCCCAGCGAAAGCGCCAAACACTTTCCGCTGTGATTCAATTCCGCGGGTGTCGGTGGCGGAGATATCGTGACGGTAACACCGTCCGTAGGTAATCCCAAGCGGCCGTTGATTTTGCCCCCGATCGTGCTATCGACATCGATTTCCTCCGTGGAACCAATTGTGTTTTTGGCCGTCGTGCTGTACCGTTTTGTCTGATGTCGCATTCGGTTGCTTCCGTCATCGTCGGAAGAGGCAGAAAAACACGAGTTTTTGGTGTGGGGAACAATAGGTGACGGTTTTGTCCGTTGGCAAGAAAACGCTCTTACGAGAGCGACGTTGGAAGATTGGTTCGGTAGAACGAGCAGTAGCAACGGGAGAAGTTTCATCGCTGTTCCACGAAAGAGCTCTAAGATGCTGCCGATGCCACTCGGAAACACCACAGGCCTTGTCGTCGCTTTGCGAGAGGCCATGGGGGAAGGAGGGGCAGCTGTTTCTTCTTGGAGATCGGGCGGATTGTGATGCGCGCCCTTGCTAGCAACGTCCTGGCCGGCAACTGGTGCGGTGCTTGCTGTTTACCGTTTCAATAATATCTCTGAGGAAATTTGTGTATCCCGCGATTAAAGAGCTCTAGATCGATGTCCGATTGATCGATCGATCAAGCCATCGATCGAGCCATCAAAAACAGCAACCGCTGACACAATTGTGACGCTGATTGCCTATTGGTCGTTTCGTTCCTTATTTTCGGCAGCGATCATAAAAAATTAGTACAGCTAACATACGTACAAACTCGTATTTGTACCTTACCGAATCTACGATTACGTACGTATCGTACTACGATAAGATTTTTTAAAAACAAAACGTTTCTTACGGTAATCTCCATCATTATTTTCCTTATGGTTGCTTGCTCGATTCGAGTCCTGTACAGGTCGGCACGTACGTAACGTACGTAACCTACAGTACGTACTTCTATGCGTTCGCCTAGGATCGTATCGTATCTTCCCACTTCCCATCGTCTTGTACGGCGTGGTGCGGTTTTTCTTGATAGAAGTGACGAACTTTTTTGTGTTCTTCTTGGCTTGCTTACTTATTGGGTTGCGTGACTGACGTCATCCTCCGGTTGATTCACGAGTGTCAATTCGGATTCCGGTCGTCGCGAACAACGGTCAAGGCAAGACGGCGATGAAATTGGAATGGAGAAGGGAAAACGAAGGAACGAAGTTTCGAAGGATACAGGAAGCGGGAATGGCATCGAGACAGCGGTTTGTCCGGCATTATGGCGTACGCACGATGCCGATCCTCGCTGGTGCACGGTGTCTTGCGCACTCCGTCGCCCGGGACAAAGACGCAGAGCCCCCCCCCCCCCCTCGGGGGGCACGGCTGCCTTCTGCGGTTTTCGTTCCGGTAGCCATGTTTGTTTGTGTGCCTGTGTACCTGTGTGCCTGTGCGTGTCAGCCTTTCTTCCGCCGGTTGGTGGAGGGCCTCCCTCGACCGGCCCCGCTCCCGCCTCGTTCGCGCTTCCCCCCCCTGTTTCGGTCTCGCTGCCGATGCCGTGGTGGTTGTGGTTGTGGTTGTGGCTGCTGCTGCTGCCGCCGCCGCCGCTTGGCTTCCCGTTTCCGGTACGCCTTGGCGATCGACGGGGGGGAGTCTTCCCCGTCGCCGCCCCCGTTTGTCCGTGCCTGTGCCAGCACCAGGGGCTGGTAGGGGCACCCCGCTCCCCCCCGGGAGTGCCCTTGCTCGCGCCATCGCGGCAAACGCGTGCCCCTGCGGCCCCCGAGCAGGGTTTCGCCCCGCCGGTTCCGCCTGCGGAAGCCCGGGGACTCCGGGGACGAGGACGACGAGTCATCGAAGAGGTCCGGGGGGGATCGGTCGGGGAGGCAGTGCGGAAGGGTCCTCGATTTCGTGCTCGATTTCGTGCTCGATTTCGTGCTCGATTTGATGCTCGATTTCKTGCTCGGTTTAATGCTCGATTTCGTGCTCGATTTCGTGCTCGATTTCGTGCTCGATTTCGTGCTCGATTTCGTGCTCGATTTCATGCTCGATTTCGTCCTCATAGTCGTATTCGAATTCGTATTCGTATTCGTTCTCGTTCCCGGCGAGGGAGGGTGCTTCGTTTTCCTCCGAATCCGGGGGCGTTCCGGCAAGAGGGATCTCGCGGCGTCGGAACCATCGTCCCCGGTGTCGGTATCCTCCTCGACGCTGTCGTCCTCAAGGGTGTCGTCCCCGGTGCCGATGGTTGGGCCGGTGCTTCCGTTCCTTTTCGCGGGGATTGCGGCTGCGGTCGCGGGAGACGGAGTTTCCCCCCTCGCGGTCGATCGGGCAAAAACGGGGGCCCCAAAGTCGTCGTCGCTGTCGTCGCTGTCGCTGTCGTCCGAGTCCAGCAGGAAGCGATCGGCCAGCCGGGCCTCTTCCTGCTTGGACGCCACGGTCGTCGTGAACCGCGGGCGGAAGGGTGTGTGTGAGTGTGCGTCTGTGTGTGTGTCTGTGTCTGTGTGTGTGGCCACCGCTGGCACCGGCGGAAGGGTGCGGCCGCGGGGGGTTGTATCCCGGTCCGGGCTGCTGCTGTCACTGTCGCTGTCGCTGCTGCCATCGATTCCGCCGCCGCGGCCAAGGATCGCCTCGGAGAGCCGCCGCCTCCGGCGGTGCTGGTTGGTGGCCCTCGCCTTTTGCAGTTCGTCCTCCGTGTCGTAGTCCTTCTCGGGAAGGGCTTCCCGTTTTGGCGGGGCCTGGGACCGGTCGCTCTGCGGTGCCCCCGGCGCCCTGTGGTGGCGTTGCGTCCGCGGAAGGTGTGGTTCGCCGTTTCCGGCACGAGAGCCCGGATCCGTTGCGGCACTCGCACTCGCACTCGCATTCGCATTCGCATTCGCACCGCCCCCCTCGTGGTCCCCCCGGAGAAAGCCGACGGCCCTCCGCTCCAGCTCTCCCCCGAGCCTCCCGAGGCGCCGGGAGGGGTGGTGGGCCTCCAGGAGGGCCTCTCGCTCGGCCCCCCGGAGCCTCCCTTCGGAGACCAAAAAGTCCCCGAGGGGCCGGTAGCGCCCCGCGTGCTTGTAGGAGCGCCCCCCCACCCGCTCCTCGACCCGGCGGACGCGGACGGACCGGTCGAGGCGCTCGCCGGTCGAGAGGACCAGGGGAAAGGCGGCGGTTTGGCCGGGCCCTTTGCCTGCCCTCGTCTCCAGGACGGTCGCCCTGGACCACCCCATGGAGGACCCGGCCGTGAAGACCGCCGTGTTCTGGAACTCGATGACGTCGCCCGGCCGGAGGGGCTCCGAGGAGCGCCCGCGCCGGGGAGAAGAGTGCGACGAGCACGCCGAATACGAGGAGCAAGACGACGACGAAGACGAAGACGACGACGAAGAAGAAGAACCGAGGCTCGCGTCGCTGCCGGACCGCGGCCGCTTCGCCCGCCTCTGCTTTTTGGTGCGAAAGGAGCGGCCCTCGGGCTGGGAAAAGTTCATGGCGTAGGGAATCTCGTCGCTCTCCTCCCCGCTGTCGTTGTCGTTGTCGATGTCGCCATTGTTGTCACTATTGTCGTCGTTGTCGTTTTGGTGGTCGTCCCCGCCGCCGCCGTTGCTCCCAAAGGCCCCGGGAGGAAATCCCCCCCGCCCGCCCTCGCCCGCTGGGGGCTTTCCCTCGGGTTTCGTCCCGGGGGGGAGCGGCGGGGGACCTGCCTCCTCCCCCCGATCGGGCGTTCTGCGCCGCCGCCTCCGACGCCGGGGAGGAGGACCTCGCTTCCGGAGGGGCTGGTGCCGCAGAACCTCCTTGAGGCCCATCATGGCTGGCGGATTGCTTGTGTGCTTGTGCTTTTGTGCTTGCTTGCTTGTGTGCTTCGGAAGCAAGTTGGTTGGTTGGTTGGTTGGTTGGTTTGCCCTGCGTTGCGCTTCGCTTCGCTGCGTTGCGTTGCGTTGCGTTGCGTTGCGTTGATGGGTGGTGTACTCGTACCCCCGTTGGAACCCTTTCGTTTCGTTCTGGTTCGCCGTCCCTACCCTCTTTCCGTACAGGTCGTACGTACCTTAGGTAGCCTGCCATTCCATTGTGTAGGGACTCTTCTCTCTCTCAAGAGGGTTTGGCGCGATGCTGATAACGAGTAAAGGTTGTAGTACGGGTACAAATTTACTGTAGAAGTACCATACTATTCTGCTCCCAATTTTTTGGCGCGAGGGGGATGCAACGCGAAGCGATGATTTGTTTCCTCCCCCCGATCTCCTGTCATCCCCCGCAAGTAAGTTAGGTTGCACGAATTTCCCCCCTTTGGAGTTGCTGCTGTTCAAATCCAAGAGTGGATGGATGGATTCGTTTGATGCATTCCATCCATGCTTGACTCGTTGGATTGAATCAAGATTTCACGACCAGGGATCGACAGGGAAGTTTTCTTAGTCTTACTCGTGATGTCTAAAAACAAAAACAAAATTAATTTTCGAAGAACTGGATGGACATCACATCGAAGAATGTCCGAATTTTTAATATCCCACACAGGGAAGGCATATCCTACGGCATATCCTAGGTCTTGCTGGCGTGACACCCCGAAGACTCTGACCAGCGAGATACCCACAGAAGTCGACCAGATTTACTCCCCCGGTGTCCTCGATAATCGTAAAACGTACCTCTACCTGAAACGTACCGTGTGGCACTCGTCCGCAAGGTTAAATTTCAGAGAACAACTCCTTTCGATAAAAGTGCTGCCAAATATTCGATTAATTGTTGTGTTCCCACATTTCCTCGCTCCGAAGCACGAGAACGAGAACGACACTTCCGGATCGATCGAAGGAACAACCACCACAAAACCACGACAACGATGATCCCAAGAATCGCCGCCGCGGCCGCCGTCCTGTTCGTTGCCCGGACGCTTCCGTCGGGGGCCGCACCGAGCAGCGGCAACGGCCTTCGCAACGGCCTTCGCGGCAACGGCCTTCGCAACACCAACAGCAACGGCGAGGTCGCCTGCGAGCAGAAGGGCTTTGGCGCCACGGAATGCGCCCGGGTGGGTTGCTGCGTGTTCGACGACGGGGAGTGCTGGTCCGCCGTGGGGACCGGCCCCTGCGAGGGCTCCAGCCCCGAAGACCAGGACAGCCAGGACCTCGAAGAGAACAACAACGAAGACAACGAGGATAATGAAGACAATGAGGACAATGAAGACAATGAAGGTAGCGAGGATAATGAGAACAATGAAGATAATGAAGATAGCGAGGACAATGAGGACAATGAAGACAATGAGGACAACGAGGATGATGAAGACAATGAGGATAATGAGGACAATGAGGATAATGAAGATAATGAAGGAAGCGAGGATGATGAGAACAATGAAGATAATGAAGGTAGCGAGGACAATGAAGACAATGAGGACAATGAGGACAATGAAGATAATGAAGGTAGCGAGGATAATGAGAACAATGAAGATAATGAAGGTAGCGAGGACAATGAAGACAATGAGGACAATGAAGATAATGA